CTATCTATCCTATCTATCCTATCTATCCTTTCTATCATATCTATCATATCTATCATATCTATCATATCTATCATATCTTATCGATGTATCGAGGAGAGCGTATACGGGCAGGAGCGAGCCGAGCGAGAGAGCCGAGCGGCTAAGCATCGAGGCGAGAGAGATAAGGAGAGAGGCGAGCTAGACGAGCGTGCAGATGCTATCAGAGGATCATATCTATCTTTTCTATCTATCTATCGATCTATCGATCTATCTATCTATCTACCTATCTAACTATCATATCTATCATATCTATCATATCTATCATATCTATCATATCTATCATATCTATCATATCTATCATATCTATCATATCTATCTATCTATCATATCTATCATATCTATCTATCTATCTATCATATCATATCAATCTATCTATCTATCTATCTATCTATCTATCTATCTAATTATCTTATCTATCTATCTGTCTGGCTGTCTACCTGTCTATCTTTTGTGCAGTGTCATTCAGTGTAATGTAGTGTAGTGTAATGTAGTGTAATGTAGTGGAGTGTAGTTGTAGTTGTAGGTGGTAGTGGAGTGTAGTGTAGAGTAGTGTCGTGAAGTGTAGCGGCAGGTAGTGTAGTGTAGTGTAATGTGGTGTAGTGTAGTGGAGTCTAGTGTAGTGTAATGTAGTGTAGTGTAAGGTAGTGTAGTGTAGTGGAGTGTAGTTGTGTAGTTTTAGTTGTAGTGTTGTGGAGTGTAGTGTAGTGTAAGGTAGTGTAGTGTAGTTTAATGTTGTGTAGTGGAGTGTAGTGGAGTGTAGTTGGGTAGGTGTAGTTGTATTTGTAGTGTAGTGTAGTGTAATGTAGTGAAGTGTAGTGTAGAGAGTGTAGTGCAGTGTAATTTAGTGTAGTGGGCTGTAGTGGACTGTAGTTGTGTAGTTGTAGTTGTAACCTGTAGTGTTGTGAAGTGTAGTGTAATGTAATGTAGTGTAATGTAGTGTAGTGCAGCAAAGTGTAGTGTCATGTAGTGTAGTCGAGTTAAGCGAAGCAACATCTGAACCGCCAAAAGTGGTCCGAAACCCTAGTGTTTTTAACATGTTAACTTCCAAATCTGCTTCGCGCCACAACGGCGTGCACTTTTTCGAAACTCGACATCTCAGCCTCCAAAAGTGGTCCGAACATGGTGTGGTTTGTACATTTTGACTTCGAAATGTGCTTCGCGCCACAGCGGCGTGCACTTTTTCGAAACTCGACCTCTGAGCCTCCAAAAGTGGTTCGAACCCCTGGTGTTTTGCACATTTTGACTTCGAAATGTGCTTCGTGCCACAACGGCGTGCACTTTTTCGAAACTCGACCTCTGAGCCTCCAAAAGTGGTCCGAACCCCTAGTGTTTTTAACATTTTGACTTGGAAATGTGCTTCGCGCCACAACGGCGTGCACTTTTTCGACATCTTAAGTGCCAAAAGTGGTCCGCACTTGGTGTGTTTTCTACATTTTGACTTGGACATGTGCTTCGCGCCACAACGGTGTGCACTTTTTCGACATCGCAACTTCCAAAAGTGGTCAGACCCTGGTGTGTTTTGTACATTTTGACTTGGGGATGTGCTTCGCGCCACAACGGCGTGCACTTTTTCGACATCTGAAGCGCCAAAAGTGGTCCGATCCTCTGGTGTTTTGTGCATTTTGACTTGGAAATGTGCTTCGCGCCACAACGGCGTGCAATTTTTCATGTCTCATCTCCCCATATGTCTCCGCACCCGCCGCTTTAGCGAGCCTACTTTTCGACCCTCCGGAACCACAAATCATTGGAAAAACACAGTGAATCGCGACTTTCCTACCTTTTCGCGCATCTGCATCTTCTTTCTTCTGACTCTTTCTCTTCTGAACTTTCTCTTCTCTCTGCCTCTGCCCTGCTCTGCTTTTCATCTGTCCATATTGTCGGAAGTTTAGCTTCTCAACTTCCTTCGACAATATAGTTAAAGATATGTATCTATATATATATATATACACATAATAATTCCATGATATATATATATACTAAATAATCTCAATATACATATAGATTCGTATATATATATATATGCATACTCTACCCAGCAATTGTGGGATATTGCGCTTTGGCTAGTGGTTGCCGAAGCATAATCGCTGCCCCTTGCTCAGCATATCTAGATCATTTGGTGGATTTTCCGCAAGGGTTCCTCCAAGATATTCTCTTCAACCAAAAGACTTCGCTAATGACATTTCAATATGTTTCATATATATGTATATTCGTATATATATAGTTATCATGTATAATAACTAGAACACCTATAATGACTAGAATTACTATAATAACTAGAACATAATTATCACAACTATATTGAACCCCCCCCTTCGATTCCCCCAAGGTCCGCCTCTAAAGCCGCGTTTGCAAGAAGTCACCCCGTGGGCCCACTTTTTGCACCAAGATTCCAGCACCAGGATAGCCCTAAGTCAGTTGCTTTGGGTACATGCTGGGGTCAAAACACCACGTTTGTGAATCCCACACTGTTCTACACATGTACACACCAGAATCAACCCCATCCGCGTTGCAACAATGTGCTGCCCCCAGTTACAAGTTGCCTCGCAAACCCCATAACCTGATATTTATACATATATCTAACTATATGTATGTATTTATATATATATATATGTCTGTGTGTCTGTGTGTGTGTCGTGTCCCCCCTCCCTGAAACCTACCTTTTTGGTACCCGCCCTCGAGTCCAAGCCCAGAAGACTTTTTTCGATATCCGCCCCAACTCCACCCACGTCCGTCCGCAGCAGATATGCCTCGTTCCCTTGCTCTCTTCTCCTGTTCCAACCCACGCCTACCTTTCGATCTTTCACCCTTCCCTCTCAAGTCTTCCTCTTCCTCTTCCTTTTTTTAATTCTTCTTCATCTTCTTCCTGCTCCTCCTCCTCCTCCTCATCATCATCATCATGATCATGATCATCATCATGATATTGCATTGCCTTGAACATCTCGCGTACGCCTAATGCAGATTTGGGCTTCCATTTTTTTAAAATTATCTTGTCTTTCTTTTACGCAAAAAACCTGGCGAGAGACGATTGCTGCATTGGGGGATTCTCGCTTGCTGGACCCAATAGATATTGCAACCCCACAACAGCCCTGCTAGCTTTCTTGCCCCCACCCTGGCCTCAAGTTTTCCCGCTAAATTTCAGACAAACGTTCAGGTCGCGGCATTGGCCTTCGCAATCCCCTGGGGCACTTGCGGGACGCGTGCCTTGACTGTAATGCCAGTGGAAGTTGTGATGAAGTCGTGTTTGATGACATCCGATGTCGTTCTCGAGGTATTCCAGATCTCCACAGCCCTTCACAAACTATGTGCATGACTTTTCTGGCATCCTGGACTGATGCTAAACTTCTTTGAGCAAGTCATCGTTTTTGGATGATTGGTGGGGTTGAGTTTCAGGCTGTTTTCCATTTCGACGGAACCCGCAGAGAGGACTATATTCTGATCGATGAAGGGCTTCAGTCTGATGGCTGCTTGTTCCGTCCCTAGCTGCAACCATCTCTTCCGTGATAGTTCTCCAGACTGACACACAGCATACACAGCAACATGTGACAATATTTGGCATGCTGAGAAAATAGGGTTGGCGCCAAACCCCACGTTCGCCCACACCCAAAGAACACACCCAAACAATATCATATACTTGTCATCAGATGATGAATGAAAACACGAGCTATACGCAGCGATTTTGATTTTAGCTTTTTGGGATTTAGGGTTTTGATTGAGGGTTTTGGCTTTTAGGTTAGGCTTTTAGGGTTTTGGGTTTTAGGTTTTGGAAAGTAAAAAACGCTAGCCCTACGCAGGGATTTGAGCATGTCAAAGGATATGCGGGATCCGATGCGGGCAAACGTGGGGTTTGCGGCGATAGGGCTTTATTCCTAAAATTTCCTAAACAATATCAGAGACATAGTGACTTTCCATGATTTTCCATGGGTTTCTGTTGTTTTTCCCAGAAAACATAGGTGTCCAACTCAGGCAGGCACCCAGCGAGGAGGACTTGGAGCCCCATGGAGGCCTTCCCTGTGTGGCGAACTTAGCAAACTTGTTAAATGCAACTGGTGATACATGGATATGGATATGGCATGATATGGCTATATATATATATATTGTTATTTATATTTATATTTATTATGTATGCAGGGTTTGGATGTATAACTAGTATAATTACATATATCTGCATGTATGTACCATTTGTACTTTTTTGATATGGACATATAACAAACTATCTAGACTATGACTGATTAATACTAATTCATATACATAAATACATATAAATACATATTGAGATTCGCAGATATGTATGTATTGTCTAAAACTACTTACACTGGCAGCTGACTACTGGAGTATATCAACTGGCCAGATTATCGTCAGATTATCGAAATTGAAACCAGATTGTAGAATCTAGTTTCCTAAACTTGAAGGGTGAACCACTGTCCACCCATACTGGCGTTGAAAGCTTGAGGTCCTTCACCCGAGCGATCATCTTTCGATTGCTGCAGATCTGTCTTTCAGGACAAAGTTTCCGAAGACTCGTCAAAACTCTCCAAACAAAAAATACAGGAGCTGCTAACAACAATGACCATGACAGCGTAAAGGTACTTCAAAAACCGACAACCACGTTTTACAAAAGTGTTGTCAAGCGGGCATGTATTGTCCCGGGCAGGAGCAGCTGACAGCCAATGAGTTTCACGGCGATGTGCGTAGATTCAGCTCTTGATGCAACTTGAGTACATGGAACATTCCTTTTCAAGCTGCGCAGTCAGAAAAGGCCGCATGTATCCTCATGTTATTTCCCAAGCCGCTTGAGCAAAAAAGGACATGCTTGACGCTTGACCTTCGCTTTGCTTGATATTACCATTCAACACTTGTGTTTGAATCGTTTTCACATATTGTTGCTCTACCTGCCTCTGCAGCGCAGATGCGCATTCATACACTTTATCATGGTGTCCTTTGCTTGCTTCGTTTGGCTCATCAGCAAATGAGTAGGACATTGATGGCGAAGCACAGAATGTGCCCTGGATGAATCAGCTGACTCGGAAGAGCAAATTCAGAGTTTTGAAATGCTCTCAACCAAAAAAGACCTGGCTGCATTTGATCCGGTTGCCTTGATTTGATGTTGCTTCATTTGGCATTCAGTTTTCATCAGATTTACACCTTTCCTTGTTCTGTCAGCTTGACGGCCAAGGTGCGTTTAGAGGATGGCCTTGCACCAACCGCTCCAGCAGGCCATGGCATGGCATGACCATCTGTGGATGCCTCAGCCAGTCGCTGGGTGGCAGGTGCTTCAAGGCCCACATCCAGGTGCTCGAGTGCTTTTGGAAGGGCCTCCAGGACCGGCTGTTTGAACTTTGCACAACTTTTGTATAATCTCGTATACTTTCATATACTTTCATGATGTTTGATGATTTTCCAGTTTCATGATTGCCTTCGGTGCCTTTAACATAATGCTGGATGTGCCCTTTGAGACCTCAAGAGGCTTGGAACAGTCCAGACCGTCTCGGGTGGCGGATGAACCGGTGTCTCAGGAGAACGGCTTGTGACGTTTTGTCACCTTTTTCTACTTGTTGTTTGTGGATGAACCACTCTGATCAGCCATCAGCTGCAGGAAACGCTGAATTACATCAGCCAAAGAGTTAATTCCATGCTGGGACATGCAACAACATCGTCTGAATGGCAGGCGTGGAACCGTGGAACAGCAGATGGTACTTTTTCAACAGCAGATGTCATTCTTCCTCTTTGCTCTCTCAAGCCCTGGGTTGTTGTAATTGAAGGTCCGCGCAGAATTGCGGCGGATGCAGCCGTCTTTTACTGCCATGAAAGAAAAGGCATGCAAGTGGATTTTTTCTGGGGCTCTTCTGATACCCTGACAGTGGTACTTCCTTAGCTATTGCTACTGGACACCTCTGGGTTTTTGACGGGCTGAGGAATTTCAGACAGAGCTGAAATTTAGTCGTTGGGAAGTTAATGCTGCAACCTAAAATGGCAAGATATAGTGAACCATCCTCTGTCTTGCGAGTCATTGATTTGATGGAGAGAGAAAGAATGCCGATTCGAATGTTCAAGACCAACTCGCATTTAGTCGCAAACGAACTATTTTTCTGACCGAAACACCGCTCTAACCACGATGCAGATACAGCGAGTTGATATGCTGCTGAATGCCAAGGTGGGACTAAAGCTGTGGGACTGCATTTTTGGTGGACAAAAACATGAAACACACGTGCTTTTCTGTGTCATTTACTCTCCTGTACAATCGCATATATTGCATCCTTGGCTTGCAAGTACGGATGTTCATGTGGTGGACCATGATAGGTTCAACAAAAGCATTCCATCATGTCATCATGTGCCCAGTTTTATGACTTATTGATACTTATTGCACTTTCATTTTAAGCGATGCTTACAGAATTGCGGCGTAGGTAAAGGGCAAAGAACCCGTCTCCCAGGACGCTGAAGAGAGTTGCCTGAGTTGACTGAGAACCATGACGGCTTTTACTAACCTCTACCATCTGGTTATTTAACATAGCCATGGAAAATCACCATTTTTAATAGGTAAACCATCTATAAATGGGTCATTTTCCATGGCTATGTTAAATAACCAGATGGTAACTCTAGTGTTCTAAGAAGTCCTTTTTGCCCAGTGTCGTTTCGTGATTTTGGAATCTGTAGGGATCACCATCAGATCTACATCACTGAAAGCTTGACAGATCTGCCTTGAGGAGAACTTGGACAGATTTCTTGCCAATATCGACCAGCGCAGAGAACAGGATGCATCAAACAAAGGAATGACAACAGTCCTGACGTGGACATATTTGATCATATTTGTAGTATTGAAACATTTGAAACGCCATGTCGATTGTTGATGTTTGTTGTTCTCAAGCACAGTGAACATCAGGGAACAAGATCCCAAGAGAGACAATGACCAGCAGTTGTTTCCAAAGTTGTGCATGAAATGTATGAGCGTTGCTGTAGATTTCAGGAGCTTTCCCTTGTCAAGGCCAGCGCCGACTATGGGACTATCCATAGCTGCGTGGGTAGGAGGAAGAGATATGGACTTCAAACTGAAGTCATTTAAAATTTCAAGAAAGAGCATATAGAAATCATAGCATGTTGCAAAGACTGAGCTGAAAGTTGAGTTCCGATGACTTCCAATGTTTTGTTTTGGCTGGGTGCTTCTGTTACTTTCCAGCTGCGCGCCAGCGTGACCTCCACCACATCATCATGGGTCACAACCACAATGCTGACCTCATGGCGGACCACAAGGCGCACAAGCGCCAGACTACTCGACTTGTGCGTGAGATGTCATGAGTCAGTTCACTTCATGCCTTGTGATAAAAAGCTCCAATCCAAGAACTCTTTGTGCATTGAAGCAGAGGAGAACTGGTTGCCCAAATATTGTTTTATTGTAATGTCGATCATATCGTTATCTTAGTTATCTTAGTTATCTATAGTTATCTTAGTTATCTATAGTTATCTATAGTTATCTATAGTTATCTATAGTTATCTATAGTTATCTATAGTTATCTATAGTTATCTATAGTTATCTATAGTTATCTATAGTTATCTATAGTTATCTATAGTTATCTATAGTTATCTATAGTTATCTATAGTTATCCATAGTTTTCCATAGTTTTCCATAGTTTTCCATAGTTATCTATAGTTATCTATAGTTATCTATAGTTATCTATAGTTATCTATAGTTATCTATAGTTATCTATAGTTATCTATAGTTATCTATAGTTATCTATAGTTATCTATAGTTATCTATAGTTATCTATAGTTATCTATAGTTATCTTCTATTATTTCAAATCATGTCAGAGGTCTGTCCTGGTCACCAGGTCGCCATTGGAACCATTCACGGAATGATCGAGGCGCAGAGATTCCCGTTGACCGCCGTTGACCGCCGTTGACCTTGGCAGTGGCAAAATGCTGCCAGGTTTCATGGGGAACTGTTCTCAGGATTACTATCGTAATTGTCGTAATAGATGTTAGATATTCTTAGACATTGTTCGACATATTAGATATAATCAGCATAAGTCAAACTAGGAATCATCACAACAGACAAGAAAACCAAGCAAGTTAAAATATGTATAATTATGTTAAAATTATATAGAGTCATCCATGTTGACAATCTCTAGTAGAACCCAGAGAGGTGGAAACTGCTCATGCGTTCCGCCATTGTCAGGAGCTACACGAGGCTGGTGCCATGCTGACCATTGGAAGGGCTCAAACAGCAACTGAATTCGAATATGTAGGTTGATGTTGAATATGTTGATTGAACATGATTATATATAAACCCACTTGAACTGCAGACATAGATAAAGCGTGATACGACTTACGATTTAGATGTTCCAACATCGAATCTGGCTGGTTTTGTGGTCCTGTTGGTGCCTTTTTTGAGATATTCTTATGTGGCCATAGGAACAATTTTGCAACACGCTTGTGAGGACAAGCCGGACAAGCCAGCGCTGGCCCAAGTGTAGGGTGCTCAGAAATGTAGCATCAGATTCGGCGGTCAGCCACGTGTTCTTCCTGTGAAGCAAGAAATCTCCGCAGATAGCGAAACCGTCTTACACATCGCAATTCCTTCATTTCCGTGGGCCAGCTGCCTGTGTCATTTGAAGCCACTGGCTTAAAAGCAACCCTCTGGAAGCTCGCAACCAGGCTCCACAATAAATGATACAACAGAATGTCTCGTTCCTCGGAAAGCAATCCATCAATGAGTACTACATAGATCTACATAGTACTATCATGTACTATCTAGTGCTCTGAAACCTTGTAATACGGCTGTGGTTGTTGCAGAACATGGCGCCCACAAACCCAGCTCCGAAAGCGAAGCAGGCGGGAACCACAGCGAGAAGCAATGCTGGGCAAGGGACATGTTATGTTTTTGATTGTTTTTGGGCAGGTACGAAAACGAGATTCCAGTCCAGCACCAAAGGCACAGCCGGCGCATAGAAGTGGAATGAAATGGATAGAAATGGTCTCTTGACTGTGGCCGGATGTGGCAACCTCCCTGCGTGTTACAGGTGAACCAGGTGGCCAAGGAGGATAATGGTTCCAAGGCTGTGTCCGTTTCTTCGTATCTCTCATTGATCTCCGAGGTAAAGTTCAGCCTTGAATCAAACTTGTGATCTGCGACATGCATGGAAGTGCTCCGGAAGATTCAGCTTGAATATATTTGAACATAGTTAGACAGACAGAATCTGTGCGAAGGGCGCTGTGGCAGTGAGAAGTGACAGCCACGAATGGCTGGCGATGCTGGGGTGGATGCTCGTTCTGCTACCAGATGTTCTGACTGAATTTTTGGCAGAGCCAGAGGTCTTCACTGGCTGGACTACGAATCAACGCGATCTCTAGAACATTTCTGCCATTCTTTTTTGGTGTAAATTCGCAGCGAAAGGATTTTTCTCCTGGTCTCTACGCAGTTCGTAATGATCGTCTACACGAAGAGGCGGCCCGAAGTTGTCAGAGATCTGTGCATTTTCACACGACAACTTTACCCTGGCTTCCAGGTGCACAAACCAAGCACCTCTTCCCATGCTATTGTGTTTGGCCCAATTTGCCGTCTCATCGATTTTATCTGCAATTGTAGCCCGTCAGCAAGTATGTTGCCGCTTCTTTTGTTCCCTCTCAGACTGTGATATGCGGGATCCCATGTGATCTTCTGATATCTTCTGATATCTTCTGATATCTTCTGATATCTGTGCATCTTGTACGATAGCTCACATCAAGATCATCAAGTCAGCACTTGGAGCTGTTGGAGCACCTTTGAGCGTCCATTGGCCAAGGCTTGCATCCTGCGAAAGGGCCAGCTCTTTGCTCCAAAGGAAGTGCTGCTGGATGTCTTGCCACTCAGTGCTGTGTACCTTGGCTGGATATCTGCCCCATCAATGCCTTCTCAAGACTTTCAGCATTTTTCAACTAAGAATTTTCGATCAGATCTTTTGGGGATGATTATACACTCTGCATATCTCTGAATAAGTTACAGGTGGATAAGATTAAGATTAAGTTTAAGTTACTAAAGTTAAGATCTTAACCTCTCTGAATATCTCTCTCAAAAAATTTTGCACAGGTTAAGATTAAGTTACTAAGTTTTTCTCGAAGCGAATGACAGGTGGACTGGTGGCTTTATCCTTTTCAATGCATCAGCTCTGCATATGAGCCCTGGCATGGTGAACGTGATCCGTCCTCCAGCTGCAAATCCAGCATGTGCATCCTTCATCCTTTAACGTTCATCGCCTTCAGGATGCAGCTGTTAATCTCTGCATCTCATCGTAGAATGTTGCCTCGCGTGCCAAATTGCTATGTTAGATGTTGTTAGATTAGGTTCACTTATTGTAGAGCTTCGCACACCGGCAATGCCATGAGGGTTATGTATAGTAGTGTGAGCGTTGGTGTTGTTCATGTGCTCTGCGTGTGCGCAGGTGCAGAGCACAGTGTGATGTTCTTTTCATACCGCAGCTTGTAACCATCTTACCACACATCTTTTTGTCGCATTTTTGTGCTTGTTCTTCTTCCTCTTTGTGTTGTTGTTATTGTTGTTGTTGTTGTTGGCGGTGGTGGTGGTGTTGGTGTTGGCTGTTGCTGTTAGAAAGGGCAACATCCTTTTCCCTGGCGCCATCCCCCTTGCTGCCGGCCGGGGTCGGCGGATCTAATCTATATCTTCTATCTAGAATCTAGAATCTATCTATCTAGAATATCTAGAATCTAGAGTCTATCTATGTAGAATCTATCTATCTATAATCTGCAATACCATACCCAAAATTTAATCTATTTAGTCTATATATCTATATTTAAGATCTATCTAACTAAAACCTAATCTATCTATCCAATCTACTGTATCTAAAAATCCAACCTATATATCTATAATCCAATCTATCTGCTACGCGCTAAGAATGAATAATCTGAATCATCTAATAATCTATCTAATCGTTCTAATCTACCATATCTACTATACTCCTTCAATCTATCTGCTACGCGCAAAGAACGACACCAAGCATGCAAAAACGTGGCTGTCAGACGGAGAAACACCGTGGCAGTGAAGGACAGATGGGCCAAAAGCACGTAACCAAAAACTCCCTAACGTGTCGTCTGAAACCCTTCTAATCTCTATATCTTATCTAGTGACCTGATAACTCTTCTTCCCTTACGCGCTCCCCCTTGCGCAGCCGGGGTCGGCGGATATTGAACTATGATCATCTATGAACATCTATGAACAATGTTTAAATGGTTCTATCCAACTTCCAACCGCACGAATCTTGGTACATCCTAGCATCCACGAATCATCAAACGCCGAGGTTGCATGGAGCCTCTGGCGACCATTTGTGTTGGTTTTGCTTTGGGCCAACGATTTTCCTTCCAAGTTCTTGCAACTTTGTTGCCGATCTGTGGAGGAGCTGCTCGTTGAGAACTTGAGTGTAGCAACTGACAATTGAGAGAGATGTTCACTCTCTAGTTTAGTTGCTTAGTGTAACTTAGTGTTGTGTTGTCTACATGAGAATGGTGTTGCTGCTGGGCTGATTTCAATATGTTTCAATAACTTTCGCATTTTTTAAGGTTGCAATGGCATCTGCTAGTGGTGGGAGCATCAACTCAGCTGGGGTTTTCTTCGCAATGCTGTCGAACCTAGCGTTTTGCTGCAGCTCAGATGCACAAAGTTTTTATGTTTGAATCTTTGTAAACATGATTAAACATCGTAGCTCTTTTCTTGTTGTAGTAACCACTTGTACCAAATTCTACCTGTGATCACATTGCCTTTTTCTGCTTTCCTTTTGTAGGTGTATTGGCAACACTCCTGAGGTCGAACCTTTTGCTTGCAGCGCCTTCAGCGAAACAAACTCAATCAGCAGCTTGGGCTGCACGTTGAACATATCCCTACACAGTTCTGGCATGAATATATATGAATATCCATGGTCCATAATGGCCTGATGCTAGAAGCAACTGCGAACCAAGGCACAACTGAAAAGTAAGTAGCCAATTTGAACTTGGCTTAGGCTGGATGACTTGGCGATCTTTTTCAACGTCAGTTTGGTGTCAGCCCTTTTTCTGCCTGGGCTGGAGCTAGTGGTGGAAGCTTCAGAGGCACTGACATCTCTAGACCTGGACCAGTGGTGGGTGTTTCACCAGTGGCGGTCGCTGCTTGTTCTTTGAACTTGCTGTTGGTGCTGTTGCTGCTGCCAGCTGACCATCAGCATTCTTCCGGTTTGTGAGCGACGAGTGATGGTACTCTAGATCACGTTCTTGTGTTGGGGGTAAGACATGGCAAGACACGGTAAGACACGGTAAGACATAGCCAAATCACAATGCGGATGGCGCCCGGGCTCCTTTCCTCACCCCAGCTCTGCTTCTCTTACGGCGAGGTGCTGCCTGCCATGAAACTTGGCAACATTTGTCATGTCCACACCGTCCACACCCAACAGTGGACCATGGCAGTTGTGTCCAAAGATTCCAAAGTGTGAAGCAAGATGTGGAGCCAAGATGGAGAAATTCTATGAAATTCTGCCAAGGCAAGCCCTCGTTGCAACTGGTCGTCTCGGGAGCTTCGCATTCGACACTCGCTTTAACAAATATGTCGCTTTGACAAACTTAGTATTTGGAGCATTCATTCCTTACATTTGGCTGAGAAAACCCAGGACATGCTCGCCAGCAGCATCGCTTTCTTCTTCTATCAGATCCTCGGCCGAAAGCGAAGTCACACACCACTAAGACATTCGTTGATGCAATGAAGGCAAGAACTCGTTGCAAGTAAGCATTGTAATTGCACCTTCCTTGTTTGCACTTGTACTAGTGGGGATTTGGGGAGACAGACCGTGACAGACCCCCTCCCCATTCAGAAAAGCACAGCAACAGATTTGCCAAGGTTCGTCCAATTATTGGTGATGTCAAAACTTAGCCCTCTCGTGTCTTGGCTTGGTTTGCAAATGTTTGCAATCAGTCACATGGTTTTCTCAAAGCTTTTGATCCCGATTCGCCCAGAGTTGCTTTGAGGCTTTCTCGGTCTTGACTCCCATTGTCAAGGCGACTCACATGTTGTGTCACTGGCCGTGTCACTATCTCGCACTGAGCACTTTGGTCTACTATGTATCAGCCATTATCAGCCAGCCAGGTTGCATGTTATCAATTTATATTAATCTGAAACCTACCCCTTGCAAAAGTTTGTCAGGCTTTCATGATCGTGACCCTGACCCTCTGCTATGGAGACAGAATCAGCGTGATCAGCGTATTGTGCTTGGCCATGGGTCTTTATACAGACTGTCAGTCACGGACAATTAATTTTGCACAAGCCAGACATAATTTTAATGTATTTTACATAACGTCTGGAATCTTGCCGAACGACAAAGCCGAGGCATCGGGCATTGCTTTGTCGGTTGGTGGTGGATACCTCTTCACCCGAGCAAAATCGGTACAGAAAAAGGCAGAGGATACAGTCAAGAAAAGCACCTAACACTTACCTGGCCAAAGTTTGCCGGAACAACGAGAAATCAATTGAGACTCGGAGCACTTTCGATGGGCTTCACAGATGTCAAAATTGCAGCCTGTGAGTCCACGCGGCAAGGAGGACATCACTTCTTAAGTATCAATGTCTGCAAAGCACAGACGCTGAGTCTCGAACAAAGCTTCGAGAATTTTGGAGGAAGACATTTGCACAACCTTTATTCATTCTCATGCTTCTTTATCTTTCTTTGCATTGACAGCAAAGGAAGGCAGGAAAGAGGCCCACTCAAACTCGCCCAATTCACGTAAGGCTTGCGATGAAGATATGCAAGGTATGCTTATGCAAGCTTATGCCAGTCTCAGTGCTAGTTCTTTCTTTAATTGAATTTAGATAATTTAGTAGTTGCGTGTCGTGGAAGGATCCCAGACTAAGTTTGATTTGTGTGGCGGCCACTGTGCAGTCTTTGGCTGAGGCATCGGAAAGAGATCCTTCAGCATTTGCTACAGATTTCAGCTACGCTTGAGAGAACGTTGGGTGAACAGGTGCGGTGGCATGGGTTGCATCAGTTGCCTTGCTCGGATAGAACAAATATCAGCGACCCCCTACAATCTACAATTGTCCTACAGTAGCATTTCCCAACATTTAGGGCTGGAATTTGGCGGGATAGCACAATCGCAGTCACCAGTTTCATGAATTTTCCCGCAATTTCCCATTGAAAGTCAACTCTGCCATTCTGAGATGTTGTCTTTGTCCTGGACTATGCTTAGCCTGCGACACTGACCGAAAGCATGCAGGATGTCGATCATCTATTAGACCGCGGAGAGGCCTTTCGCTGCATTCGACTCATGCCCTCGTGTTCTGAAGTGCATGAGGATGGACAGAGTTGTTCCCCCTCAAAAACCCAACGTTTCAGGCAATATTGCAGCGGATCAACACCATCATTGCATCAGCTGCAGCTGCCATGTACCATCATCCGCGACCCAGCTGCACGGCACTGGCTTTCTGTCCCTGGAATTGGGTGAATCTGATTTGCGCACCGAGGCCAAGCATACCACCAGGACACCGTTTTGTATCGTTTTGTTACGATTTACGGTCATGCTGTTTGGATCTGTTTGGCAATGCCAGGACATGGCTTGGCTCACTTGCCACCCTATGGGGCACCAGATCCCTACCTGGGTCCGCCTCGTTTTGCGGTTGGATGTTCCAAGATTTCCAAGTGGCCGGCCTGTACCTGTGCCAGGTGGCGGGATTCCAGGGCATATGCCTCTGGGTCATCCTGTCCATCCCTGCCTCGGCCTTCATCTTAGATGAAAAGCTTAAAAAGGCTGCATTGAAGCATATTGACATCATATTGAAGTAATGAAGCGAAAAAAGTACAGCACCAAAGCTTAGTCTTTGAATGTCTTTGTTGAGAAAGTTGCTGTAGCAAGGCCTTTGACACTTTCTAGATCTAACGCGGTTGCCTGGAGATCAGTTTGGGACTCAGCATGACGTCAAGCCGACAGATGCCGACAGAATCACCATGCAGATGGCCAAGGGGACCGCCATTGTCTCTGTGGCTTGCCCGGGCCATGACGACTCTGATGTGGCATAGAACAGTTGCCCAACTGCTGGGTTGGCGGCACGCTTTTGAGTTGGTGGCCGAATTTGAACTGTTTCACGATTTTATCTGGAAGATTAGCTTCCAATGAGTGTGGAAGCAACTCTTACAGCCAGAATACAGGCAGAAATTGTAAAGGTGCATAACAGTGTACATAAAACATGGATAGATATGCACAATTTTATTTATTGCGTACATATATAACTTATATAATATAATATTATATAATCATATATCTACTGCGTGGTGCGAATACTTTATACTTTAATATACTTATTTATACTTTAATAAATGGGCTAACGCCCAGGTGCCGCCGCCCCCCTTTTTGAGGCTTCGGAATCGCAGATCACTGAGAAAATGTAAGAGACATAACTTAAAACAGTATTTGGATATCTAACTATAGACTATAGTGTTATGAGAATATTGCAGCCACAGGGCTTGCATGACAAAATATTTTTTTAACCATTTGCTGCACTATTCTTGTAACCATTCTATTTACTATGCTGGAAGCACCCCTGTTCTTGTAACCGTTCTGTTTCCTATTCTGGAAGCACCTCTGTTCTCTTAAACATTCTGTTTCCTGTTCTGGAAACACCTCTGTTCTTTTAACCATTCTACTTCCTATTCTGGAAGCACCTCTCTTCTAATCATTTGATGAATTTTTCTCAAGCTACCAGTCTTCCTGTAGCCATGCCACCTGCTATCCTGGAATCATACCCTTGATGGTCATCCTATCTGCGACCCTGAGGTAAACAAGTTTTCTAACTATCCCAGTCCCATGTCTTAGAAACACTCCATTGTAGTCAGTCATTCCTTCTGTCAACGCTCAATAATAGAATGGGCAGCCAGAAAAAGACACCACAAAAATGCAATATTGGACCTGGCAAAGCGCTGGCAAAGGGCTAAAGCTGCACGGAGGGTTTTGGGGCCCTGGTGGAACGTGCTTCGCGCAGGTTTTGAAACCCTCTAAATGCACTATTTCGACTTGGCAAGGCAAGGGCAAAGGGCGATGGCAAAGCGCTGGCAAGGGGCTACAGCTGCACGGAAGAGTTTGGGGCCCTGGTGGAACGTGTTTCGCGCAGGTTTTGAAACCCTCTCTAAATGCAGAATTTCGACCTGGCAAGTAAGGTAGCGGCAAAGGGCGAAAGGTGCACAGGATGGTTTCGTGTCCTAGTGAAACGTGCCTGGCGCAGGTGTGGAAACCGTTTAAATGCAATATTCGACCTGGCAAAGCTTTGGCAAAGGGCTAAAGCTGCACGGAGGGTTTTGTGGCCCTGGTAGAACGTGCTTCGTGCAGGTTTTGAAACCTTCTCTAATGCAGTATTTCCACCTGGCAAGGCAAGGGCAAAGGGCGATGGCAAAGCGCTGGCAAGATTTGGGGCCCTGAGGTTTTGAAACCCTTTAAATCCAGTATTTCGACCTGGCAAAGCAGCGGCAAACGGCGAAAGGTGCACAGGAGGGTTTCCTGTCCTAGTGAAACGTGCATGGCGCAGGTGTGGAAACCGTCTAAATGCAATATTCGACCTGGCAAAGCGCTGGCAAAGGGCTAAAGCTGCACCGAGGGTTTTGGGGCCCTGGTGGAACGTGCTTCGCGCAGGTTTTGAAACTGCAGTATTTCGACTTGGCAAGGCAAGGGCAAGGGCAAAGGGCGATGGCAAAGCGCTGGCAAGGGTCTAAAGCTGCACGGAAGGGTTTGGGGCCCTCATGGAACGTCCTTTGCGCAGGTTTTGAAACCCTCTAAATGCAGAATTTCGACTTGGCAAGGCAGGGGCAAAGGGCGAAAGGTGCACAGGAGGGTTCGTGTCCCAGCGCAGGTGTGGAAACCGTCTAAATGCAATATTCGACCTGGCAAAGCGCTGGCAAAGGGCTAAAGCTACACGGAAGGGCTTGGGGCCCTGGTGGAACGTGCTTCGCGCAGGTTTATTTGAAACCCTCTAAAATGTAGAATTTCGACCTGGCAAGGCAGGGGCAAAGGGCGAAAGGTGGACAGGAGGGTTTCGTGTCCTAGTGAAACGTGCCTGGCACAGGTACAGGTGTGGAAACCGTCTAAATGCAATATTCGACCTTGCAAAGCGCTGGCAAGGGGCTAAAGCTGCACGGAAGGGTTTGGGGCCCTGGTGGAACGTGCTTCGCGCAGGTTTTGAAACCCTCTAAATGCAATATTTTGACTTGGCAAGGCAAAGGCAAAGGGGGAAAGGTGCACAGGAGGGTTTCGTGTCCTAGGGTGGAACCGTCGAAATGCAAGATACGACCTGGCAAAGCGCTGGCAAAGGCTAAAGCTGCACGGAAGGGTTTCGGGCCCTGGTGGAACGTGCTTCGCGCGTTTTGAAACCTTCTAACTGCACTATTTCGACCTGGCAAGGCGCTGGCAATGGGCTGCAGAGGGGTGCTTCACGCTTCGCGGGATGGTTTCGTGACAGACATGGACAGGAGAAAGGGCATGAGGCGGCAGACATAGCCAGGAAGATGGCCCTGGCTGATGCTGCACACCTGCGGTGATCCCAGGCGCCGCCCCGCCTGCGCCAAGGCTAGGCAGGGGGCGGCGGATATACTTTATACTTTAATATACTTTATACATACTTTAATATACTTTATACTTTAATATACTTTATACACCTATTTTTTCTTAAGAGCACTCCCTGGCAATCTAGTAGAAGGGGACATGCTTTGGCAGCTGACTCTGAATCGCTGGTGAAGTACTTCCACATGGCAGCAGCTCCTCGGATGAGCACAGTCCAGTCAGTTTGGATTCTGACAAGATCATCAAACTTGTATGATATCAATGATAGCCAATGATATTGCTTCACGTTTAAAGATGTTTGAATCCACTTTAGCATTGAGATAGGCTTTACCAGTGGACATCGGGCGTGAAAAATAGACGGTCCGCAGCTTCTCTAGCGGTCGAGTCAAAAATCGTCCCAGGCTTGATGGCACCATATGGCACCACTGTGTCTTGCCGTGTTGGCTCAGCTTGAACCACAAGGGGCCACTTTGAACCCAAATGCACGCTCGACCTGGAGATGTAGACTTTCCAGCAAGCTCAATGCTACATGAGTATTTGTAGCTTGTTGAGCCTTTTCTTTAACAATGCTTTAAAGAATAAGAGTATGAAGAAACATGCACTCAAGACATATTTTGATACTCTTCGTCTCCAACATTTTCTCTCTGAAGCGCAAGGGTCGTGGCCCAAGTGACCTGGAACCTCTGAGCCCTCTCACTTTCTTTGTCCTCTTTGCGCGGTTTGAGAAACTGTTTGACGAGAAGCATTGATATGAGCAATCAGGGACTCAAAATGAAATCACAAACAGGCGTATTGCTATGATTAATGTGCGCATCCCTTTGTCCAGGCCATGAGACCCTTCTTCAAGCCAGATAGTGGGACACCTAGAGCCTCAAGCCATGAAAGAGCTCGCAAAGTCTTAGACCTTCGGAGCAGTTTGTTGTATTTGCTTGCGTTTTTAGCTTATGTTTTTTTGGGTGGTTCCCCGAGACGGCAAAGAGACAGATCGAAATGATCCATCTTCTCATGGTCCAAAGTCCAAAGGCAACTTTTTCAAGTAGGAGTTATATAAGCGTATTCTAAACATATTGTCTACCTGGTAGTATCCCAACGGCAGCGTGTATATCTCAGCTGGTGGCAGTTTGTGGCAGCTGGTCAGGTTGCAGTGTTGATGGATTGTCTTCAGCGGGCAATCCACTGTCCAGAGCCTTTGATGCGCTGACAGCCGTGTGATCCCAAGAACGCAACGGATCATCGACCACAGAATTGCGATATCCAACAGGATCCAACAACACCATTTTTGTTGACCTTTGCAGAGGCTTTCTTTTGATCTTATGGATTGGATGGTTGATTCTGGATGGTGGATGCTGGTGGTATCATACCTTATATTCATACCACTGAATGGTCATTGGACCCCAAAGAGCAACACATGCCACTGTGGAGACTGTGGAAAATTCAGATCCTCAGCATCTACGTGAGATTTCTGGGGCCAAGGACAAGCATCATGCGCAGCAGCTGCGCGAGGGCTACTTGGGAGGGATGAGGCATCGCGTCACCGGCAGAGCCCATTGCGCTCACAGGATAGCCATATTGTCAGGTCGCAAGGTGGCACATAACCAGAGACGTTGATTTTCAATATAACTAACATTGATCCACGTGACCACCAATTAGCTGCTTTACCCACGAATCTGCGAGGCCGCCGTCCACGACTGAGTGCTTCATATCATGAATCGAATTCTTCAGCAGCCACTGATGAGAAGATCTTACTGAGGATGGGCCCCTTAGGTGGCCAGATGCTTGATCCCATGAGAGGTGTCAGGCACTTAGCATATTCTGACTTCCGCCATGCCATGCCACATATTTTAGCATCGTTCTTTTGCGTGAACCGTACGCCTATGTCATGACATGCTAGCAACCGCTGTTGTTTTCATCGAACCATTGCATTGTATTTCTCTACCTACCAGTTTCTTCTTGAACGGTGGAGGGTTGCTTTTGTTTCCACAAAGAACAAGAAACCACAAGAGAAGAATGATAAGTTTTGATGCTCCAATGCACATTTTGGAACCTAGTCATGTGGAGATGTGGCTGTGAATCACTAGGAATGGCTAGGAATGGCTGGGAAGGTGGTGCTCCCCGAGGACATGGAGAGTGCCTGGCGAGATGCTGGGGCTGGGCCGATGGGGATGCCTTGGCATGTTTGGCAAAGACATATGGGGGTTTCCATGAATGGGGGATCCAATGGGAATCCCAAAATGGATCAAAATGGTTGTTTTATAATCGAAGATCCATGAAAATCCTATAAACATGGATGATTTAGGGGTACCCCCATTTCAGGAAACCTCCATATGACATAGATTGATATAGATTGACATAGAGGAAGCGGAAGGAAGCCACTGTGAGAAATGCCAGGCCCAGACCCATGGGGCCAGGTATGGGAGCCGCAATGCAGGAGACCTAGAGAAACTGCAGAAACTCAGCAATTTTCACTCAACTTGATGCAATTTTTGTGAATTGAGAGACCATTTTTAAAAAACATGAGTCCAAGCCAGGTCTGACCAGTTTCGACAGCACATGGAGGCTGCGGGTCCAATGGCGTCTGAGTCCTGAACTTGGATTTGATACTCAATGATGCTCATTTGACTCATTAAGTACTCATTTGGTTCAGATGATCAAGCATGCTTCACAGTTTGGTCTCTGGAATGCGTTCACCCTCCCGAACTTTGATGTTTCCGGGCTCTATGTTAAGATCGCGCATTTGAGCCCTGACCATCCTGACCTGTGCAAACTTTAAGGCCTGGCTTTTTCGATGGGCAAGGACCTCAAACGTGAAGCTGTGACTGCTCTTTTGTTTGGTCATCGCATGTCGTCGATCTAAGGCCTGCACCAGTTGTACAAATGCCACATGCTAGCGCGCATCTCAGATCCCAGGTGCCAAGAAGAGCACTTGAAATTGTGAACCCGAACAATTTCCCAGGTGACTAATCACTTAGTATCGCATCTTTGAGATGTTTTTGATTTTTGGTGTTTTAGCCAACATTTCCATTACGATCGGGCCATCTTGAATTATTTTTGGGACTCTATACTACTTGTAGATCTTGTAGGGTCTAACTTCAGCCCCTATGTATCCATTTGTCCGTAATCTTGGGTGCTAAATCCAAGTGCCAGCTCCTAAAGTGGGATGTCCTTCTGCTTGTTGCTGCAACATGTGCATACTAGAAATGTCATATCGTGCATGATGTACAGATGCTGTATCTATCCAGCAATTCCGTCGCACACCAAATGTTCCAACGTTCAAACCTGGGATGTTCAACGTCGAAGTTTAGCTTTGCATTTGGCACACAACGACCATTTTTGTCCACTAAATCTCTCTCTCTCTTGCATTATGTGATTGTAGACACAGGCAGTGTACACATCATCTAATATTCACATGTATGTTCGCATATTATATATTTATGTAATTTATATATATATATAATATATGATATATTATATATATATATATTCACATTTATATATTGGCATGAAATGCTCAGGATCCATGGTTCAGCCGCTTCCGGCTCCAGGTGATCCATGGGCTCAGGAATTTGCCTCGAGCTCAGACAGCCTTTGCCGACAAGGTGTTGGAGAGTGTTGGGCAATGGAGCAACCATGATCAATCAGAAAAAATACCACCATAGATCATAGATCACCATATCTATCTCCACTATTGTTGGTTATCCCATCTTATACCCTCTGGTAATCAAACGTGACAATGGTAAATCCCCGTGACAAATGGAGGTTTCAATGGGAAAATCATCTATAAATGGGGAATCTCAATTGCCACGTTTGATTTCCGGAGGGTATCGTTATATTACGTTGATCGGTTTAAACCTCCTAATCTGATCTGATTAGTGACTTGTGATATCCCCTGACCGAGGCAAGTGCTGGCCCCTCCCAAGGTTTTGGACCGATGGTCCATGGTCCGCGGCCACACGGTCCTGACTGGGCAATGGAGTGCTTTGGCTGCAGCCAAGTGCAGCCCAGAGCAGCCAAGCGCTTTGTTACATGCATGTCTTGGGATTTCTGAAGGAGGCAAGACATAGATTTTTGGAGATGCTTCCCAGCAACTGATTTATGTTGAAGCGGGAGTAGTATCCAGATGAAGGCTTCTAGTGTTCAAGATTACACAGCTTGCGAATTGGAACTTCTCGAATCTACTTCAATCGCAGAACTATGCAGACTCACTGGATAGAGACAGGTGAACACTCAGGGCTGTATCCCTGGGTGTGTAGCACCAGGGGTTCACTTTCCATATCCTGCATTCAATACCATTCAATTGACGCAAGCCTATCTATGTCACACAAGCAATGACAGATGACAGCATGTGTTGGTTGAGTGCTTTGATCTGGCTCAGGTTCAGAGCGTTTGAGCCTCATTTTCAGCTGCAGCTTCACAAGTCAAAGAACCGGTGAGAAACGAGAGAAGATCTTTGCTGCACAGGCAACAGAATAGCGCTCCTTTGGACGCTGCCTGGCAACAGGCCGAATAGAGCTAGTCAGATATAGTCAGATCCTGGTTTGACTTGGGATGTTTCGGTTGCTTCCAACTTGTATTGCTGGCAGTAGTTGAAGAATTTCACGCGGTCGCAACTTGCCTGTTCAACCTGCAGGCCTCTGCTGCACCAGGTTGGGATGATTTTCCTCGTTGCAACTGATGTGGGAATGGGCGGAAAAGGTCCAAACATGTCCAGCCCGCACGTGGATAGGTCAGATGGCTTCCTCTTCTGCTATGGGGCCAACAGCCATGCCGGAATCCCAGCTTCAACCTGGTCCTCATCAATGAAATCCCAAGACATTTGAAGTTCGGAACCCGTTTTAAGGTCTGGGCCAATGGGCCCAATGATGGGACCCATGATGGGACCCATGATGGGACCTATGATGGGAATGTCCATGCATCGGGTGCTGCTCTCAGTTGGGCAGATGATCAAAGATGCTCAAATTGGATGGAGAGCGGGAGAGCCATCGATAGCCACCATGTCTTGCCCAGGGGCCAGGGCCCATGGCGGCCGCGCCTGTTGCAGCACCGGTTGTAGCAGATGCGGCTATGAAGGAGGTCGGGTTGAGACATGTTGAGACATCGTTGCAGTGGACAGAGATGGCCTTGGGAATCTGTCAGAATTTGCCTGGGGGTTTTGGTCCTTTTTGAATCAGACGTTTGTATCCGGAAGCTCTGCAAGGCAAAGGTGGAATCAGCTCCGCAAGAGACGGCGCAGGCAGCTTCAACAACCGCTGCTCTTTGTATTTCACCTGCTTCAACATCTTCAACTGGTAGGTTGAGGAGGCTGACTTAGAACAGGCAGCTCAAATGGTTGACATGCCGAAGCCCTAATTCTTTCATGGCGGGGGTGCTCGTTTACCCTGATTCATTGGATCTGAGGCTCAGAAACAGTGGCAACCCGAAACTTGCCAACTCCCGATTTGTTAGCTTCATCGACAAAGTGAGCAAGGCCACAGCAGCTCACTGCAGAGAGAGGGTGCATTGCTTGAAAAGGGTCAACAGATGTTAGCAGGTTGACCGATTTTGTTGATATTAGATGATATTAGTTCCATTAGTTACTTAGTTCCTGTTTGGTGTGTGCAAATTCACAGCATGCTGTACTTTATCTATTGCTTTTTGTTGCGCTGTTGCCTAAGTCTGATATATCATATATATCCTTGACAGGGCGAACTCCAGTTCAAGGAGAACACCGTCATAGATCGAGCAGGAAATCAGGTGGCCGGCGCCTTGGTAGGGGGGATCAGTCATCAGCCCACGAAATTCATCGATCCCATGGGTCGCCATCAAGGATTGGGACTCGTTGTACGACACGGATGTGGCCACTGCAACCGCATCAGATCAAAGCCAGCTGGTGCAACTGCCACAAGTCTTATTGCCGGGATCTTGAATTATGGATAATTATGACATATTATGACATTTGTCAGCTGTTGGTTGCTGTTGGTTGCTGTTTCATGAAGTCAAACTGCCATCCTGTGATGATGTTTTGCTGCCCAGCTTTGGAGCCAGGAGAACCTCTGGAAGAAGTCAGCGGATCCGGCCAGCCAGCTCCTCAGGTTCCTGAAAGCTCACCACTTTGTGAAGCTGAGTCAAGATGAGTCAAGGTATGGAGCAATTCCTTGGGAGCACCTTCAACAAAGCAGATGCAGATCGCTTTGGGGAGGAAGGTCGACACGAGTGGTTTGCATCCCTGGAGTCCCTGGAGTCCCCCATGACATTCTGTTTGGGTGGGCGTTTTGCCACGTCTTGCCTAGAGCATGTTCTTTGAGTGGCCAGTCCAGTTTTGGTGGTTGCATGGTAAAACAGGGATGCTAGGACAAGACAGGTTGGAGGTCAGGTGGGAGGCTGTTATGTTTTTGTTCAATGTTGTAAATCTAAATGTTTGACTGTTTCTTTTTGATTATCTTGCTAAATGTGTTGTTGAGGTTGTTGTGATAATGTTTGGATTGAATGAAGGGGATAATTGTTGAGGTGGTCAGAGTTTCTATGTGTAGGTTCAGGTTCAAATTCTACCAAGCTGTTGTTCAACGATGTCGAATTATTCACGTCGCTTCGCGACGGCAACCGCCCGCACCGCATCGTTGGGCAGCCGCTCGTAACTGCCAATGATGTCGGCCATTGAGACCAAAAACATCCGAAAGTACTGATTGTCGGAAAAAAAAACGCGAAGAATTTGATAGCCATGTATAGCGGACCAACGCAGTTCAAAAAATAACGAAAAACATGAAAAAACGGCGAAATTGCTGTTATTTACAGTGTTTTTGCGCGGTGAGAAGCAGAAACCACTGCAAATACCATGGTTTTTGAGGGTCAGGTGTTTTTTTTAACCAACGTCAAAAAACACTGGTATTTACGATGTTTTCATTCACACCGTAACATAAAACAGCGTAATTTACGAGGTTTTTGGAAGTTTTGAAGCTAGCCGTCAAGCATGCAGAAAACAGAAAAACACTGTAAAAACCAGTGTTTCTGCTATCACAAAACGACGAAAATCAGTCCGAAAACGGGTCCAAAAACTCAAAAATCCGCCTCCGGGCCCGGCCACCTGCGGAACCGCAAAAAAAGATGTTGCAAACCAAAAAATTGAGGTCAAAAAGTTGAAAAACACGTTTTTTTTCACTTTTCGCTTGCCGATTTTGGACGGGCGCGTTCACGAACAGGTGTCTTCCGTACTGTTTTTTACAGTGTTTTTTGAAGGCGAGCGTCACGACCTATCAAAAACAGGAGGTTTTGGCCGAAAAATGCCCCCCCCAGGTAAACCTGTAACCTTTTACGAGTGCCATCCGGAAGATCACGCCCCAGCACCTTCGGTGCGGGCGGATTTGCTTCAAATTCATGTATTGATTGAGGTTAGGCGCTGTGGTTCCTGTTTGGTTTTGCATATCAAGCATCCTTCAATACCAAAGCCAGTTTGGCACAAATTGACTGAACCGATGTATTGTCCCTTTCCTTCGACATTCCGCAGATGCATCTTTGTGAGGCAGGTTGAGCTTGTGCCAGGCCGGTTCGTCCTTCCAAGCGGTCATGCACGAACACAGCCCGCAAGGGCTTTTCCGGCGCAGACCGTTAAAACTGGTTGGACGTTGTTGAGAACAGGGAGCGTCGTAGTGCTGGTTCTCCAAGCTCTCATTCAAAGGTTCCTTCCTGGCTTCTTCATGAACAGGGCAGTGAGGAAGGCTGGGCAAAGGCTGGAAAGGACAGAGCCCGCCCCTGCACGGCCGGTCGAGGAGGAATACATCAAGGACTTCATCAATTCACCTCAACGTAAAGCTTTGAGCACCCCTTCCTTCTTGGTGGTCAGTGGTTCCCAAGGCATTGGGAAATCAACCATGCTGAACAATCTCCTGAGTGAGCATGTGAAGAATGGCAAAAGGGTGCTCCCGCTCAAGATGTCAAGCCGTCCTGGTGAGGACTTGAAACTCAATGAAGCGCTGCCCAAAGCATTGCAAGCAGTAAATTTTCCGCGATACTACCCAGAACAAGTGGAGTACTGTATATGCTGGAAAAGGTGAACGAGACGTGCAAGCGCCGAACAGGCAGTGCCGTCGTGGTATACCTGCAACTCACAACCAAAAGCCGCGGAGACAAATTTAGTAGGGATGCCTGTGATGACATTGCTTCCACCCTCGGTGCCTGCGCTCGCAACATCACCTACGACAATGCCGCGTGCAAGTTCATTTTGGAGGTCAGCGTGTCTGCCGTGGCCGACATCATCACCGAAAGGTTTAACATGTCAAGGCTGGTTGTGGTGCGACCGCTACCTTTCGAAGACTTCACATCTGTGGTCAAGGAGGTGGCAAAGCAGGGAAACGACTTCCGGACGCTGAACAAGGTTCTTGCCGCCGAAGATGACATGGACGAGGTGTTGAAGCACTACTACATCCTCACAGGGGGCAACTTCCGCGACTTGAACTTGATACTGGAAAACGTCTCCAGAGCAGGTCAGAAAGGTGCGGATGCGGTCATCGAGCGGGTTGAGCAGTGGTACAACCGGAGGGTGGAACCAATTGAAAAGAAATTGGATGACCAGGAAGTGAAGGACTATCTCCTCAAGGTGGCTGAGGCAGGACCCATGGGGTATCTCCCAAACAACAAGCAGACGACCCAAATGACTTTGAATCTTCTTCGTGAGGAGCCAGCAGACTGCGTCCTGAGGAGTACAACCAGTGAAACTGTGGCTTTGAAACATTGGCATTTCGTCGCCAAGCTCTTTGAAGAGGATGAGCAGAAGTTGAGGGATGCAGGATACATGCGAGCTTCGCCGGTGAAAAAAAACTGTGGCGCTGCGGCGCTTGAGATGTTTTGTGGGTGAGTCATCCAAGAGTAATTTTCACGTATTGCATGCATAACCGCAGATACCCAACCCTAGTATCAATGATACCCAGATACCAGTATCTAAGCATCAACGATACCCAGAGCCTAGTATCAATGACACCCAGATACCAGTATCCAAGTATCAACGATACCCAGAACCGAGTATCAATGATACCCCAAACCGAATATCAATGATACCCTGATACCAGTATCCAAGTATCAATGATACCCAGAACCGAGTATCAATGATACCCAGAACCGAGTATCAATGATACCCCAAGCCGAGTATCAATGATACCCAGATACCAATATCCAAGTATCAACGATACCCAGCACCAAGTATCAATGATACCCTGATACCAGTATACAAGTATCAACGATACCCAGAACCGAGTATCAAGGATACCGTGATACCAGTATCCAAGTATCAACGATACCCAGAACCGAGTATCAATCATTCACCGAACAAGCAGCAACAGACAAATCGTTTCACCCAGAACTTTTTTAGCCAAACCGTCAAACGCGGACAAATCGTTTCACCCTCAACTTTTGACAAAAGCATGAAACACGGACAAATCGTTTCACCCTCAACTTTTATAGCCAAACCATCAAACACGGACAAATCGTTTCACCCTGAACTTTTGAAGACAAAAAATCCGTACTTCAACAAGTGTCCTAAAACCATCGTTTTAGCGTTCAAAAAACATCGATTTAAGACACTTGTTAAAAACACAATTTTTAGAGCAACAGACCCAAAAACACTTAAAGAAATGACGCCTTATAGAATCAAGAATTGAATATGCCCTGCTATATGTATATTAACGGTATGAAACAAGAAATGGACGAAGACCTTTTTGACCAAATGGCGGAAGCACTACACCAATCCAGCAACCCTCAAAATCCACCAACCACAACATCCACAAGATGGAAACCCGACGGAACTTACGACAAGAAACCATTAGACCCCAATTATATTTCAAAGTATTATCACAAGAAATTATCAACCCCTTTCACCTGTCCAGACTGCGGACGAACCATCACAAGCAAATCCAATCTATCAAAACACCGTCAAACCAACAGATGTATGAACAGCAGACGACACTAAAATTAAAACCTTCTCATTAACAACGCTTTGTTAATCAGAATATTTTATCTATTCATTGTCCATTCCCGTTTGTTTGACACAGTTGTTCTTTGGTTGCCATAGAGCATAGTATTGAAAAATTCAACGCTTACAAAACGGACATTCAACCTTCAAAAGGCGTTGTTCTATTATTTTCTCTTCATTCAAACGGCGTTTTTCTATGTTTTTCTATTATTTCCTCTTTATGTTTGTGATAGTATGCTCTGGCACGTGCCTTGCCTCTTTCATAGTATTCTCTCGCTTGCTCTGGATTGTCCAGTTTCCACTCCTGTTGCGTCCTACCTGCAATCTGTCTATTGACACATTCTGTTGCTTTGATATGTCCCCCTTCTCTTTTGAACAATTCTTCCTTACTTTGACACGGGTAGTTCTCAATCAGTTCAATCGTACAATTCTCAATACCCAATTCATTGAATATATCTATTGCGGTTGTCTTCTTTTTCATCCTCCCTTTGATGTATTCCTTATATTGTGTTCTATGTCTTTCCATTCTTTTTCTCAAACTGCCAATGCTTGGAGTTAGTGAAGAGGAACTGAAAAGAGATAGAGAAAGGTTAATACATTTCATAAAGGAAAATCCTTATCCTGATTATAGATTTATAGAATATGACCTAATACTAAAGCAAAAACAATCTTTAGAGCAATACGCAGAGTATGGAGAGATAAACCACGACCTTATGAAAGAAATTTATGAAAACATATTTGATAAAGATTTAATCAAAAAACACGGTGAGAGGATACATCACAGAGGAGGAAAGACACCATTACAACAAAACTATCCTACGCTATTGTCAGTGTTGGGATACTTGATTGACCAACGAGGACTTGATAGAGACACAATCATTTTAGTGTTCTACAACATCAAAACGATTGTTTGTCAATGTTGGGATGGCATAGGTAGTGGTGATGAAAAGTGGAGACACTAAACCTAACGATTAGTTCATAATATCTTAATAAAATATATTATGAAGTAATCCACCCTAAAAACCCCTTAAAGACATAACCCCTTAAAATTGTAGAGGTATAATGACTGACAAAAAGCAGTGTTCTAAATGTAAAGCCTACCCTCATCATACCCTACCTGACATACCCTACCCTCATCCAAACCAAACATTAATCAAACAACTCCGACGAAACATTTAGCAAGATTAACAGAAAGAAACAGTCAAACATTTAGATTTACAACATTGAACAAAAACATAACAGCCTCCCACCTGACCTTTAACCTGTCTTGTCCCAGTTCCCCTGTTTTACCATTTTTTTGTGGGCGTTTTGCCACGTCTTGCGCCTAGAGCATGTTCTTTGAGTGGCCAGTCCAGTTTTGGTTGCAGCCTGATCGTTGAGAAATGCTTGAGTCAAAAAGACACGTTCTTGGAGGTGACTTCAACTTTCCACCAGACTTCTTGCAGTCTCAGCGTGAGGCTTTGGAGGACTCTTAGGGGAGCTGTGGAAGGGCAAATGCGGGGAGAGAGCTTTTCTTAAACTTGAACAACTTGAGCGATGTTCACTTTTTGATACTTTTTGCCTCAAATCGACATGTGGTCAAGCAATGCAGGTAGTTGGCACATGTTGGCACATGTTGGCACATGTTGGCACATGTTGGCACAAGGCTGTTAGCCACTTTTCTCATCTTTTCTCTATTTATTGCATCATGTGTTTCCCAAACGACTCACAGGCGGCTTTTGGCTCCACAGAGGAGGCCGGAGATCTGACCGTAAAACATCGCAGTGATGTTGTTTAACGAATACGACGGAGCATCAATATGTAACGAGTACGATTCAGTATGATGTTGATGAAACATGATGGAACAAAGTAGTATAAACTTAGAACCACTAAGACGATTAGATATTATATGATATTATAATATTCAGAAAAAATAAGTCGTGGCAAACAATCGAATAAGATCCTGGAATAAGCCATTGTGATCTGTGTTTGTGCAGCTTTTTTTGTTTGGAGGGGTATGTTCCTTTATGCTCTTTGTGATCTCTTGTGTGTTTGTTTGTGCAGGCTGATAGGATGATGGAGCAAATGATGGAAGGCCAGGGACATCGATGACATCAGATCACCTCGGATCAACTCGGAGTGCTCAGGTTTGCCCGGATATGATCCTGGTGCCATGAACATTGCCATTGCCTCAAGAGATAGAGACTGTTCTTGGCACAAAGAAGTACCTTACACAATACTTGTAGCTAAGGATGCCATCAATCGCGGGAGGGACTACACCTTTGCAGAAGAGAATCCATTTCGTACCTAAGCTACAATTAAATCACTTCAAGAAGCAAATTTGGCGGTGGGAGTATTGTGGCTTGATAGAAATTTGTCCTGCTTGGGGCTCTTTGGTTTATCATTATCCTTCTGGATATGCCACGAAAAGACTCAATTTTGTCCGTAGAGTGCTTGAAGGGCTCAATTGCCAAAACACCAAAGAATGATTCTTGGCAAGTCCAGTGAAATCTTTGGAGTTTGCGGATTCTGCATGCATCATTATATATTGTATAGTAATTTAATGTAATTTATTGTAATTCTTTTTCCTGACTACCATTATTATTATTGTTATATTTTTATTATTAATCCTTGTTGTAGTGACCCCGGCACACTCCATTTCCACCGTGCGATCTGTCAGTCTACCGAGGTGAAGTCACCGATCCACTCGCGGAAGCCCTGCGGCTTATTCGAGAAGGCGAGTTCGAAATCTCCAGAAATCTCCAGAAATCTCCAGAAGCAGCCATCGAGTCACAATGTTTGAAGAGTTTTGAAGCCGTGCCAGCGAGCTTCTTGTGGCGCGGTGTGAAAAAAACCACTCACACAAGTCTTCAATACCAAGTATAAGTACACATAGGAAAAAATCTTGAAGCACTTCTTTGCGAGCTGGAAAAGTCAATAGTTTCAATTTACTACTTGTACTGCTTGCGCTTTTAAGTATTGCTGTGACAACCAGGAGCATTGTCATTCTGTTCAGCTTTTGAAAGAAACTGCTTCGCATGTAGTCCTGCAAAATCTTGAGCGCCATGTGTTGTCGAAAAGTCACAACAACATCCACACCAACCACAACTACCACAACCGATAACGTTCATGGCGTCTACCACAGCCATGGATATCGAGATAGATTGTAATGCCCACGTGAAGTGTGTATGCTGCACGTCTCCTGCTGGTACGTCTACCCTCGGTAGACCACAGCATCATGATGATGATGATGATGATGATGATGATTGTCGTTTACGAGGCTCTTTCATATGATTCAATCACCGAGCCACCATGGACAGCTGTTTCGGTTTTGTCCCTGTCCCCAGCGCAAGGAAGAGATAGGGAGGCACTGCTTTGCTTGGAAGCTGAGGCGGCTGCCATTGCCAAACAAGTCAGGATTTCCCTGGATTTTCCCGTTTTCCTTAGTTTTTTTGAGAAGCACAAGCAGGACACAATGGAACCTGCAAAGGATGACTTTTCCCCAAAATGCACAAACGCTGGACATCGCTGAACTGGGGCTTCAGCCAGGTCCAAAGGAATACAGAAAGCTCAGAGGGTTGGAGACTGCCAGAGCTTCAGCTGCCCAGCTTTCAATTCCACGAGAGAAACTTGGACGATGCATTTGAGGCTTGGTCAGCTCTATGCGGAGTTGGATCAAGACATAGAGGTTTGGGCTTTGGAGAGATATTTGCACAATTTTGGACAGATATTCTCAAAAACTTGATGTGTTCAATGGCAGCTGAAGTGCCTGAGGCAATTCAATGCTTGAGGAAGGGGCACGAGGTGGAACTCCGCTCCGGCTATTGCTTTCAGAATTTTCATATAATATATTTTAAATTATTTTAATATATTATAATATAAGGTTTCGTGATGTTTGGTATGATTATGTATATATTGTCATCTATGTTATATGTGTTATTACAATGTATATATTATACGTATAATATTATTCTTGGTATTCTCATTATTACGAAAGCCAGCCGGGAAGCTGGCTAATTGTTATTTGCGAACGAAGTGAGAATAGGGGTCTGGGGGGGGGTAGTTGCCAAACGGGCCAAAAATGGCGGAAATAGGTGGTGTTTTAGGACCGCGCAAAGTATGGTTTTGCAGGGTAATGTACCAGGCGGCAAAACAGCAGATAGATGGGCCAGCTAGTGGGAGGAGATTGGAGAGAGAAGGACATTGGGATGAAAGTTGACATCCGCTAGGTCCGGTTGTTTTCTAGGTCCATGGGTCAAAAGTATGTGGGTGAAACAGGTATGAGTAAAAAGTCTGAAGGTGCAAAGTCTGTGGGTGAAAAGTCTGTCCAAGAAGAGTTTCTGGGTGAAGAGTCTCTGGGTGAAAAGTATATGGGTGAAAAGTATATGGGTGAAAGGTATATGGGTGAAAAGTATATGGTTGATCCGTCTATGGGTGAAAAGTATATGCGTGAAAAGTATGTGTAAGAAGAGTTTCTGGGTGAAGAGTCTCTGGGTGAAAAGTATGTGCAAGAAGAGTTTCTGGGTGAAGAGTCTCTGGGTGAAAAGTATATGGGTGACAAGTATATGGGGGAAAAGTCTGTGGGAGAGAAGTATGTGCAAAAAGAGTTTCTGGGTGAAGAGTCTCTGGGTGAAAAGTATATGGGTGAAAAGTATGTGCAAGAAGAGTTTCTGGGTGAGTCTCTGGGTGAAAAGTATATGGGTGAAAAGTATGTGCAAGAAGAGTCTCTGGGTGAAAAGTATGTGCAAGAAGAGTTTCTGGGTGAAGAGTCTGGGTGAAAAGCATATGGGTGAACAGTATGTGCAAGAAGAGTTTCTGGGTGAAGAGTCTCTGGGTGAAAAGTCTGTGCAAGAAGATTTTCTAGGTGAAGAGTCTCTGGGTGAAAAGTATGTGCCAGAAGAGTCTCTGGGTGAAAAGTATATTGGTGAAAAGTATGTGAAAGAAGAGTTTCTGGCTGAAAAGTATGTGCAAGAAGAGTTTCTGGGTGAGTCTCTGGGTGAAAAGTATATGGGTGAACAGTATGTGCAAGAAGAGTTGCTGGGTGAAGAGTCTGTGGGTGAAAAGTATATGGGTGAAAAGTATGTGCAAGAAGAGTTTCTGGGTGAAGAGTCTCTGGGTGAAATGTATATGGGTGAAAAGTATGTGCAAGAAGAGTTTCTGGGTGAAGAGTCTCTGGGTGAAAAGTCTGTGCAAGAAGATATTCTAGGTGAAGAGTCTCTGGGTGAAAAGTATGTGCCAGAAGAGTCTCTGGGTGAAGAGTCTCTGGGTGAAAAGTATGTGTAAGAAGAGTTTGTGGGTGAAGAGTCTCTGGGTGAAAAGTATATGGGGGAAAAGTATGTGCAAGAAGGGTTTCTGGGTGAAGAGTCTGTGGGTGAAAAGTTATATGGGTGAAACGTATGTGCAAGAAGAGTTTCTGGGTAAAGAGTCTCTGGGTGAAAAGTATATTGGTGAAAAGTATGTGAAAGAAGAGTTTCTGGCTGAAAAGTATGTGCAAGAAGAGTTTCTGGGTGAGTCTCTGGGTGAAAAGTATATGGGTGAACAGTATGTGCAAGAAGAGTTGCTGGGTGAAGAATTTCTGGGTGAAAAGTATATGGGTGTAAAGTATGTGCAAGAAGAGTTTCTGGGTGAAGAGTCTCTGGGTGAAAAGTATGTGCAAGAAGAGTTTCTGGGTGAAGAGTCTCTGGGTGAAAAGTATATGGGCGAAAAGTATGTGCAAGAAGAGTTTCTGGGTGAAGAGTCTCTGGGTGAAAAGTATATGGGTGAAAAGTATGTGCAAGAAGAGTTTCTGGTTGAAGAGTCTCTGGGTGAAAAGTATGTGCAAGAAGAGTTTCTGGGTGAAGAGTCTCTGGGTGAAAAGTATATGGGGGAAAAGTATGTGCAAGAAGAGTTTCTGGGTGAAGAGTCTCTGGGTGAAAAGTATATGGGTGAAAGTATGTGCAAGAAGAGTTTCTGGTTGAAGAGTCTCTGGGTGAAAAGTATGTGCAAGAAGAGTTTCTGGGTGAAGAGTCTCTGGGTGAAAAGTATATGGGGGGAAGTATGTGCAAGAAGAGTTTCTGGGTGAAGAGTCTGTGGGTGAAAAGTATGACCAATGAAGTTTCTGGGTGGAGAGTCCCTGGGTGAAAGTATGTGCAAGAAGAGTTTCTGGGTGAAGAGTCTCTGGGTGGAAAGTCTGTGCAAGAAGAGTTTCTGGGTGAAGAGTCTCTGTGTGAAAAGTATATGGGTGAAAAGTATGTGCAAGAAGAGTTTCTTGGTGAAGAGTCTCTGGGTGAAAAGTATATGGGTGAAAAGTATGTGCAAGAAGAGTTTCTGGGTGAAGAGTCTCTGGGTGAAAAGTATATGGGTGAAAAGTATGTGCAAGAAGAGTTTCTGGGTGAAGAGTCTCTGGGTGAAAAGTATATGGGTGAAAAGTATGTGCAAGAAGAGTTTCTGGGTGAAGAGTCTCTGGGTGAAAAGTATGTGCAAGAAGAGTTTCTGGGTAAAGAGTCTCTGGGTGAAAAGTATATGGGTGAAAAGTATGTGCAAAAAGAGTTTCTAGGTGAAGAGTCTCTGGGTGAAAAGTATATTGGTGAAAAGTATGTGCAAGAAGAGTTTCTGGGTGAAGAGTCCCTGGGTGAAAAGTATATGGGTAAAAGTATGCGCAAGAAGAGTTTCTGGGTGAAAAGTATATGGGTGAAAAGTATGTGCAAGAAGGGTTTCTGGGAGAAGAGTCTCTGGGTGAAAAGTATGTGCAAGAAGAGTTTCTGGGTAAAGAGTCTCTGGGTGAAAAGTATATGGGTGAACAGTATGTGCAAGAAGAGTTGCTGGGTGAAGAGTCTGTGGGTGAAAAGTATATGGGTGAAAAGTATGCGCAAGAATTTCTGGGTGAAGAGTCTCTGGGTGAAAAGTCTGTGCAAGAAGATTTTCTGGGTAAAGAGTCTTTGGGTGAAAAGTATGTGCCGGAAGAGTCTCTGGGTGAAAAGTATGTGCAAGAAGAGTTTCTGGGTGAAGAGTCTCTGGGTGAAAAGTATATGGGGGGAAAGTATGTGCAAGAAGAGTTTCTGGGTGAAGAGTCTGAGTGCAAGAAGAGTTTCTGGGGAAGAGTCTCTGCGGTGAAAATATGGGTGAAAAGTATGTGGTGAAAAGTATGTGCAAGAAGAGTTTCTGGTGAAGAGCCTCTAGGTGAAAGTATATGGGTATGGGTGAAAAGTATGTGCAAGAAGAGTTTCTGGGTGAAGAGTCTCTGGGTGAAAAGTATATGGGTGAAAGTATGTGCAAGAAGAGTTTCTGGGTGAAGAGTCTCTGGGTGAAAAGAGTATATGGGTGAAAAGTATGTGCAAGAAGAGTTTCTGGGTGAAGAGTCTCTGGGTGAAAAGTATATGGGTGAAAAGTATGTGCAAGAAGAGTTTCTAGGTGAAGAGTCTCTGGGTGAAAAGCATATTGGTGAACAGTATGTGAAAGAAGAGTTTCTGGCTGAAAAGTATGTGCAAGAAGAGTAGATGGGATGCTGGCTTTCGTTCCCCCCTTCTCAGGTCATATATGCGCATATATATATATATATATTTGATTATTATATTATGATCCCCCACATTTTCTCTGCTCGCATCCAGGTTGACCCCTACAACTTGGACAGTTTACTCGCCCTGGGCTGGGAGTCCCAGAGAGTCCCAGAGAGTCCCAGAGAGTCCCAGTTCCGAGCTGCGGCCGATGCGAAACGCCAACGAAGGTGTTAGCTGCACCAATGAATTGGACCAGCTTCCTGCCCTGCCCGGCAGCTGAGACGGGCCCCGTGTCCTTGGAATATGTTGGAAATGAGAAATGTTTGGAGATGTTCTGAGAATATCTGAGGATATCTGCGAATTCGAACTCTGTTTCACCCTTCAATGCATCGTATCATTGCAGGGTTATTTCCAATCTATATTGCAGTACTTTCCTAGCATCCAACGTGACCCGCAGAGGCGCTATTTGCGGACATGGATCGAAAATCACGAGGAGTACCAGGCAACCAAAACTGCCACCGACTCGATTCTGATTTCATCGAGACGATCACTGGATTTCCAACAGAACCACCCTGTGAACCTGTTGCGCCTGTAGACGCCTGTTGGCAGGCCCTTTTAGAGGGAATGGAGCCTCCTCCAGAATTCGAGTACGAGGCCTGGCGTTCTAGCCTCAGAACAAAGAGCCATCGCCATGAAAGTGGTCGCACAGATCATACAAAGTCCGCCATGGTCCACCTTCAGCATTGAGGCCGACAAGTTACTGAGCTCTTTCAGCGGGCCGCAGATGCCAGTCCCAATGATCCGGACGTTTTTGTTGCCTTGGGCGTGTTGCAAAACATTAATAGATGCTTGGCCGCAAGAGGCTTCTGAAAAGGTCCAGATTGATATGTTTTTGTGATTCTTTTGGATCAGTCATCGTAAGATTGTTGATGCGTTGCATACTGGACTGCAATCGACACCTTCGGCATCGAAGCGGAACCGCTTCCTTCGGCCTATTTTGGCCTTGCTACCTGAAGGGGCTTCACTTTCAAATCTACCAAATACATCCAAATACAGTCAGTGGGTCCTTTGGCACGTATAATGTGGGCAGTTGCTGAGCAAATTGAGCAAATTGATAATTGACCCTCCACTGGCATTTTGAGTGACAGCCAACCAGCTGGCACATCAGACTCGAGGAAATTTCGACGCTGCGATTGAGGCCGCCCACTAAGACTTTTCTTTCAACGTGCAAAAGACTTGCTTTTTGACGCGAGCTTCGGTCAAAAGCGAGTCCTTGTTTCATTTAGTCAACAAGAGAGAGAGAGAGAGAGAGAGGGAGAGGGAGAGGGAGAGGGAGAGGGAGAGGGAGAGCGAGAGGGAGAGGGAGAGAGGGAGAGGAGAGAGGGAGAGGGAGAGGGAGGGAGGGAGAGAAGCATTGCAGTGGTTGCCGGTTGCCACGGGAGGTCAGGCGCCAATCTGTTGCCTATTCTGCCAAGGCGCTTGCAAGGGCGTGCCGACTGCGTCCAAACGATCACACCGCTGATGCCTGAGAGTTGGTGGCAGCAAACTAAGCGCACATGCTTGAGCTATCTTGAACTTGAAGGTCTGGAACAAGCTTGGAGCCACCTTAGCAAACTCGGGCAAGAGCGAGCCGGCAGTTGCAGCAGCCTTAGTGCAAGGCTGACAGCCTTACAAACACGGTTAAAGCTTGGGATGGCTGACCTGCACTCAGTTTGTTGGAAAGGTGGCCTATCATCAGGGTTTGGAGTTGAAGCCAAACTATGCTCGCAGCTGGCGCGGCCCACAGTTTTCATGCATGAATTTCGTGGTCATGGATTGCGCATTGCATCAGTTGACATCTTTCAGAAGTGCTTCTGCTGTTGTGCAACTTGCTGACTGAAACTGCGCTTGTACTTCATAAGAAATGCTTCTGTGTGCAACCTGTGTGGATCTAAGGTCGAACATGGCCATTGCGCATGCCAATCTTGGACCAGACCTCAATGCCAATTAGGCCAACTTGACACATTTCTGATATTTCTGTGAGCAGTTCCCGAAGGTCAGCTGTGAACCAAGGCAAGCACAAGGATGCTGCTAGACTCTACCTGTAAGTGGCTCAGCTGGCCGAAGCTCACCACTGATCCGAAGCTCATTTGCAGCGCGAGTGCAGAGTTGACCAACCAATCGAATCCAATCGATTTATCTGCGATTTATTCTGACCATTTCTGACCATGATTCTCTGGGACCTCCAAGTTCCTCGCTGGTCCTCAATCCGGATGCAACCCACATCTGGAACTTTCTTCAGAGTGTCGGCCGCTGAGCCCTCTCGTTGAACCAGCCAGCATTCGGTTTACTTCAAATTTTCCATCAGAGTCCCCAAATTGTTCGTTTGCCTGTGAAAGCTCCTTCATGACAAATCAAGCACGTTGGGGTGCGAATCTTTTTGCTTCTGGACTGTTTTATTGGAGGATATGGGAGGACATGGTAGGCGATTTGTAACATGATTTTGTCACTTCTTTCTGACAAGACTTGAAGGTTACACTCAGAAATTCCCTTTGTTATTGCTTGTTCTGTTCAGCTCCCTTTGAAATTTGAAATGCATCCTATTCATTCCTGTACCGGTCTTACACATCGCATACATTCGCATATCGCGATAAATGGTGGCATGTTGCGGCCTAGGCGGTGCTGAACATGAACATGAACAGCCAGTACGCTTTGGAGGCCACGGAGGCTTTGATATGTTGGTCGTTCTGGTCGTTTGGGCATCACACTTGCCATATCTGGGAAGAATAATGAAGAATATGGATAAATGATGATAAATGATGGAAAAATGATGATAAATGATGAAATATGGAAACATGAAAACTATGTTTCATAATTTCTGACCATCCCTGCCATCCCTTTGCAATGTGGTCCCAGAATGTCAAGAAAATGGCAATGTTTGCCGCGTAGACATTCCCGAAAGATTAGAACATATTGAAACCACGTGAAACAGACTTGGCCTATCTTGGCCTTTATATGCATTGATCTTCATGATCATCAGGCAAGATGTGAAAACCATTGAAAACCTGGTTTCAGGCAATAGACCAGAGAGACTTGAAGGCCGCAACGCAGATTATCGAAGGAGTTGGCCTCCAAGTGTCTCCAATTTCTCCACGATCTTTTGATCTCAAGATGGAAAGGAACTCAGCAGGAATACATGGGGTCACAAGTCACCTTGAAACCAAGTTGTCCATGATGATTTGTATGGGCTTTGAATGGCTTTGTTCTATGGGCTTTGTCATTAAATTCGCGCGGTTTCATTTGATCATTTGGTGGCATGAATCCAACTCAAAAGGATGGGTCTTGTAAGGTGCTTGACCCAGCAAAGCTGCCCAAACCTCTGGATGCACCACTTCGGTACAAAACTTAGATCCAAGCAGGTGGAGAAAAACAAACACTTTGCCAAATACCCTCTGGTAATTTAACATAGCTATGGAAAATCACTATTTTTTATGGGAAAACTCACTATAAATGGCAATTTTCAATAGCTATGTTAAATTACCAGAGGGTATTTGGCAAAGTGTTTTTTCTTCACACTTCAATATCTTCAATGCTGCAGTATGTTGGTCGTATCGAACGCTATTGCTGTGTTGTTTGTCGTGAAAGTGAGTACCACAGCTGTTCTGGCTTGAAGCTGATCGAATGTTGCTTTGCTACCCGTGGACATGGTATGCGGCGGCAGAAACTGATTGCCATTGGGATAAGTCTCATCAGCGGCGGGACAGTACAACAAAGCTACAAAACCAATAATAGTGTTGACAAGAGTAGGAGAAGTGCTTTCTGATTTGCAGTTTACAATTTAAATGCATAACGGGATTGACATGCATACAGACATGATTTGTCAGCAAAAACACGGGCAAACCACCGACCATTAAGGTGATGCCTTAGCCCTCGCAGCTTTTTCTGGGTTAACCCATTGCTTTCAGATGCACTGAACCGCCATTTGCCCCCAAATGGCCTTGGCAGCGGGAAGCTTTGACACAGGCGGCGCAGTTTGCGATGCACAGTGCTTTGGCGATGCATTTTGGATTTGAAAAAAACTCCTTCCGGAGCGGAATTGCGCTCATGAAGAGATTTATCAGCTGTGTAGCAGATGAAGATGATGGTGATGATGAAAATGATGGTGATGGTGATGATGATGATGATGATGATGAGGATGATTCGATTTGAATTTTGATGCACAGCGGGGCAACAACAAGTACATTTCGACCCAGGTGACCCCACACCTATCCTGTGCTTAGCATGCGTTTAAGGACAAGATTTGCACCTAGCAACATACCAATCACGGTGATGACTGTTGAATCTCAATTCCATCATCATTTCCTCGAAGTAAGGTACGACTACTACGGTCAACGTTTGGCAACCGCTTCCTCTGATGGAGTTTCTCAGAAGAATCTGTAATGAGTTTCTCCGGCTCACGGAAGTGTAAGGAATGACAAGGAATGACTATTCGTATTTTTCGCATTACTTTGTCACATTTTGTCATTCTCTCTTTGTCAGTCGCAGCTTCAAATTTCCAGCTGCATGACCGGTCGCCCAGTTCAGGAAGATCACAAATAGACGACGATGTTTCTGTGAGGTTGTGCGGATTTGGTCTGCAGATCGTCACATGATGCTAGCACAGCCCGAACCTCAAGCTGTTTTGGACTTTTCATGGCTTTTCAAGTTTAACTCTGCAACAGCACAGAATTGATAAGCCATATACACTATGGCCACTATGGCATTAAACTTCAGTAAAGTGATTGAACTCTTTTCAGGCCAGGGCCACGTGAAAGACTTCGCGAACCATGCGTCTTTCAGCACTGTTTCAGCACAATTCATTACCAAATTTACCAAGGCTGCCACATCAAGCTGCAGTTCTACGTGTTGCATGGGCTCCTGGGAAATACCCAGCAGCACCTCGGCATGCAGTAGCGCATAGTAGCGCTATGTTGACAGGGCGGACAAAGATCTGAAGGAAAGAAAACGTAGAGTATACTTTAGTATACTTTAGTAACTTAGTATACTGTGGTACGTTGGAGAAGAGAGTATCCAGAAGAATTCTGGAACAATGCCCACACTCAAAAGTGGACAAACTGTTTCTTCTGCAATGAATTGCAGCATCATGTGCCACTTTGCTCCGAATCTGGTTCAGTCGAGTTTGTTACCAAGGTCCAACTAGCATGCGGTGCAGCTGATGGTAGAATAGCTATTTGGCGAGAAGAGCAGCCCGATCAGTCAGCAACTCAGAAAAGAACCAGCTTCCGAAATACGTCAAACAGAGCTCTGGATTTATATATAACATTATATAACGATTTATGGTAAGCTCAGATGATCTACTGTAACAATGAGCAAGGTTGGTACACGAAACCCATCAAAAACGGCTTTAGATCAGGTTTGAGATTTATCTCAAAGAACTCCAGATGGATTTTTGATTCAGCGCAAACCTGCAGGTGGTCGATGCTCTACAGTCATACTGTGTCTGGGCCAACAGTTGCTTTGGCATTTTGTCCTGCAGAGTATGGCGTGATTTTGGCGGCTGCTGGCGGTGAAGGCAGAGACATTTGGTTCTTCCGCAAGGATCGTGGAGAAGTCACTGAAACTTTGGCCGCCCATGAGAGTGGCTTGGTGGCCTTCTGTTGGGCCCCTGCAGCCAGTCCTGCCACCCTGGCGGCCGGACCAGCGGCACGTTCGGCCTCCAAAGCCCCCCGGCGCTTGGTCAGTGCAGCGGCGCATTCCATCAGGATCTGGCGATGTGAAGAGACCGGAGGATCAACTGGATCGACCGAATCGACCTGGTCCATGCGAGAAGAACTCAGAGGGCGTGGATCTGCGACAGGACCTGCTGTGAGGGATGTCCAGTGGCGGCCCAATATGGGGATCCCTTCCAGTTCTGTGGCGGCTTGTTTTGAGGATGGGTTGGTTCAAATATGGACACAGGACATGGAAGGGCAAAGCTGGAATGCACAAGTCTCCTGGAGTGTGAATGATGAGGCTTGGAGATTGGCCTGGTCCAAAGCTGGTTGCATGCTGGCGGTGAGCTACGGCATGGGCAGCTGCCAACTCTTCAAAGAAGGGTTGGTGGGTCAATGGACGGAGGTTTGCGACCTTGATGGTGAGTGAGCGGTCCTGAGCGACGCTTCAACTCACTGATTTGCTTCCCGCAGCTGTTAATGCCTTGCCTTTCTAATCGGAAAAGGCGCTTGACTTAAGTAACCCCCAGTTTTCCATTTGCGAAGAATGGCGTTCGCCCAACACTGGAAAACAAAAGTGGCAGCTCTGCAGACGGGTAATTCTTCGAGGTCACCAAAGGTCACCTGATTCTCCTGTCGTCTCCTGTTGTCAGCTGAACCAGAGCTTCACCGAGGCCACCTGATGAGACCCTCTCTTCGATTGGGCACCAGCACTGAGGACATGAAATGGCACGTGATCACCGTGATATACCGTGACATACTGTGATCAAGAACATTCTTGAACCATTCTTGCACTATTCTTGCACCATTCTCGAACCATTTTGAACCGATCACATCATGCAGAGCTGACTTGGAATTTCTGTACCGTAGTAGGTGCTTGTGTTGACACATGTTGACACTGGCTGAGGTTGTGATGGAAGTGCTGGTAATTCATGGCCGCAGCTCTGACTTTTTGAACGCCATTGATATTCTAATCCTGCCCTTCTAGAGGCCATGACATCCATGATATCCATGATAATATCCATGACATCCATGATATCCATGACATGAAACATAATATGAAACATGAAATTACCTTGCACAGTGGACAGCATGAAATCAGCTTGCGGTCATGAGATGAACCCCTAGTCCTCAGTGGACTTGTGCTGCGCAATAGTGCAGATTCACCAGCTGTGGTTCCACAAGGGAGGCCACATTTTCCCGAATGTGCGCAGAGGGCATGGGTGACCACCAGGGGATTCAATTTGAAGATCTATTTACGCAAAAAACATTTCAACACGAACCCTGCATTTAAGATATTTAAGCAAGGGATCGAAAGATATCGCAAGAGCCCACTTGCAATTTCCTTGGCGAAGGTTCCAGATGCAGTTCCAGTAGGTGCATGATGGAGAAACCCTCTTTGTCGAGATTAGTCGTGTCTTTGCTTGAAAAGGGATTGCGAGAAGAGGGCAAGTTCATTCAATTTCCATAGCCGTAGCGGAGAGATCCACTGATTTTTGCTGATTCCATTTTTGTTGCTGATGCAGGAATCCCAAATCATCAATAATTCACCAAGTTTGCGAAGCATGATGTTTGATGCACTGGTTCCATCTGGTTTCCTGTTGCCATTTTGGTTACAGTGGCTCCAAAACATGTCAGATCTAGGGGAATAGTTGAGTGCAGGTCTCAGTGTGAAAGCGTGCTGTGCATGATTTGGGTGTCGAGTGGAGATCGTTGCTCTTCCAGGGCTGCAAAGACGCGGCCGCTCCATGGACCCACAATCTGGCCAAAGACCCCAAAGTAGAGGCCGCCCTTGTTGTGTCCTGCTGCGTTCTTCGCAGTTACAGAACGTCACAGAATGTCACAGCAATGTGGTGAACATGAATCATCATGAATCTAAGTTTCTCAGGACCATGATCATTCCTGCGTTTGTTTCGCCCGATAAAGCGCCTTTGCAGTTGTTCACACGCCATCCTCAGAGCAGGAGTCACTCGGTCTCAGCCTCAAAACCAGGTTTAAGAATTCTTCTAGCAGAAAAGAGTTGCCTGCAATGTTGTTTATTTAATTTTATTTATGTTTATTTAATTTATGTGTGTTGCTTTGCGTGCTAGAACCAATGGGAGTCCTTGAAGGCATCCGCACATTCCATCCTGACTCTGCGGATCAGACTGTGGTGATGGAACGGAATGCGGAGGACCTCATCATTGTGTTTGTCAAGTGACTCGGTCAGTGTTTTCCCAACGGGGTAAGGGGGGTTGGGCATGACACATCATGAACTGCTGGCACTTTGTTGAGCTTTGTGCAATAGGAGCTCAGTAGCGATGTGACTGACGTCATTTTCCAGACCGTCTTGCGGGAGTCGCCAGTGGCAAACTTACAGATATGAATGCATTGGAACCTTTAATGGGATCTAGGATGATCTAGGAATGAACAGTTCTTCACTCATTTTCGTAAATTTGGCCATGTTTGGCCTGTTTGTGCAAGAGTCTTGAACCGCGACCGCTAAGACCGCTAGGACTAGCTGCTTTGTTGGATGTTATACAGGTCCAGAAATTTCTAGAAGTACCTAGGAGAGGAGTGACATTTGGTGGTGCAATCCTGCTATATCATGCTATATCCTACTCTATCCTACTCTTCTTTTGCCCCTTCTTGATACTTCTTGGCTTTTCCAAGGCAAATGTTGCCCTCAAGGACCCTGCTCGTTGATTTCTTATGATTTCTTGCAAATTAAAAGCGATGCCAAGTCATGCCAAGTGCATTTGTGCAACATGCCGGGCTGTATCAAAGTGACATCAAGTGACATCCAAACATGTGTGGAACATGTGTGGATATATACGTGGTGATCGATCTAAAGGTCCTTGTAAGGAGTTTTAATTGCGAAAGCCGTGCATGTTATGTTGGAAACCCTCGCGAAAGTTTTTTTCCGAGTTTGCGAAAGTAACATTTTTTTTCGCGAAAGTTTTGCGAAAGTTGGATATTATAATCATTATAATCATTATGTAAAGGGCTGCCACCCACTGCCGCCCGGGGTCCGGCAGGAGAAGGGCACTAGAGAATTTCGGTTTGGTTCTGGTTCAGTTCCCTGTGTGGTGGTGCTTGTGGACAATCACACCCTTCATACTGTAGGTAGCAGCCGAGCTTCCAAAGGCGAGGCTTCGCGACAGCCAAATGCCATGGCCCTGAAGCACATCCTTGCGCCTGCCGCTGTCACTGCCTAATGATGCTTTTTGAAGTCTCAAGAAACGAGCTCCAAATGCAGTAGCCAAGTTTCCAAAAGTGAGGCTTTGCGAGAGCCAAACGCCAATGCCCCTGGTGTTCGCTTTTCCTTCAATGCACCCCCTGCTGATGGCCGGGGTCTGTGAATAGGGATATTTTCGCGAAAGTTCTGCGAAAGTTATGGGAAAGAGCGGGCGAAAGTCAAAGTGCATCTTGAAGGGGGTGGGCCAGTAAACCTTGCAAAAAAAAACCTAGTCAGCAACAATCTGCCCTGAGAAGGGACTCCGTGATGCTAGCCGCATGCTTAAAAGATTTTCAAAGGCTATCAAGAAATGATCCGTGATTCTCTGGCGTAACTTGGCAGGTGGTGAACGAATCTTCATAAGAGGTGTTGTTGGCCAACATGGGCCCCGCGGCAGATAAACATGGAGTTCGCGAAAGTCTCGCGAAAGTAACATTTTTATTCGCGAAGAATGGCCATTCCCGGATAAAGGAAGTTTGATCAAAACCCACGTATTGGAGTAATTTTGGAGCATATTGGAACAGTTGAATGTCCGGAGGAACAAGCGACAAAGCTGGAGGCTGACCTGGAAAACGCCAAGGCCCAACAGCCATGCATTGCCATGCTATAAACCATTCCCAAGTTCACCTCCAAAATTGGTGGTGGTCATACTTTTTGATGAATAGTTGTCAGTGCCTGGTTGGCTACATTTTAAGCATGTTGAATATGTGTGATTCATTGTGATTCAACATCATTCACGGAGGTTGTTGGCAGCCACAGTGAAACTTCCCCCCACACTTTTGGCGACGACATTGTGACTTTTCAACTAACAGAGAAATGGCACTAGAGAAAGAAAGGCATGTGTTCTGTGGATCAACTGCATTGGTCCTGCCATGCTCTTGGAGAAATGCGGCCCAACTGGAACCCCCGAAATCCTTCAACTTAAGGCCATGCCGGAGAGCTAAGTCCCATTATCCAAATTGAATCAAATTAAATTGAAACAACTCCGTCTGGCAGGGTGAGATGGAGCTTGCTGCTCTCAAGGTGCCGTTGTTTTTCTGGGCGCATCACATCGCATCACCTTCGGCTTTCCCATGCTTTGCTGAGCCTTGCTGCATGTATCAGGAGGAGGAGCTTCACAGTCGCTTGAAGCAGGCGCAAGATACGTCGGAGGCTCCAATTCGCTTTGATTGCGCTGCTTTGTTGTCACCTATTGTCACCAGTTTGAAAATTTTGAAACCATGAGCGATTATTAGCTTGAGCCTTGTCCAAAGTTTCCTCGTTTTGTCAGGAGCTCCGAGAACAAGTCAAAAAACTGAATGAACAGCTCGAGGAGAGGGATCAATGCTGATCTCAATACCGTTTTTCTGAAGCTTTGGTCATCGTACATCATGGTTAACCATGGTTAACCTACATAGATCTACTGATCTACATAGTTCGTTACGGTATAGTGCTACAGTCTCAGTCTCCTTTCTGCGGTCACATTGTGTTTTAGTACGTCACTCAGTATGTCACTCAGTATGTGTCGGTTTTCAGAGAGCATGGAAGCGCCAGGAAGCACGTGGACATTCAGGAACCAGGGATGGCGACAGCGATGTGGGAATGCTGCGTGCCAAGGCCATCCCACCACATGGAGATTGTACAGCAAATGCAGCAAATGGGTTTAACGCCGAGGTCAACACGCTCGCCCAACTGCCAAACATGTTCTGATCATATTATTTTATCTATCTCTTTCGGTTGTTTTTGTGAATCCCAAATTGCCAAGAGATCCAAGAGTCGGCAGACTGTGATAGAATATATAGAATGTGTCAATGTGTATGTAAAATATATGTAAAATATATGTAAAATATATGTAAAATATATGTAAAATATATGTAAATTCTAAAGATGAGTGGCGACAGCAGTGTCAGCAAGAATCGAAGTTGGAATCCTGGGATGATTGAGATGTGAGGTAAGCGAATTAGAGACAGAAGTCTCAGGCGCGGCCTGGTTCTGTTGGACTTCTGATTTCATGCTTTACAGCCACTGTGGCCGCTTTAGCCTGATCAAGGGCATATTGTTTCTGCTATGCTTGGCGTTTCCACTGACTTTCCCAAGCAGTGTGCAACCTGTGCCTGCATTGAGTACCTCTGCAGCAGGTTTGCAACACGAGCTTTCCATTCGACAGGCAGACTTTGTCAATCACAAATTGTGCAAGCTCTTGCAAGCACCGCCAGAATCTTCCGCATCTGTTGTTGCACAGCCATTTTCATAAACTTGCAATTATTTGCATATATGCTTGCCTCTTGTACTGGATGATTTTGGCCATACTGCTCAAACTGTTCAAAAGGCAAACAACAAGCCAAGCGATGTTTGTCCGCCTTTGTCGAGGTTGCCGCTTTTGGGGCAATGGTCGCAACGGTCGCAATGGTCATTCTCGTGCTCCCATCCTCTGCAACGAGACTTTGGTGTCTCCACGTTTCCTCACTTCCAGCCCTTCCACAGGCAGAATTGAGTGGTTGCGAGCATCTCTTGTAGTGTTGACTGGTACATGTTGCACTGCTGTCCTGTGCAACTGGCTAAATGCCGAGAATTAAGAGAGCATTGACTATGGTGACATACAGTATTGGCTGGCGCGGTACAAAGACAGTTGGTATCAGCAGCCGTTTGACTGGCTGGGGAGTTTTCAGTCCTTGAAGCCGTGGATACATCCTGCAGCAGCGGGGAAGCAGCGTGTAGTGCATCTAGGGTGTGGAACAAGTCTTTTGGCAGAGGAGATGTATGATTGTGGCGAGTTCGGAGAAATTTGGAACATCGATGTATCTGAGGTTTGTTTGCAAATCATGCGCACCAGGAATGAGTCGCAACGACCAGCCTTGCGATGGGTAAAAGCCGACTTGCGAGACTCAAAAGCTTGCGACAAATCTGGAATTGAGGCCAACTTCTTTGATTGTGCCATAGACAAGTCCACCTTGGATTCTATTTGTGATGGGGGCAGGGATGATGAGGCAGCAAAATACATCATGGAAGTGGCACGAATTCTGAAGCCGTCTGGGATTTTTCTCATGTTTTCATTCTCACCACCGCAGTCAAGACTGCAGCACCTGTCCAAATTCTTCGATTGCGAGGTTCAAGTGGCTGAAGACCAATGCTTCGTTTATAATTGTAGGAAACTCTCTGGGATCTAGCGGACGCCTGAGAAGGGCAGCTTGGAGTTGAGGTACAGTTGGACCAGGTTTACCTGCAGCTACATTCTCTAACTAGATGCTCAACACCTTTTGATGATGTTTGTGTCCAACACAGTTTCCCGGTTTGTGAAGCTGTGGATTGGACAACGAAGACGGGAGATCGTGCAGAAGCACAACCACCTGCGCTACAACTACAGCTTCCTCGGCGGTCACTTGAAGTAGAGGGAGCTGAGTCTGCTGAAAGTCGGACCTGTCTTGAACTTTTGAACCAGTGTCCACTGGTGGTCCATGGTTGAATTATGTTGAATTCCAGTCCTTGGGATCACTCCCGGCCTTGACAAGACATGACACATGACGAGACACGAAAATAAAGTTTCGGCGCAGCCAATGTGCACGCGCATTGAATGCAGATAAATCTATATATTTCAAAGCTCTTTTGAGCTTTAAGCCAGCATGCATGGTCTGATAATGGCATGCAGAAGCAGAAAACGCGGTGTCATTATAGTTTTAGTTGCTATTTGTTTGGAAAGGATTTGCAGGAGCCTTCAGAGTATTCTGACACGGTTGAAATACTGTTGAAACAGATTTCTGTGCAGCTGACGTCTCTTCCCAGGCAAGCACCGTGGTCCCAGGTGACGGCGAGCAGATGAGTGAGCAGCTCAGAAGCCACGAAAAAACTACTTAATTAATCTATATTAATCTTAATCAATCTTCATTGATTTGAGCAAGTACTCATGGGGTACAAGAACCTAGACTGACCCATTGCATATATATATATAGATGCATATTACATAAATTACATGTCATGTCCATGATGTGCATTTGAGATTCTAATCATGATTTTAGCTTTGCTGCATTTCGTGGCGACTGGGTCATACAAGCTGTCAGACCGTGGCAGAAACCCCTCCGTACCAAGGCTTCTCAGCTGCAGCTTCTGAGGTCAGTTGCAGCATACCGTTGGTTTAGTGGGCTCAACACGGCTCAACATGGCTTAACACGGCTCAACATATTTACCCATGTGTCCCTTTTGTCACTGAGTTACGTTAGTTTGGTGTGGATTTGGATGGTATTTCCAGGAGAACTCACTGCTTGGTGCTGCATACCAGCAGATTTCGGTGTTGAATACGCAGTTGCGGCCTCAAAATTATAGTATAGTAGTATAGATTATCAAAGTGCATTCCCAGGATGTCAAAAGATTCTTCATCAACGGATTCATCAAGCTGTCAAGTGAATCGTGATTTTCAGAGGCTGGCGCATTTGTATACCGAGCTCACCATGGCCCGAACAGAGGTCCTGGGCTGGGTTCCATTGAGACATCTGTGGCCCTTGACATACGCTTCGCTGAGGCCGCCAGTCTCAGAGCCGAGAAAGAGCAGTTGGAGGCGATGGCCGATGGCCAGAGATGTTCACCACTGAACCATTTCGACCTGGAAGACCTGGAAGCCAAAAATCATCAAAATTCCATTCCACCAAATCCACCAATTCCAACATTTTCCACTTCCGGCAAGGCGGATGATGACGGCAGCGCCAACGTGACGCTGCCATGTTTGTACAAAGAATATGACAAGTTGATCAAGTTGGAGCCGTTCACAGTTTGCTGTGAGTATTCACGTGGTGATGCGGCAAGCTGACGAAGTAAGGCTGAGAAGTTGGCTGCAGCGGAGGCAGCTACTGCTGCGGCTCAAACTGAAAGCGTGGCTGCCCAGACGGAGTGAAAAACATGAAACAACATGAAAAAACATGAAGAGAAAGGATGGGAATGGGATGTGACATTAAGAACATGCAAAAGACAGCTTGTGATAATTCATTCTGCTTCTAGAACAGAGCTGCTTCTTGATATTTTAGGGAAGGGGGCCAGGATCAGCCGACACATCGCATTTTTGGATATTTTGGTGCAACGAGATCAGCGACAAGCTGGGCAGATCGCAGATTTGGTGAGTGACATTCGTCACCTGCAGCCGCATTCTCAGGAGCTTGCCCAGGAGATTCATTGCTTCCGGTACTTGTAGCCTTCATAACAAGTCGTTAAGTTTTTTAAGATTTTAGAGACATGCTAAGCCCTGGCACCAACTGAGATGTTTCCATATTAGCACTTCGATTATCTTTGATACTCGATGATACTATGATATTCGAATATATTTTGTTCCCATTTGCAAAATCTGCTGTCTCGTGTGCAGGTTGGACCTGGAGTACCACCAGCAGAAAGTGGACCAGCTTCTGGAGGATGCAACCGTCACTTACATCGCCGTCGGGTGGAACGCATGGCCGGCCGCTTTGGCCTAGACTTAGCTTTTCATTTACCCAGCAAGGTCAAAATAGGAAACATCATGAAACATCATGAAACATGATGAAACATGATGAAACATGTACAACGTGTCATCGTTACTTCCTCTCAGAAGTTCTCTGATGTTCCCTGTATGATTGCGGGTGCCGAACGTTTTATGATGAATCCTGAGTGGATAGTCTTTGGCTCTATGGCTTGCTTGCCTCTCTTATAACAGATACAAGTTAGGTCGGGATTCAAAAAAGGGTTGCGAATCAAGCAGATTCTGCCCTTCCAGATCTTCCAGCACCCAGAATAAAGACCCTTTCGTTGCCCGTCTTGAGATTTGTCAGGAGAAGCAGATGATGATGAAGGACATGAAATCATTGCAGCAGGAGGTTGCCGAGGCAAGGCCAGACACGGTCAGATTTGACGCTGCTCTCACCATTAAAGAATATTAAAGATATTAAAGCGGGTTGTGATAGATAGCTTTGGGCCGCCCCAAGAGCATTAGAGCACGGAGCCAGTACAACGCCTTTCGCAGTAGAAATCTTGTGGACGAGTGAGAAGCCCCACAGAAAAACCTATCACAAGTCGTCACAGGCGCGACAGCAGTTGGAGGAAAAGGACCAACTTTTAAAGCATCAGGAGGCAGAGCGGATGCACTTTGTGAAAGCTTGGGTACAAAACTCCAAGCGGTTCGCTACATTAAGTAGGTGTGGGAAACAATCACGGTTTCTCAGGTTGACCTCATGCACTACCGTCAAATGGAGCAGTTGCTCAGCTGCATTGATTTCCCAGCTGGTAGCTATTGGTAGCTATTGGTAGCTATTGGTAGCTTGAGCGTGTGAAATTGGGGAACGAGGCAAAGCCCTCGTGCAAAGGAGAGTTTGCTCCTCAGAAGCCAAAAAGAATCAACCCATATTTACTCAACTGTTGGACAGGGGTTAGAGATGCGCGAGTATCTGGCACGCCTGCAACAAAACATGTTGAGTTTTAATAGAACACGCATGGTGTCAAGCATTCGTGTGATTGCCATGTCAACAGCAATTCAGTCTGGGAAAGTCTCTAAGTCTCTAAGTAATGCCTGCAGAAAATGTCTTGCTGTGTTCCGCGTTTGCCGCATTTGCCGCATTTGCCCTTTGTGTGTAAGACAACAAACAGTCCCACTGTGTGTTGTGGTGCTTAAGCTTTGACGAAGCTGATTTATTCCAGGTGACGAAGGCATCATTGATGCTCTCCGGACAGAGGCTGCGGCAAAAGATAGCGTTTGGTGCTCAGCCACAGCAGCCACTTTCCTGCTGAATACCGCACTGCTTGAGGCCCTGATTGTTTCTCACTATGAGCTTCACAAGGCAGGCTGCTGCAACTGCGAATTCAATCCCATGTCAAAATGTCTTGGTGATGATTTCTGTCTTATTTTGATTCGATGTCCAAGGAAAAGTTGATGCGAGATCGACTAGAGCCTGGGTCTCATTGAACACTCTGATATACTTTGATTATATACATATAGAATCATATAGACATATAGATAATTGATGATAATTGTAGACATAGAATGACATGGACACTCACTCCTTTTCCACTTTGAAAGTATGTTTCTTTTCATCGTTCCACTGGATTTGAAATTTGGCTGAGAACCTTACAGCACCTTTAAGAGCGCAATTACCAAGACAAAAGAATCTGAAGCTCATGGAGAGAATGCAGAAGCTGATGATGGTTTCGCCCTGAGACATTTCCACCATGTTTCCACAGTGGCCCCTCAAATTGGTGTGTGACCAGAAAGATGAGACATGTATATAAAGATCATTCTGGACTTTGCAATACTGGGTAGGGAGAGACGGGGAGAAACATCTGTGAGTTACATGTTTGGTTTCGAGTCCACTCAGGTCGTAGAAACAATGAGAAAAGACAATGCTCGAACCTCATCGTTTCGACAATGATTCAGAGACTGATTGGCTTGCGTCACTTCAGTTGTCTATGTTGTCTTGAGTTCGGGTTTTGATTTGATTCTTTGCAGGTGAATCTGGAGCGGACACTCGCATCCAAAGACAGGATGTACGAAGAGAAGGATGCCAGCACCCTACCTGTAGGTCACGATCCAATAGGACATCTGCCGGGAAAAACAGCGCTTTCTGGCTCAAAACTAAGGCCCAGCTCAGAATCATCATGCAAAAGTTACGGCAAGTGCAAAAGAGCCAGAAGGCAATGGGCTGACTCTGAGGAAGTCTGGGAAGACGCTGCTCTCAACAAATCTCAGCAACCTTTAATTTCAAGACGTCAATTCTTCCCTCCTACAGGGTGGAAAGCCAAAAGTTGCTTCGAAGCCCAAGGTTGGTTTCTCCTTGCAATTGGTGGGTGGAAAGTCTGTCTGGTGGACCTCTACCCTGTCAAAATCATTCAAGACATGCATATGCCGCATATTTGCATGGCAAGACACCTGCAAACAACATATCAACATGCAATGTCTTTTGAGCAGCTTTGAATCATCCACTCCCTAGAGTCCTAGAGATCAGAATCGGCGAAGTGAAAGGCTCCCGTCTTGGAGCTGGAGGGCTCGATGCAGGCGGACCACACAGACAGTATCAAGAAATCAAAGTCATGGGAACTGTCAAGAGCAGTCAGTTGTTCAGGGATTTGGCATGAGGATGTCGATTGAATGATTCTGTTTGGAATTCTATGCACTGCAGTTCTTCAAGATTCACTAGATTCCCATAGTCTCAGGGTCACTTCGGAATCGGAAAATGGCGTGAAACAGAAAACAGCGGTGACTGTCCAAGTGTTCAAACAATTTCCATATTTTTCAACCGGCAGCGGCTCAGAACTTGCCTCTTCTGGATTCTGGAAGACGCAGTGGCTCTGCACCAATCCTAGCTTCAAATGGTGAGACAGAGTTTTTTTGAGAAGCACACTACAACTTGGAAGATCTCAAGGGAGTTGTCCCAGTGTGCTCGATTGGTTAGGCCAATGGTCGGCGGAGTGGCCAAAACACGCCTCGAGCTTCAAATGGGCAAAGCACTAAGTAAGTGATTGGAATGGCACTTGTGTTTCAAGGGCCACATCTGGTCAAGCTGTTGATCAATACTTGTACATACTTGTACTATGTTTTGAATCCTTTTTGATACTCACCGGCTAAGGTCGCCCTATACAACCCGCCCCTAAAGGCCCAGAACGCAAGATTGCTTTTGCAAATCAGCGAATGTGTTGGCTCCTTGCAGCAATGCCGGCAATGGCGAGGCGAGTGCGGTGCCCTTGAATTGCTGCTCTTGGTGGCCAATGCCTGAATTCCATTGCTGATATTGCTGCTGAAACCATCGTCAGTGTAGGATGCCTGGCAAGCTGCGAGAAACCTCTCCGTTGGAGCATGGCGGGAGAAACCTCCGCTGATGCTCCATCCCAGTTGGTTCATTCGAATTGTTTGGAAAGACAATGTGAAACATTGTGAAACCTAATTTCACATAGAACCTCACGTCGCCCTTGCTTTGGCTCGCTTTGATAATGTGTCAGAGTCGTCTCACTGGGTGATCACTGCTGACTTGAGCAGTGACCCTCTCAGCGTGTTTTCGTGGGCTCATGGGACAGAGGCACTGCGCTCGATAAGATCGGCGTGTCCTCTGCTCTTCAAATCGGAGGGCTTGCCCAGTGCTTGAAACTGTCAAAGATGACAAATCGAGTTACAAGTCTTGTAGAATCTTGTAGACCTTGTAGATTTGGACATGAAGCCTAGACTTCAGTCATATTGGAGAATGTTGCAGACCCCTGCTACTGGTAGTAATTAGTTTTTCATTTTTATCCCAGTTTGTGATGTTGTGGTCGCAGTATCCTGAGCCTGTTGCAGGCTGCCAAGGGCAGTCCAATGTGTGAGCTCACTGTCAAAAATAGCCTGTGGTGCAAGTTGCGGATGTGGTGGGACGGTACTGTGCTGGCAGATGCAGGCAGACTGTGGTGGCAAACCTCTTGGGATCTCCAAGTGTCAACTTGAAAACAAGTCAGGCCGCTTGTGGCTCAATCATGAGGGCGCAAGTCCCAGATAAATAGCAGCCGAACATGAATAACGAAGCAAGGCAGCAGGGCAGTTTAGGGCAAAACCCGAATATCTTCGAATCTACACACACTAATCATAGATGCCCAGCAAGACAAAGAGCATGCCAAGACTGACAATCCGACATTGCAGATGTGAACAGCATTTCGATTAGCACCAGCTGTACAGTGCATCGCCGAGGAGCTAGGACAAATTGGGAGCAGTTTGCGTTTCATGAAGTCATGTGGCACAGGCACAGCATGGTACTCCAGGAGCTTCCGGGTCCCCAAGGGAGAAATGTCGCTCAGGTGACTTTGGAAATTGCCTGGAATAGCAGCCAGCAGCCAAAATGTCAGGTCTACTAGCCATGGATGACCCTAGATGACCTTTTGCTGTGTTGGGCACTAATCATATACAAGATGTCTTTGGATTTAGTTGGAAAGTCTTCAAGGTTTTCAATGTTTTTCAACATGGTGTGGTGGTGTGGTGTGTAAAGTTGTTGCGCAGGCGGACATGCAGAGAGCTGGTGCTTCAGGCGCAGTTTTGCCAAGTTTCGCAAGCTGTCTTTGTTGACATACTGTACCTTGTTGGGCAAGGTCGTGCTACGCAAAGCGATGAAATCTACTGGAGATGGCACAAGTCCTAAGTTTGACTCGGCCCAACATCACAAGCCGCATTGAAATATCCTGCCAAGACCACCTCCCTTGCAAGTTGCAAGTTTCGCTCCAAGTTTCACATCACTGTTTGCATTGATGAGAACTACTGGATATAAGTCTTCCGTGAGATCTCAAAATTGCTGCCAGCAAAACACAAGATTGACAAGCGAGGTCTTGATCGGTTCCAACTTGTCGTGGACGCAGCAACTCTCAGGGTGGGCTGCAGAGCTGCATTTCGTCCCTACAATTAGTTCCAGCCGCTGTGAATGTTTCCAATGGCTTTTGACAGGTTCCAAACTAGAACTACGAGTCTATGAGTACAACTCCTACAGTCTTGATCAGTCTTGCCAGCCGTACCCGTACATCCTATCCTTGTTAATCTTATTATCCTCGTAATGACTGGCTTATTTGGTTGATTCAACTCCAAAGGCTTTGCTTCTGATAGGTGATCAACTCCTTCCTCAGAATGGGTGATTTACACGCAGAGGTCTGAGCACCGACTGTTTCAAGTTTCTGATGGATGATTTGAAGAGATCAATTACCCTGAATCGAAAGCACAACACAGGGCGTCACCAGTGTCGAGTTGATCGAAGAATCAAGAGAGCCATTGCCCTGACCTGAGATTGTCATTTTACTAACGTACTCAGGTGCATGGTCGAGGATGTTTGAGATGTAAGATGAAGCAGCAACATGTTGGCCAAAATGTTGTAGGTGAAATAAGATGACATAACCTGCTATCTAGATCTATATATAGTATAGTATAACATTAAATTATATGAGGTTTAATCTAGAATATTAAATTTGCTGACGATCATGGCAGCGATGAAAAGAAGCCCCATGAATTTCACAGAGCTCGACTTCATGCCACTGAGGCCTGGCCTGGACGCAATGTATTTCATGAGGCCAGCCAGACTGAGGATGAAGATCAACCATGGATCAAGCATGGATCAACGTGAGGCCTTTGCCGGAGCTTGTGGAGAGTATTCTGGCAGACTTCAGAACTGCTACTGCATTGCAGCACCGCCAGGCAGAGATTTGACAGATTTCAAAATGATTTACTTTGAGCGCGGCTGCAGAACAGGTCCACTTTTGCTTCACGAAGCCAGTGGAGCAAAGTCTTTTGTCGAGACTGACTGAGGCCATTTGTTTCATTATTTCATGATATGTCATGCAATTGTTTCAGTTTTCTGATGATATTTTGTCGGAGTTCCTCCATTCCACACTATTCCACCGTGTGAGAATGTGTGAGGCACCTCATTTGGCACCTCGTGCCGTTTGCTCAGTGTACTAGTGAGCCATAGTGAGCCAATGCCAAGCCTGCCTTCTCACGCCTTGCTGGGCCTTGCTGTCAAGAGCAGTGCCAGGTTCGGTCTTTTGTGGAAGTGCCGTTGAACTTTGTTCTTGTACAGGCTCCGCTTGCACTTTGACCACGGAATTGCTCTCTCTCTCTCTCTTTCTCTCTAGATCTCATGACTATGCCATACTACTGTATGCCTTGCAATGTCTTGTGATAGGATCGCGGATTTCACTTCGACATTCCAGAGGCCATCACAGGCCTTTTTCCAGTGCCTAATGCTGAGCGCTGACGTCACATTTTGACGATGTACTGCCAGTATTTTAGTTCTGATATGTTCTGACATTGCAACATGTTGGGTGTGTTGCTACAATGTCTGCATGTCCCTTAGATCTTATTAGGATCCCATAGGATCCACATAGTATGATAACTATATATAACTGTCGCAATCTATCGCATTTGTTTCACTGTGAAACAACCCAGATGTGCAAAGCCCTGTCGACACCCTAAGGCCAGACTCACAACTTGTGTCGGACGTGGTGCAAAAACTGGTTGATGTTTGCCGATGCTTACAGGCCGGCAGACCATGGCAGCTGACCTTGGTTTCCCGCTCCGATGTGTGGTTTGATCACACAACGATTCGACATTGTATAGTCCATTGGAGTCCTTTTGCGTACTGGGTACTCGTATTTGTAAAGTGTTTGTAAAGTGCCATTGTAGATCCTTGTAGATCCTCATATTACAATTATACAGACGACACATGACAATACCGGTACTGATACAGTATGATACAGTTGTGTCATGCACTGGATATGCCCTGCATAATCCAAGTATGGTTTGCAAAGTTTCATGTTTGTTTTCCTCCCGGGTGCTTGTACCTTGGCCCAGACCACTTCACCAAGTATCCGCTGCCAGTCAGACCTTTGCCGGAAACTCTGTTCAAACACAGCACGGGCTTCAAGATTAACGAGATCAAAGAATGACTGGTTCGGACATGTTTGGACTATGTTGTATTTCCATTGTATTTCCATCTAAGCTTGGGAGTAGGATCATCGTGATTTATATTTTTGGGATGGAATTGAAACCACCCAGCGAAAAAACAAAATACAAAGGCTGGCAATTAATTTGTGTTTCCTCCCAAGGCTCCCGGCTATTTCCAGCTTTTGGCACCTGAGGCCACACCATTGGGGAGAGGGTACTTCGTGAGCTCAACATGTTAGTGTCTTAGGGCCTTTGGGGAGGAAGTGCTTGGCAGTGCATGTCAGATCTTGCTAGGCACAAAGCTCCAAACACACCAAGCCAGCCGTGCCACTGCCTTATACGCTGGTGGGTAACGGTTGTTGATGGTTCTCATCATTTAAAGTGGGACCGTGCAGATGATGGATAGTTATGGGCAACTGAGACAGGAAATGCATGGCGAACATGATTACATTATATCAAATTACTAGTACTATACAGTACGACATTTTGTTTGAGGGTGAGCAACGCATCAACATCGTAAGATGGCTTCTGAGTTGAACAACTTTGAACAACTATCATTTCTGGAGGCCAACTGCTGATCCTCGAGCGTTCACTTGACATGGCGGCAGCACTTGTTCACGAGTACTCCTATGAGGCTCCGACAATGTGATGTTGATTGATGTTGCTGCTTTGTGCTGCCTTGTTCACTTTTTACATCAGTCCTTCAGGCCTGTGTCTTTGATCTGCTGGACGGCAACATGTTCGATGCAGACCGAAACGTTGTGACACTGAAGACTTCTTCAGGCCATCAGATATTCAATCTGAGAGTGGAACAGAAACATGAATTGCAGTTGGGTTCTAAACTCGGGGTTGCAGTTAATTACATTTGAACATTTCTTCAGGTGAAAGTAAAGACAAGAACAAAGAGATGCTCCTAGAAGATCCCCTGTGGGAGGACAGCAAGACAGCTGCAGCCAAATGCTTGACTCGAGTTTGGAGAGTTCATATCAGACCTTCCCACAGCACTTGACACATCTTGACACATCTTGACACATCTTGACACATCTTGACACATCTTGACACATCTTGACACATGATATCTGATATCCATTGATATCCATTGATATCCCAAGGAGCTGAAGTATATGCACATAGAGGCGGCACGATCTCATGTGGAAGCCAAGGCAGGTATTGCCGCTCCTGCTGTAGCGTAGCCTGTAGCATCCATCGCATTCCAATCCCTTGAGGTGGACGATGTCAAACGTTCAGAACTCAACCGACTCAAATCTAAATCCACTGGCGCACTGGCTATGTCCCAAATCCAAAACTATCCAAAACTGACCAGTTGCTGGACTGCTAAAAATGCTTTCGTCAACGACCCGCACAGACTTTGGCCAAGGTCACAACGTCCAAAATTCCACCGCGATCAGTACAAGTGTCCGGAACCAAGCAATGTGTTTGTTTAAAGCAGTTCTCTTCTGTTTTGGATGACAGCACTTTCTTTTTTTGTGTGGAAAACACTGCAGTGAAAGAACTGTTGCCCTGGTCAACGTTGAGCAAGAACTGAAGTGGAAAAAGATGGAAAAAGAGAAAGAAGGAGGTCTGAATTATTTCAATCAGTTCTTGCACACGTTGCTTAATTTCAATTGCAATCATTTCAATCCCCTTTCCCATCCTTTCCCTCAACTTCAACCAGCATAACCAGCTCAGGCCATGCTGGAGCAACTGCGTGCTGCTCCTGAAATGTCAGTTGCTTAAAGTTGCTTAAGCTCAAGTTTCAGACGGGATATGGCAGCATATGGCAGCACTGTGAACAAATTTCTGCAATTGTTTGAGGGGCTGAGCCTACTCTGCGAAATCTATCACCTTTGCTTCACTGTCACAAAATAGTATAAACATGTATAAAATGTACGATGGGAGCCAGTTGCTCTTCTTGTGAATTCCTGTGAAAGAGGCGAGATGCCGTTGATCGAATGTCACTCCACCTGGCAATGATCATGCTGGGTGCCTGAGTATCATTGCCGTTTGCATCACTTGTGCGCCTAGGGGGTGCGCAGTGATTGAACAAAATTTCAGAACCCGCGACATCAATCAAGGCAAATCCACTCGCGGTTGAGCCACGAGCAGATCTTGGAGCCACTTCATCTTGGTCTCTTGGAGCAGGACGATGGAAAAAGATCACAAAATGGATCAACATGGAATAACAAAGCCTTACAAAGCCTGACAAAGCCTGAGTGCCATGCTTTTGTCGTGAGGACATCGCCTGTGGCATTGATCGAAATGGCAAAGATGTGAAAATTGTGAACTTGCAGCAAACTCTCCTCAAGTGCGCAGCCCATGGGATTTCTAATGCTGCTTTGCCATGTTTGGACCGGATCCTGTATTTTGAGGTTTGGCATCACCAATCAAGCATATTCCAACAAATTTAGATAGATGTACTGATGATATACAACCGAATTCTAAACGCTAAGGATTTTCACAGATCGGCCGGAGCTGCCAAGTGAGATGAAGCTGCGCTTGCTGATGGTCTTTTTTGCCGTTGCCTCAATTCGATAATTCGATTTGGGGTGCCTTCAGATTCATCAATTCCTGAATGACCAGGAATGATCTGGATGACAATACGTTGCTAGGGTTGGACTAGTATGGTGCACTGATCATAACTAGAGGTACTGAGACAGAGTGAGACTTTGTTCCAGAGGTATTTACAGTAGCGTATAGGGCCTGCTTACTGATGATACATGGCTATGGCATGTTCCGAGATGCTGGCTGGAACGATCTGGAACGTTTTATCGTTTTGTTCTGAGGCGTGTGTCGCAAACATTCCCGAGGTGGGACTCTTGGTAGATCTAGGGCCTTAAACTGAATTCGCATTGCGCTCTGGCAGTTTCACTGTAAGAAAAGATAGAAAACTCACAACACAACGACAGAGTCTCTTCAAGCAATTTGAACTATTGCATCCAATTGCGACATTTGAATTTCTGTCATTTGCACTGAATCGTCAGGCAAATCGTTCAAAGCTCATGGATGCAGCAAAGTTAGATGCCGAGGATCACCAGGCTCGCTGACAGTGCCAAGCTAACTCCTCTGAAGGCCGAAGCGCAAAGACTGCAGTGTCAGGTTCTCATTGGAATGCTCCGAACGCGTTTGATGGAGGCCAGGAACGTGTGCCTTGTGACTATGAATTCATGGTTATATAATGATGTTATAATATGTTGTATGTATATATATATATAATGGAAATTAAATGAAACTAATCGATATTAATGGATATCAATGGGGCAACTATATATATATATATGCACAAAAAATATATTAATATATAATATAGCTGGAAGAAATGATTCTAGTCACCAGCCGTGTAGCTTGGCTCATGGTTGCAGACTTTCCCATAGCATCCTATGCCACACAATCTCTGTGAATTGTTCGAGGCTAATCAGGTGTTGAGGACTCTCTTTCGCCTCTCCAGCAATGATTTCCACAAAAGAGATGCGCACAATGCCACCCATCATCGCAACATCAACATGACATACTTACTTACTTAGTGGGTCTTGCACCGCGAATGGGCGAAACAGAACAAGTTGACTCTGTGACAGGTGCCTGAATCTCAACGCTTGAAGCAGGGCACTGGTTGCGCCCATCGAGTCACCAAACAACAGGCTGTTGGATGGGTACGCGCCCGGTCACTAATGATGCTCTTCAACCTCGTTGTCTAGCCTTTGTTACAATTTGAGCCATCATAATTTGGATGTGAACTACCAGCAACTAGTTTGAAACAGCTGGATGCCTTGTTGGAACGCATGCATTTACAACCTGGAGTTGAGTAGATCTCTGTCACTTGAACGTTTTTTTGGCCCACGAAGCCTTGGTCACCCACCACCGCGCCCTGTCTGACAGCCAATCGCAAAACCATGAATGTTCTTATATTCCTTTCACACAATATCAAATCAAAACATTATGAATTATATATATATTATAACACAGTATAACACATTATAGCACCTTCATTTTTCCATGATTTGCTAGACCTCGATTGGAACTACAGGGCTACTGTACATATCTGTACATGATGCTTTGGGAAAGACAAATTCGGCAATGACTTCCGCAATGACTTCCGCGCCTCGCGTCCTGAGCGTGCAGTCGCACGTGGTTCATGGATATGTAGGCAATCGTGCTGCCGTCTTCCCGTTGCAACTCTTGGGCTTTGAGGTGGATGTCATCAACTCGGTACAATTCAGCTGTCACACTGGCTATCCAGTCTTGGCAGGGCAAAGGGTATCTGGTGATGACCTAAGAGCTCTGGTTCAGGGACTGTCTCAAAATGAGGCATTGGATCACTCCTTCTTGCTCACTGGGTACATTGGAGCAGTTTCCTTCTTGCAAGAGATCTTGACTCTCCGCCAGATGTTGCCCAAAGACTGCTGCTATGTTTGTGATCCGGTGATGGGTGACAATGGTCACTTGTATGTCCCAGAAGAACTTGTTGCAGTGTACCGATCTGATGTTTTACAGCATGTCTCAATCCTAACTCCTAATCAATTTGAAGCCGAACTGCTGACAGAGAGGAAGATCACCAACATCCAGGAGGCCATTGATGCTTGCAATCTCTTGCACTCCAAAGGGCCCAGGGTTGTTGTCCTAACCACCTTGGATGTTCCGGAAGCCACTCGTGGCGGTGAGTCAGTGGCCATGCTCTTATCATGCCAAGGTAGCCGGAAGTGGCTTCTGCGTGTCCCCTGGATTGGAGGTGGACCCTTCACTGGTACTGGGGATTTAACGGCTGCAATGATTCTTGCCTACATGCACAAGGTCCCACATGAGTTGCCGTTGGCACTTGAAAAGGCCGCGGCAGTGTTGCAGGGAGTGCTTCGGAACACGGTCTCTTGCAAAACTGCACGGACTATCCAGGGCAAGCGAGTGTCCCCAGAGCTTTCGCTGGTTGAGTCCAAATCAGTCATTGAGTCGCCTACCATTGTGCATCACTGCCAATTGGTTGAGTCTCTTGGCATTGCCGGTGTTCTCTTTGATGAGGAAACACTGGACGATGAATCCAACAAGATGCTGCAACTCATGAAGTCCAGTGGTTTGAAGGTTGGCATCATTTCCAAGAAGGATACCGCTCGCTTTCCGGACGTAGAGACCAGGACATTCTCAGACTCACCACAAACAGCCTTAGCAGATCAGATTAAGCAGTGGGGAGTCGAAGCGTCTGCTGTACTCATTGTCGCAGCCTCCATGAGTTTCATCCGTTGCAGTGGCTCTTTGACAGTGGCTTTGCTCAAACCTCGAGGCGGATGTGGCAATATGTGGCATGACATATTGCTGAAACAGCACTTCATCGTTCTCACCAGAACTACCTTCCAGCCAAACACTAGATCGCAACTAGTGGACTACTCGGTTTGGGCTTGGAAATTCATAGGTTGTTTATGTTTGTTCGAGATCGGATCAGGACTATATAGATATGATATATTGCAACAAGACAATGAGAGGCCTTTGGTCGTTTGTGAGAGATCATGCAATCCCCCGTGTCCGTCCCACAGGTTGCAATGGTGGCTACAACGGTGATGCTCAAGATACAGCTGCTCTTGCAGCGGAGGTTTGCGGAGTTTGTTTAAAGCAATGTACGCCACATTGACACACACACACATATATATAAATTAATATATAATATTATAGTATATATCCTATTATATATATAGTATAGATGATACTGTAGATGTAGTTAGCATGATTTGGTGCGACATAGTGACATAGTGTAGCCTGCCACCATTCAAGCCAAAGTAGCGAAGCAGATTGTCTGCAACTTGAGAAAGTCCATTGGAACGATTGCTCCTAGTTGCAGGGTTTAAAAAAACATTAAAAAACAATCCAAACATCTCCAAGAGGTATTTGGTGTGGCCTGCTCTCTAGGCTGACTTTACCATTGGATGCTTGGACTCTTTGCGAAGGCTCCTGCCCGCACTCCACACAAATGGAAGTTCTTGAATGGATTTGAGCAGCCATGCCATTGTCAGATCATGATGCTAGCGTTTGGTGACATGCTGACAGAGAACCCCTTTTGCTTGGGTGCTGCACCCAAAAATCCGAAGACTGTACAAAATGACCAGAATCTAGGGACCACACGGATGCGACCCGTGCTAGCAGGCCATCTACACGGGGACTGTGTATAGCCGTATCACCACTTAGCATCTGTGATATGTCCAAGTCGCCGTCACCATGAAAAAAGACTGCGGCAGTGCGGCCAGCATGAAGTCAGCACAACAACTTGAAGATTCCTTTTCAATTGTACTGGATACAACTGGATTCATAAATTTGGCAGAAGCAAAGTGATTTCAATCATACCAGGCACTTGAAAGATGGCAGAATCTTGCTATCCAAGGTAGATGTTGGAAATACCTTGATAAATCTTGATGATCCGATGCAGGCCCTGAAATTCAAGAAGAACGCAGTGGTGCGGATCTTTATCGCAGAACTTTATGAAACTCATGCCATGTTCTGAATTCTGCCTAATGGCTGCAGCTGGAGATGAGAAGGCTGAAGGCCGCTTCGAGCTGTCGCGCTTTGAGCCCAGACTCAAGGACACGGACATGGTGAAAAATGGTGAAAACGTGTAAACATATGAAATGAATTTAGTGCATCGCAATTCTCTACCATTCTCTAGCTATTTTGTGTTGCGCAGACATCAACACACTTCGAAGTTGATCATGGATTGACCAACAGCCAACAGCCTTGGTGTTTCTGTCCTTGGTCCTATGGTTAGTATCTTTGAAGCGCAGATCTTCAAGGTGCCAGGCCTCATCACTGTTGGAATCTGTTGGACTGAACTCCCGGTAGCTTCATCTGCATCCAGGAGGTATTAGAACAACTCGCTGAAGATCGTCTCAGTTTAGAGGTGCCAAACATGTTTTTCTGTTTTTCGTGTGGCACTCGGAACAGAGGAAAGGATCTTAATTACATATATTTATCATATTTTATCATATTTTGTCGGCCAGTCTGGCCAGTTTCTAGATGTTTCTAGAAAGCCAGGACTTTGGCTTGTGCCAGAGCACCGCGTTTCAAGCTCAGATTCACCGACCGGCCCATGATCACAAGCCAATGAGCAACATGAACAGCTAAGGAATGACTTCGGCCGAGTCCTCAGATGATTACAATGTTGACAATGCACTCTGGCAAAATTAGCAAAAGATAATGTCCAAGATTGGTCCAAAAGGCCTGCGTGAAGCTGGCTATGGAGATGTACTTGGACCAGCAATTCAGGCAGCGGGCCAACGGCGAGTGGTTTGCATTGGTGACAGTCGGAACACATCATAGCTATGGCCCAAGACTTTTTGTCTATGGTTTCTAAATGTTTCTAACATGTCTTTGTGTTCGATTTGTCACCCTGTTTTTCAGCCACTGCCATGGTGCCATGGTGGAAAGGAACAGAACTACTTGCTACATCTTGTGCATCTTGCTACCCCATCTCCACATGCCCTGACTTTGCTGTAGCTGCCGTACTAGTAGCTTGTATCTAGCGTATGCATGCGTATGCCATTTGCAACATCAATGCAATGCAGGCGAAGGATGACTGGTCCTTTGCATCAGTCACAGGCCATGACTGCCACAACAGCTGTATTGGGAAGATACGAAGCTGTGGCCTCCCGATGTTGGTTTTATATCGTTTTACGATGTATTATATGGTTTTATGATGTTTTACGTGGCTTTATAATGCTTTATATAGTTTTACAATGTTTTCTAGCTCTCCTCTTAGATGTTCAGTAAGACAAGTCAATTCGATCAAAAAAGCTGTTGTAGCCACGAAGACTGCCGCAGATACTATGGTTTTGTCAAGTACTGGTAGATTGAAGCAGCAAGCTCTTCAGGAAGTGTCGAAGCAGAAAGGACGGAGGTCTCGCACAGGATCGTCGTTTTTGTGCTCGAGCCTTACCGACGTTCAGACGATTCAAATCTGATTGGCGCAGTCACAGCCGTGACAGCCGAGCCGTTGCTCGAAGTGGTACAGTATTCGTTGTTACATTTGTTACGTCGTTGTTGCATGTTGCACTAGGCTTGGAGGCTTCACTCACTCCGAGCTACGAGTAGCAAAAGAGGCCTGGGCCCTGGGCTCTGTGAGCACGTTGAGTTCGGAGCTGGCGCAAGCTGTTAACATTTTAACATGTTATTTGCATTTTGTTATTTAGATTGTTATGTTTAAATGTTTATTTGTTATTTGCTACGTTTGTGTACGGTAGGTATTGCACCGCATTTTGCTTTGCTTACACTTCCCAAACATCTTCAAACGAAAATTGAGACCACTGCCCAGCAACGTTCAATTGAGCTCTCAAGCAGGTCCAAGAAAAGCTTCCCAGGGGAACAGAGGTGCCGGAGTCGTATCGCTGACTCCAGCACCATGCTCCACTGGCGACATGTCACAAACATTCACAAACCGTCCAGGTGATCATGGGAGGAACATCCCTTCTTACTCCAAAGAGGCTAATCAGAGCTTTGAGGCCTGAAATCATTCGGCGAATGGATCATGAATCGTTATGAAACGGGGATCATTTAGATGGTCTGACAAAAACATGTTCAGGCCAAAAACCGATGCTCCAGGAGGCTCCGGGGAAACTGGCAAAAGGATGCCAAAGGATGCACTTATTGAAAGGATTGATCCCTTCTAAGGAGCTTAGAAGGAGCTGAGAAGGAGCTGACTATATCTGACTCCTTTCGATTTGCGCTGTCGATTTCATTTTTTCTTGGACGTGCTCTAATGGTCTACTGATGCAGCAATGCAGCAACATGATGAAACAATTACTGCCAGACATGGACCCTTATGATCCCTTTGCCCAGTCTTGAAGGTTTTCGGCTTGAGCAGAGCATGTCAAATCGAACCCACCATTCCAACAGTTTCTTTATCAATCAATCTGGACAATTGACAATTAGTTTGGCGGCAAAGTATGAAATGAGAGCAGCTGCAGCACTACCCTGAATCTTGTCCTGACACTTTTGTGCACGCACATACGCAAGACGCATATTCTGAGCCTCAGTATGCGAATGGCAACTGTCCGCGCACATCTTCTGCTTGCTGTAGCGATCTCGCTAATCCATCGTGACTTGTCAGAAAGCCGCCTATATTGTCAAGAAGATCGCCACAGGTTTGCTGGTACTGCAATATTTCAATGCATTCTCTCCATGCCTTTTATCATCTTTTATCCGATTTGTACATCTTCGCTTCACTGGTCTTGCCTAGTTTCCTCTGTGAGGTTATGCCCTTGATTTCGCCCTCCCATTATTTGGGCGATCCTCAAATGTTGAAGCCTTAGCCTGCAATGAAAGAGCGGCGATGTTGCTATGATTTTATCATCACCTTGGCAGTTTCCCTTACAGATCCTTACAGTATCATGGGGGTCGGACCCCCAGAACATAGGTTTTTTTACCTTTGATTTTGTAAGGAATCCACCTTACAAAATCATATCCTAACCCCTAGGGATGAAGGGTATAATATCATCATGGACATGTGGACATATGGCAAGCTGGATGGTCTTGACTTTGTAAAGGTACCAGACCCCCTGGGGGGGGGTGCCAAAATGGTCCCTTTTTTTACAAATGTTAGAGAGATTTTTGAGCCAATTTTAGATGACTTTGGGCTTGACTTTGTAAGGATCCATATGTTTCTAATCTGTTCCCATGAGAAGGTTTGATTTTATAAGGTGATTTTATGTTGTATTATATTTGAATCCACAACATGGGCATTGATGGGGCATTGATGGGGGCATTACAAAATCATGGCCTACATCCAAAAATGAATTGATAGGGCATTACAAAATCAGGGGATGCGACCTACTCACTGAATTTCAAGGAGGATATTTTATCTCCAGGAACGATGTCAGCTTCACAACTGATCACACCAGTTTCCACTACACATTGAGCTTTGCTTCACTGCGCTGCCGAGACCATCCACAAACTCACTATACTCATGGAAACGATGCAAGCCTGCGACGTGGGTGGGTTTGCTACGGTTTAGTGACCAGGTCCCGTGGCAATTGCAGATCACATCTCGAGAATCTCGTATTCTGCGGCGAAGCGAAGAGACGCCATCTCCGCCAAACTCTGTGTCCCGTCAGCAACCAGGTGACAGTCGGTGCCACTTGGGAAGGGGCAGCTTTCGGCGAATGAGCAAGACTGCGGAGGAGGATCCCCAAGTAAAGCCATTGAAACTTTTGAGATTTTTTGAGTACTTTTGGGGCAATCAAATATAATCAAATGCAATCAACACCTAAGGACCTAAAGTGTTTGGTGGCTCTTGACCTTCAGGTTGTATGATCCTCAAGCCTCAAGCAGTCAAGGCTCGGAGAGGCTCTGAGGCTTGATAAACTGAGGCCAAAGTGATGGTGCAGCAAGCTGCAGATTCTGTGGTGAAAGCATATGCGGATGGCATAAATCGACAGTCAGTCCAGTTGAGCCTCGGAAAAGTGCTGCTTGAATCTGCTTGGCGGGTTTGATGTCTCAAGAAACTCCTGTCATGATTGTCATGTGATCCTGGTTGATCCTGGTGTTGGATTTCCATTGATTTCCAAGGAGACTTGATATAGTGTGTCCGCCGAATCGTGTCATTGAATCTGGCATGGAAGCGCTGCTGAGTGCCGCGTTGCCCATGGCAAAAGCCAGCAGCCCAGTGACATGGCAGTGTTCTTGGCTCCAACTCGAGCGACTCAGGCATTTACACAATCCCTTTCAAGTCCTGGTGGTGCCCCTCTCAAAGAAGTGTGCCTTGACTTATTATTTTATCTTATTTTGATTTATTTTGTATATTTCAGTTTACTTTTTATACTTTTTGCGGTTTAATGGATGTTTATGGAAGTTTTGTTACTTCCCTTTGTTTTTCGGAGCAAGGCGGGTTTCACGATTTGATCCTGTTGGCACAACCTCTGGCGATGTGGGAACCTTGCTCTATAGAATCTCCGAAGATCCAAAGCAGGCCGGGACTGGCAGGGAGTTTGAGAAGTTTGAGATGGTGGTTTCATGATGCTTCTGGATCGGGGTTCCAAAGTGTCCAATGCTGTAAGTCTTTTTCCAACAGGACCAGTGACCCGACTGAAATCTACCTGTGGAATCCTCTGGAGGATGTTGCTGTGGTCTTTCTTGGTGGCCGCAAATTTGTTCTGCAAGACTCAGATGCATTCATCAATGGGATGAAGAGCCGGCTGGTTGTCATGCTGAACTCAGAAGATGCAGCCACAACCTTCAGGCAAGTAGAGCACAACATCACAGAACAAATTCAAACAAAAGGAGTGGGAAATGATGTGCAGTTCATTCAATTGACTTGTGGAGTATCTCAGTATTTCATAGTATTTCAATCTCCAGGAAGTATTCCCTGAGACCACAAACTTATGCTTTGCAGTCGGATCTCCTTCCATTAATATCATTAATTCTGATGCAGTGCCGCAGCAGGCTGGAAAACAAAGGCCAAGAGGTCAGCGCTGGTGGAAACTTTGGGAAAGACGTGAAGATTCTCGGCAAGTTCCTTCGCTGCACAAGCGTCTTCCACAAAGATGGTGAGACAAAACTGGACAAGCCGCCAACCGCCAAGACTGCCAAGAGACACCAAGGTTCTGCGAGGAATTTCGAGAAGAAACCTATTACCTTCGGCTCTTGTGACTCGGCATGCCTCAGCACGAGCTCCGGCAGGGCAGTGAGACCAACTTGAAAGATCTTGAAAGTAGACAAAGTGACAGGAGATGACAGGAGGAAACAGGAGGAAACAGGAGGAAACAGGAGGAAACAGAAAACGGCTGCGACTTGAGGCTCTTGAGCGACTGGCCGGTTCTCATCTTCCGTGCCTCATTTGATCAAAGCTGTGGAGCAGAAAGTGAACTAGTGACGCATGCTGGGCTGATACTGTTTTGATGATATGCGGTATACATTGGTATACGATGATTACATGTGTTTTCATGTTTTTTCTACTTTGCTCTAAGCTCTGCATCTGGCCAAGCCAGATCTAGCCAATTGTAATTAGTCACCTTGGTCAACTCCCATTGGTTGAACGGTTGAACCATGTTGAAACGCCCAGGTGCATATCCCAATAAATGGGAAGTCTACCTTGAAGCTCTGGATGGTGATGTTGTGAGGCCTCTAAAACCTCAACCACTCATTAAACGTCTGACACAGTGAGAAACAAGTGCTGCAAAGCTTCTGAGGACCATGATCTCACATTTCTGTAGGCACTGAATGGCATTGAAGGAGTTTGTTGCAATGTGTGGGATTGTGGAGGCTATTGTACGGATCTCGCAAGCCGCTTCCTGAAGAGATCTTGCAGGATCCTTGTTCGCAAGGATCTGCCAAACATCTCAATTGTTTGCAAGAAGTGATCTTTAAGTATCTTAAAGCTTAAGGTATTCCTTGGATGGGAGATAGTTCTAAAACCATGATGAGTATATGATTGCGCTCAAGGAAATCGCCAAATACGAGGAGGAGAACGGCATCACAAACGCAGACAAAATGGTATCCCGCCATGCAAAGGTGTTTTGCATTGTTTTGCTATGTTTTGCTGCTTGCTACATTTTGCTACTGTCCCAATAAACAGCAGATGGACTTCACTACAGATCAACCAAACAATCCAAACAGATCCAAAATGAGTGAATAATGCCTTACATTGAACATCATTGAACTAGGTACACGGCTCACAGGCGGCCGTGAGGAAATCAGCACACCATCAATTCTTGCCTTTTGTTTTTCTGCTGATTTACAGTGGTCTGAGCATCCAAGTCCATTTTGGACTTTTCACGCAGCCGTGCCATGGGTTAAAGCGGCTTCATCTCGTAATTACATGGGGAAACACATGTTTTTTAGTTGTTTTGCAACGCACCCAAACTATTTGTTTCAGTGGATGAAGCCGTTATTGAAAGTCATGATGTTTCTTCATCAGATCGACAAGGTGTGACATCAATTCTTTGGGAGAACACGGCAAAATTGTTTGACGCCAGATCCATTGCTGGATCATTGATTGCACACCTTGGCTCATTTTGTGATGGCCATCTTTCTTTTCGTATATCTGCAATATTTAAGGTACAGTGCAAGGGAAGAGTGGATAGCGTAGCAGCAAGTCCAAGAGAATATCTTGTAAGACGGCCAGCCAAGAACGTTATTAGCCCCCCCCGAACCCCCCCCCAAAAAAAACAACCGCCCAAGAAACAACAATGCAAAATAGTGCAACGTGCGCGCGCTCCTAGAGCCGCCCACAACAAAAAAACTCCACCCCAACACGGCCGTCTATAAGCCGTGGTCCAACTACCTAACCACCCTGCCACATTTTGGTTTGAATAGTTCCACATGTCCAATACCCAGGTCCCAGGCCGACACAATGCACATCCAAGGCGAAGATCCAGTCCCGTTGACTGGTCACGGGTTGCCGCTGGTTGCCGCTGGTTACTGCTGGTTGCCAGGCCAATGCAGACATTCGCCGCGTTCGCCGTTCGTCGCAGCGGCAGAGGTTGCGGAGCTGGAGATGAACTGGGCATGGAGAGATGTGGATTTGGCGAAAACCAATGGAGAGACGGAAGGTTTTCGACGGTTTTCCTGCGCTGAGACGACGATTGATTGAGTTCAAACGAGCAAAGATGAGGAAAAGTGGCTGCGGGCTGATTGTGCTGATTATGGCAAATTCCGGTGACTACATGTGCGAAAGGAATACAGTGCAACGTTGTATCAAATGAAGAACCCCCCGTCTCGGAGAGTTATGCTAAAATTTGTCACTGCAATTCACTGCAACATACTCCAACAATGCACTGGCCAGGTGAGACTGTGGTCAGTGTGGATCAACTTCCCAAATGCCAGCACAGCTATCATAGCTATCATAGCTAATTAGCAGTATGCCATACAGATTTTGTGTTTGCTGATCACGAGGTAGCTTCTACTACGTAGCTGAAGTCCCGCTTACTTTACCCCCCTGCTGGAGTGACCTTGATTGAGATATCGTCAGTAACAGTCTGTTTAACCGCCATCGGTGTGTTCCGCGGGCCACCATGGAAAGAGCTATCCTGCAAGCCGTAAACAGCACTTGCAGAGGCCTAGGAAGAATATTTTTTGTGTAAAAATGTTTTTTGTGCATAACATTGCATAACACGGTTTTTGTGTAAAACAACTTTTTGATGCTTTTTGTGTGAACCATGGCTTTTACGCAAAACATTGTTTTTGTGGACACCACGGTTTAAGTTTAATCCGAATCCAAAGCATGAGTGTGTAAACCAGGGTTTTGGGAAAAGGCCATGTGAGCAAGAGGCTAAACTCTCCATGTAGCAGATATGGAGCGATTTTTCATGTAAAAACATGCATCTTGACCCGTAAAACGATATATGAAAGGTTACGCGTGTGACAGGCCACCTATGTCAAGTATTGGACATAAGAGACGACGCAGCAAACCGGTGGCAAACACAGCAAAAAAGGCGGAAAAAACAACAGACATAACAGCAAATTGTTCAAAACCAAGCGCGTGTTGAGCGAGTCGTGGGCAGAGTTGAGCCCAGCACATCGTGGCAAAAGATGAAGACAAAAAGCACGAAGAGGACGATGACAAAGAAGGCGAAGAGGACTCTGTGGGGGAGGGTGGGAAGGGGGGGTTCAAGTTAGACGAGGCAAAAACCCGCGCCACAAAGAGTCTAGACAAAGACAAGGGACAAGACAGACAGTACAACTAATACAACTACGCACAAGCAAAATCCACAATCCACAGCGGAATCATGATATGACGATTATGACATAGCCTCCTGACATCTCCTGACTCCTCCCTCTTCCTCCCCGTTGCACCCTGCTAGCTTTCTTTCCTTACCCCTTAGCCATCCTATGCCATCCTTAGCCTCTTTGCGATCCAGGATAATTCATCCATGATGGGTCCATGAAAATGATCCCCAGCATGTCATGTTGCAGTTGGCTCTGTATGGAGGTGCTGATGGTCCAGACCTGACGTGAAGAAGACCGCGGGAAAAAGTTGCCAGTGGATCATTGGATCCACCCTGTGGACATGCGCTCACTGGATTTGGCATTTGTTGATGTTGGTTACGAATTACTGCCAGATCATACCTCTCTGCTGCTGTTGCACTTGTGCGCGCACGTGAATACAAAAAACATTTGTGCTGCTTTCTTTGTGATGCAATCGCAGTTTTCTTAGATCAAACTCCTTTAGTTTTTTGATGTCTATACCGTGATGCAGAGTTCATGCAGGGCCAAGACAGATGGGTGTAATCAACTCAGTGCATCCCTGATGGCGCTTGTACTGAGAGTGGGTGCCAACAGACAGTGTGTGTGCCTTCGCAATCTTTCATGTTTTTTTCAAAGAACTGTGCAAAGGTGCAAAGTTCCACGGAAGTGAGAAGTGAGCAGTTGCCACCTTGGAGTCTGATTTTAGAACATGTATGACCTGCGGGCCAGCTTCTAGTTGGATGAGTCGGGATGAGGTCCGGCCAGAAGACAGGCCAGAGCCAAGTCGGTCAGTGGTGATTCAATGAAACTGCACTTGAGTGGCTAAACATCAAATTATCAAGACTCTTGGTATCCCTTTAAAATCCTTTAAACATATTGATATTAACATATTATATTAACAGTAAGAATCATTAATCATTAATCATGATCATCCATCAGTAATTCTGACTAGCCAGTGTTTCTAGTCGATTCATGCGGTAGATTGCAACACCGTATTCAGCACGTCCTTGTGCAACAGGTGCTCTGTGCTTCTGTTGTCATGGAGGCAACGGGATGCTTCATATTTGCTGTTGCTTGTTGTTTGGAGTGGAGCAGTCGTTGCAATAGGGCTTTTGGCAAGACAAGATAATTCTATGTAATCTAATTTAATCTTATCGTCTCTGACCGCATCAAATCAAATCCCGTCTAATCTAGTTTGTATACTGTAGACTATAAGTCTACTGCCAAGTCCGGTTTTCAGCCGATTGCGCGTTTACTGTACGTGTGTGAATCTTTGCCCTTAATTGATTTGAACTGAGTTGTTTGATTTCTGGCATGGAAGCATTCCATCCAGTACACTCTTGCTGTACAAGATGTGGAGGTGATCAGGAGCCGAAGGAGATCACTTCGGGCCCCATTCTTCATGAGGCTGCGGTCGCTTCCGGCAACAGCTCCGCCGGCCCACCTTTGGTTCAGGATTCAATCATGGCAACGGCCAATGAGAATGCTGCAAGCTGTGTTGTAGCACCACCTTCAGCTGCGTAAAGTACAGCTTGAAGGCCTTGGAGGCTCAAATTCCTGTCGATTTGTTCTCCTTCAAGGCAGTGGAAGTGTGCAAGTTGGAGAGAATTGCCGCGGTTTGTGTCATCTTTGTCTTCATGTTCTTGCCTCACTGCCACTTGAAGCAAACATCCATGTAAGATCCCATGAGCCATCATGAGCCTAGATGATAGAAAGCATGAGGGCTTGTGGAATTCTCCAGCACAGTTGATGAACAAATCAGGAGCAGCCAGTCTACAGCAGATCCAGTAGCAGATCACCCTCTGCCACTTGGCACCCGACAAGATCCTCGAGCCTCCAGCCATTTCAATTTCCAAGATTTCTGCGACGCATTGAGTGACTATGGTGACTATGTGACATATGGTGAGATATTATGGACTATTATTGGTGACATATGGTGACATATGGAGACTATCTGGAGATTGTTGTGTGTGTTTTGTTTGAATTGGGTATTGAATCAGGTGACATATGCCGCATGGATTTTCCTTTTCGCTTTCCACCGAGGCCTCGGACAATTGGGAGGTGCCGTCAGTCTATGCAGTCTATGGGAAAGGCAGTTGGCATGCTGAAGGAGGCTCATACCAAAGCCAATGCCCAAGATGCCCAGTAATGGCACTAGGCACTAGCAGTCAGAAAGCAAGGATGCAGTGGTTTTTCATGTGGGGACGGAAACATCGGAAACCAATTAATTATACATATTATGTACATAATCATATTATATACATATTATATGCATATTATATACATAGTATATCATAGTATGATAATATTACTTTTTTTGTCATTATTCAGATTATGCCATCTTTCCCGGGATTAAGCCCTATTTGCCAGAGCCATAGCCATGTCGTTTCCGTGTGTGACTGGCACCTTGCACCGACGTGACAGATCAGGTCGGCAATCCTTGGCCCACTCTCTTGCAGACGGTGATGCTGTGCTTGTGGAATTCTCAGGTAGCCTTGAATATATGTCTATATTTATATATATATATATTTATATTATGTTATAAATATATTATGTATATAACAGTATATACAAATCATACAGTATGTATTTATAATTATATACTGTTATATACTTTATTTGACTGACTGCAATGCAATTTGTCAAGTCGTCTTTTGAAGCTTTCTGAGGTTTGGGCATCGTGGCTTGTGAAGCTGGTGCGGGAGCCTCGCTGGGAGCCTCAAAATAACAGTCGTCCTCTTCAGGGCACATGCCATGGGCTGACAGCATTATACAGCATTTGCATCAACAGAATAGTCAAAAGATGTCAAATTTTTTAATGTCAAAATACTTTCAATGAGGATGCCAGATGAACCACAGCGTGCCTGAGAGAGCGGATTTGACAAGTCACAATGATTCACAATGTAAATGCATTTGTTTCAATGAAGCATTCGAACCATAACCCTCTGCAGCTCCGATGCAACACATTGCCGCAGAGAGTGGGAACTTAGGTGCGGTCTTGCCTCAACGTCAAAACCTGCCTCCGGAGGCACCCAAGTCGCATATGAAGGTCTTCTAATATCCGAATTAAAACCAGTGGATGCCTTGATTTCGGTCCTTGGCAACTTGTTTTGCAAATGCCGCTGGCCTCCTGTAACCACACCTCTTGGCCACAAAGGGAGGTACTCAGCATGAGATGGCAATAGATGGGACATGGGATAGCTCTGCATAGCTCTGCGTAGATCTTCATAGCTTTGCATAGCTCAGGCAATGTGCAGTATTGATGCGGTTGTCAAAGGGACACCCTTGCTAGCGGTCCTGCCACCAAGAGTTACGCGCGTTTTTTGCCAGAAAGAAACCTTATGGCAGAGACAAACTTCATTTTTACACTGCACTTGTCAACATGTTTCAATGTTTGGCGATGCCCAAGGTCTCGTACTGCTGGGCCACCTCGGCACATCCAGATCCTGAGGCTTTGAATGAGGAGAATTTGATGAGTTCCTGACAGTCTCCGTATGTTTTTCTTTTTTTTCCTTTCTTCAAATTGGTTTTGCCATAGCACAGAATCTGTCTATACTGACATACTGCATCTAATACTGTATGTATATATATATATAATACTGTGTATATATATATATATTGTTATATTACTGTGGATATACTTTATGTACTTTGTGCGTGTACCATCTATTGTCATGGGATGACAGTATGTCGAAAAATAATGCCAACATAACCACTATATACCACTAATTTTTGATGAATCTTCACTCTGCATCTGTGGCATCTGTGGTTTGAAGGCCACACAGTTGCATCTCTTGGGAGAGCTGTTGGACCTCTGGTTGTCATGGCAACGAAGGCCGTTGGGACCCCTGGGACCCCTGGGAGCCCTGGGACCCCTGGGACCCCTGGGAGCCCTGGGACCCCTGGGATTCGGGGATTCGAAGTCGCGGCCAGATTCAGGAGCCCTCTTTTGAGCCCAGGCACCTGCAGTCAGGACCTGTACTCGTACTGTACAGTTATCGCAAAAGCATGGCACAGTGGCACAGGTACTTTCTACATTTTCTACGGTTGGAAGTGATAGTTGGAAGAGTGACAGAGATTCATTCTTTGGCTTGGGGCGTTTTGATCCACTGACCAGGACCTGTTGAGCTCTGGCCATGAAGCCGAGACCAGGAAATCAAGGGTGGGGAAAAGATGTTATAGTTATAAGCAACTGCTGACTTTCCGCATTTTCCTCCCGTGTTTTTGCAGACCTGGGGGGCACTCGCGCCGAGCGAGCTTGTCATATCGCTGAATGATGCACAGGAGTGATGTGGCTGTTCTGGTCGACTGGTGTAGTACCTATCAAGCTTCTGTCTCAGCTCAGCAGTGATTGGGCTTCACACTTTCCACACACGCAACAAGTGGCAACATATATTAACATATGCCCTATGGAGCATGAACTTGCCAAGCACTGCCTGTATCTGTGATGCTATTTGTTGTGGGGTCTTTCCAGTTGAACATATAAGGAGCCACGCTTTGCAGATGAGCGACGCTCATCAGAGCGGTTCTTGCAACAGGTTTGAGGGCCTGGTGACAGCAATGCTTTGGACGGCAGTTGGCATGAGGTTTGCAGAAATGTCACTAGTGTCACTGAAATCTGCATTGACTGGAGGTGGGTCGATGGTTTGCGCTGGAGTCTTAGGTTTGGGAGGATTGTAATCGAGCTGGAGTCATTAGTTGATGCAAGACCCTCAAAGTGGCTGGAACTGAGCAACACAACCTGTCCACAACCCGAGGCACGAGCATACGACCGTATGGCTGTTGACCAATTCCCCTCTGGGAGCTGTGGCAACCTTAGAAACTTCGACACCAACCTTGAAAGCTTTGGTCATGTTTGATGCATTAACAGCATTAGTATCCCATGTGCAATATGCATACACACAGCACGATGTTTCTGAGATATATACTGATAATATCTACTAATAATAACTTATTACTTACAATAACTACAGTAATACATAGTAATACTATATAATACTAATACTAATACGCACAGAACCGGACGTTTGCCCGGAGCCTGTGTTTTCTCGCACGAAACGGCCCTTCTTTGACTAAGCAAGAAATCCACGCGACGTGGCCAGAACGATGAGATGCAAGGAAACGAGAAAACCAGAAAACTAGAAAACCGAGAAAACCGAGAAAACCGAGAAGACCGAGAAAACCAGAAAACCATAGAAAACCGAGAAAACCAGAAAACCGAGAAAACCGAGAAAACCCAAAAATATCATCGGTTGGTTTTCGTTTTTTCGTGGTTTTCGCGGTTTTCGCGTTTTCGCGGTTTTCGCGTTTTCGCGTTTTCGAGAAAACCGAGAAAACCAGAAAACCGAGAAAACCGAGAAAACCGAGAAAACCCAAACTATCATCAATTGGTTTTCGATTTTTCGTGGTTTTCGCGGTTTTCACGTTTTCGCGTTTTCGAGAAAACGGAGAAAACCGAGAAAACCAGAAAACCGAGAAAACCGAGAAAACAGGAAAACCGAGAAAACCGAGAAAACCGGGAAAGAGCAGCGGCTGGCATCAATGCCTTCTATTTCAAAATTGCACCTACTTTCAAGTTTGAAGCATGGATATATTTAATATGCCTTGGGGCAATCAAAAAGGGTCACATACATATTCTTTTGACTTAAAGATTGCTTGCTATGGCAGTAGCCCTTGCACTTCAACCTTCCGATATGCTGCACTTTTTGCACCATATATCACCATAGTTCACCTCTAAAGAAGATGGCCAGGACAAAATCCTACGCGAACCCATGTGCAGAGATTTGCCGTTTTCGCGGTTTTCGCGTTTTCGCGTTTTCGCGCGAAAATGCTGCGCATCACCGGGGCCGAGACACACACATTTCCTGCACAGCTTTTTCACGGACCCCACGAAGTCTGCGAAGGGTTGTTGCCGCAAATCAGTGTGAAACGAACCATGAAGCAAATTGTGTGTCATACGCGCGGCGAGGGGCCACATCTAGTGTACCGTCCATCCCTGCACGGCGGTTAGAACCACAGATGAAACATGTGTTAAAACCGGGGGAATAATAGGATAGATATGGATAGATGATATAATCTTGGGCGAACGGTAGGTATGTAATCTTGGGCGAACGGTAGGTGCTGCGGGTAATAATAACACTAATAACGATAATAATGATAACAATGATAATAATGATAACAATGATAGCAATGATAATAATGATAATAAGGATAATAATGGTAATCATGATAATCATGATAATAAAGATAATAAAGATAATAATGAAAATAATGATAATAATGATAACAACAACAATAACAACACAACAACAATAACGACGACGGCGACGGCGACAACGACAACGACAACGACCATAACAACAACATCAATAACAACAATAGTGACAATCATAGCACTAATGCCAACAATTACACTAACAATAAATACACTAATAACAATAATGACAAACATCACAAGAACATATATACATAACACATGTATATAGTTATATATATATTATACAGTATATTGTATCACAATGTAACATAGACAAATACATGAATGTATGATTAATGACGATTGATCATGTTGATTAGAATTCAGCCCAGTTGTTGTTTGTAAAATAGACGAAAGATTTACACAGCGTGAAGGAGCCCTACAAAATGCGCGGCTGGACAACCTTCGAGCAAGTCAAAGACCAAGAGTTACTTGAGTTGCTTTGCCAGTCGAGTCTCAGTCGAGTCTCAGTCGAGTCTCAGTCGAGTGATTCCTGGAGTGCAAGACCTTGCCCAGCATATCCCAGCATCCCGCTGCGAGGCTGTCAGTCTTTTGCCGACGGGCTGCAAGGAGGTACTGGACATAGGCCAGTGGGCTCTGGGCAGTCAGAGGAAACAACCGCTTTGTCAAACACTGTAAAACACTGTAAAACAGTGCAGTTTCAAAGCGGCGATATATCACAATTATATCACAATTATCGAAGGAAGTTTAGAAGTCAAACTTCCGACAATATGGACAGATGGAAAAGCATAGGTGGGAAGAGTCAGAGAAGAGAAGAGCAGAAGAGAGAAGATCAGAGAAGAGAAAGAGTCAGAAGAAAGAAGATGCAGGTGCGCGAAAAGGTAGGAAAGTCGCGAAACATTGTGTTTTTCCAATGATTTGTGGCTCCGGAGGGTCGAAAAGTAGGCTCGCTCAAGCGGCGGGTGCGGAGCCACCTGGCCAGATGAGAGATGAAAAGTTGCACGCCGTTGTGGCGCGAAGCAGGTTTGCAAGTCAAAACGTACAAAACACCTCAGCTTCGGAGCACTTTTGGAAGTTGAGATGTCGAAAAAAGTGCACACCGTTGTGGCGCAAAGCACATTTGCAAGTGAAAAAACCAGAAACACCAGGCTCGGACCATTTTTTGACGTTCAGATGTCGTCGTTCTGCGTGGCAGGCGCAAGGGATTCTGCGGGTTGCCAAAAGTGAGCAAAACGTGAGGGTTTTGTGTCATTTCACCATTTCCAAAAACGATGGCAGGCGTGGGACATTTGCAGAGGATCTGGCAAGATGCATGTCGCCTGGCAGGCGCAGTGCAAGAGACATGTTCATCAGAGATGTTAAGAGGTCCGGGCGCTGATGTCCTGAGAGGGACTGCACTTTGGAGCATCAGATCTTTAGTTTTGGGAAGATGATTTTGCGTGACAGGTGCAGCAGTTCGTATGACCTGGTATCACTTTTTCGTGGCAGGCGCAATACTTTAGAGACATGGACTGGACAATCGCAAAACGCATTGGCACGAGGTCGTCAGCCCTGCACTCAACTTTCCATTACTGAAGGAAGTCTCGCAGAATTGCTTAGCTTTTGATGTTGTCAACTTCGTAACACTGAGGAAGTCTCGCATAATTGCTTCGTTTTTGGCTTTGTCAAGCTCAAAAATTGAGGAAGCCTCGCAGAATTGTTTCGTTTTCGACGTTGTCAAGTTCAAAAATTAAGGAAGTCTCGCAGAATTGCTCTGTTTTGATGTTGTCAGGTTCAAAAACTGAGGAAGTCAAGCTTGCAGATAGACAGATAAATAGATAGACAGCTGCAACTACAACTGCAACTACCACTACAGCTACAAATGTACTACGCTACATTACACTACACGAACTACATTGCACTACACTAATCACATCTAATTACACTACACTAGTTACGCTACACTAGTTGCACTACACTAATTACATTACACTAACTACACAACAACAACAACTACTACTACTGCTACTACTACTACTACTACTACTACTACTACTACTACTAGTAGTACTAGTAGTACTAGTACTACTAGTACTACTAGTACTACTAGTACTACTAGTACTTCTAGTACTACTAGTACTACTAGTACTACTAGTACTACTAGTACTACTAGTACTACTAGTACTACTAGTACTACTAGTACTACTAGTACTACTAGTACTACTAGTACTACTAGTACTACTAGTACTGATAGTACTACTAGTACTGATAGTACTACTAGTACTACCTACTACTACTACTACTACTACTCCTACTCCTACTCCTCCTACTCTTACTCCTACTGCTACTGCTACTGCTACTGCTACTATTTCTTCTTCTACTACTACTACTACTACTAGTACTACTACTACTACGACTACTACTACGACTACTACTACGACGACGACGACGACTACTACTACTACTACTACTACTTCTGCTGCTACTACTACTACTACTACACCACAGCTACAACTGCAATTACACTACGCTACACTACACTGCACTAATTACACTACACTAGACTACACTACACTAGACTACGCTACACTATACCACACTACAGTACACAACACTACAACACACTACACTAGACTACACTAATTACACCACACCACAACCACAACTGCAACTGCAACTACAACTACACCTACGCTACACGAATTACACTACACTACAACTACAACTACAATACAAGTGCGCTACACCACACTACATCCAGCAGTTCTGTTGAGGTGACCACTGCAACCAGTGCAACCATTCCAACAAACATTATAAGACCGGCATACACCCGGTACACATATCGTTAGCACACTACCACAGTGACACACCTGTACATGCACATACATACATACATACATACACACAAACTCACCCACCATCACCCCTCCATCACTCTCATACTTCCTCTTCCCTGGTTGCTTTTCTGTGCTCAGTCTAAGTCTGGATGTTATGCGTATGTGTATGTGTGTGTGAGGTGATATTATTTTCGTGTGGTGTGAGGTTGGGTGGTAGTATTTTAAATGTATGCGCACGTAAACATACTGATCTTGTTGCATGCGCGTCAAGTGATGTTTTGCTCTGTGATGTTGTGATGATGTACATGTGCTATGTTCATGTTGTGCGTGTCTGTGTGCATATATGTGTGTGTACGTGAGTGCGTGGTTGTGCGTGTGTATAGTCATATGGTGATATGGTGATATGTTTGCGGCATATATATAAGAATCCGATGATGTATGTTTCAGTTCATATGTATATATAATCCTCCCGTCGCTCTGCAGACTTTTTGGCTTCTAGGCATATCGGTTGTCCAAGTGCCATAGACCAGCATCATGACCTGAGCAGACACACCATGAATAAAACAAGCCATGATAAGCTCACACGCAATCAATCTGAATGAGCTGAGTTGAGACATCGCCGTGCCCTGCTTCTGAACAGCCTTTTTTTTTTCCGGGTCAGCGAGGTCAACAAGTCGCGTTAAATTTGCACAAAGCTGACGAAAATTCAGCAGTCAAACGCGAGAAATCTCTATGCCTCATTGCCCACAGCACGCGGAGCTAGGAAAATCGGCAGGACGCTTCAAGACCAGTCTCCGACTGACTGCTGCGGAGCAAACATAAGCTCACATCTCTTCGTCGCATTGGGTGGCTGCGACTTGGCATGATTGCACAAGCATGTGGAGCTAAGAAAATCAGCAGGACGCTTCATGTGAGTCTGTGATGTGTGTGTGAGTGCAAAGTCAAGTGATGTGTGTGTGCCTGCCACGCAATGTGAGATATGTGAGTGTGTGTGATTGACTGTGTGTGTGTGATGTATGTGTGTGTGAGTGTATGTATGTGATGTATGTGTGTGGTGTGTGTGAGTGAGTGTATGTGTGTGATGTATGTGTGAGTGATGTATGTGTGTGTGAGTGTATGTGTGTGATGTATGTGACGGAGCGGATACAGCACTAAAAACAAAAACCACACGTCAATGTGGGGAACAACTCCAAACACCTGTCGGTCCATCATTGGATTAGCTCTGCGAGCCGTGATTCACAACAACCCTCTCGTATAGGTTTCCTATTTTTGAAACGTGCGCCGCCGCCTTGTGCGGTACTACTGGTAATGTTGATATATGTTGAACATCTTTGATCATCCCATACCACAAAAGGATGATGAAATATGCTATGGATTTGAAGGATGTCGAAAACATTTGGAGTGGTTGATGAATCACAGAAGACGCGGTGACTGCGTGGCGCAGGTCGACTCACCCAGTTCTCTTTGAGTAACATGGACTGGCCTGCTCCTCAGGCATCTTCGAAAGCGTAGTGCTCGGGTGGCAGTTTCCAAGGTGCGAATATTACATGCAGAACTGATAGAAAATACATGTACATGTTAATATCAACTCAACAATGTAATGGGTCTAAATCTAAGTGATTTTGAGTGATAAACGCACGTTCTAGTCCGGACTTCAGCCATTCCTGAACTAAGGCCATCAATTGTCTCAGCATGTCAGGCAAAACGATTGCCACCTTTGACGCGAGCGCCTGAAAGACTTCTGAGAGGTTGCTGAGAACTGTAACATTCTTTTTAGAACGCATCTCTTCAGTAGATGCATCCTCATTTGCCTCTGATTTGTACTTGTTTGGCAACGGAGATGCAAATTTTGCAAAGGCCCAGCGAGTTTCGGAAAGAATTGCAGCAGAAACATTTCTCTTGGAGCCGCAGCCTTGTACCACAGGTCCTGATAATATTCTGAAAATTTCTGAAAGATCTTAAAACTGAGGAGTCGTTTACCATCGTTTGCCTGAGCGATTCAGCGTTAAGGTCATGACCGTGACTTGCTTGGAATCCTTTACCAGGAGGTCTATGAGGCGCGCAACACTTGTGTCAGCACGGTTGCTAATTATCAAAAAATTGGTCAACGTGCAGGAATCTTGTAATAGGTGGGATCTAGAAAGGGAACGAAGGGGATTATGTGTGATGTAGGAGGTGTATTTCCAGTGCACAGTGAATGCAAGTGGAAAACACACATAAGAGTAATTGTATAATCATAGTGATATCATATCTGATTCAAAAAAATGGCCACAAAGCCTCATAAAGCTTCATAAACCCAGAAAACCACCATTTTGTTCCAGAGAATTTCCGTATATGGTCAGGGTATGGTCAGGATGTTGTCGAGAAAGCCACTGAGATGCCACTGTCGCGCATGCGATGGGGCGATGAAGAGATGGGGCAGCGGTGGTCTCAGGAAAAATCATGAAGCGAAATCCATGAAGAATGGATGAAACACAGTTCAATAGATCTGACATGATCTGATGATATGATCTGAGGACATGTCTATATTTGTACACCTAATAAAGATATTGAAACACATATTGAAATATATTGATGATTAATGATGATTATGATTATTATCCAAATGCAATGATGATTGATGATTATATCCAACTTGCAAGGATTATCATGTGCTCCAAGGTTGCACGGCGCATTAGGAAGCTGTAGCCAGCTTCAACGCTTGGCCCTCGAGGGACTCCCAGCACGTTTTAAGCTGATCATATCATCCTTCCACACCAGATCCATCCAGATCCACAGTCTCAGGGAAGTCTCAGGTCTCGATTTGACACGCAACCGCATCAGCGACTCCGGCGCTGAGACCTTGGCCAGGGAGCCCCAGAGTTGCGGCCCAGATTTGACAGCAGTGACAGCAGATCTTTGAGGCCAACATTTTGCTTCAAAGCCCTCGGGTACTTCAGTGCCTTGGTCAGAAGTTTGGCTGAGACTTGGGGATCTTGATGATCATCCGTCACCATCCATCAGCCACATCAACACAAATCAATTAACCACAGAATGAAAGCACCAAGTTCTGTTAAAACCCCACCAGAACTTGGTGCCATGTGGTGCCAACGAGGTCTTTGCACCTGTTGGACCTTTCCGGAAACGAGATCGGTGATCCTGGTCTTTGCAGCCGGGCAGCTAAGAGAAATGCTTAACTTTTTCACCGCATGGAGCATCGGCTCGGCTGCTGATCACTTGCAATACCAATCATTTGTCAATACATTTTGACTGTACAGCTTTGGAACTCATTTCTCAGCATATTTAATAGGCGCCCATCTGAAGCAGCCAAGGTTTAGCTGCTGCGTTGCCAAGCGTCCGATCGATCAAAGCCTTGGGTTTTGACAGCCGCTTGGCCGGAGCTTGGATCGCCATTGGATGACGCTGCTCAGCGGTTCGGTAATGGTTTGTTGGCTTTCAGATGGTTTCAATATGTTTCAATATGATAATTATTATTATATAATTGTATATAATATGTTTCAAAGTGTTTCAATAAAAAATATAAAATGCAAGTTTTTGTCCAGCTGGCCCACTTTGTTGATATGACGCAGTCATGTTTGGGTGGATGGTCAGCCATTGCTGAGGCAACTTCATTGGAGACCAAGGTGCTGAAAGTCTGGCCTTGGCTTTGCCACGCTGTTCAGGTTGCTGAGCAATGGCAAGTTTGACAAACGATGACGGGATGTGCTGCAAAGCAGATAAGCCAGCTAAGCTGTTAGCAAATCCAAACAAGGTAAAACGGGCGAGGTTCATGCGCTCGAGGAATACCATCCATCATGGGATCCAGTGACCCAAGGTTTGCAGCAGCTCATTCTGCGGCGCAACGAGATCGGTGACAGTGGAGCTGGAGAATTGGTGGATTTCCCCAGCCATCTTCAAGGATTTTCAACCGTCACTAGGGACATTACTTTGTTGCGATTGACCTTGACAAAGGTTCCATTGTTCCCTTTAAGCACTTCGGCTTGTTGTTATCATGGGGGAGACAAAGGAGATAGCCGCTTTGATGGATGTAAACTAATGCGCCAAAGATTGGGAAGACATGGAACGACAATACATGCCAAGACCAATGCAATACGCAAGAGTTGACAGAAGCCGTAGGCTTGTCTCAAAGTAGGGTAATTAAATGTAATTAATTACCCGTAATTACCACATTCCATCCCATGTTGCATGGTTGTATCATCATTTTCCCCATTACTTGATGGTCATAAATTGCGGCCCATTCCCCATGGTTGGACAAACCCATATAATATTGATTAAAATGATTAAAAAAGTTACATATCCGGATGGCATTCCCATCATGGCTGCTTAAATACCCAGTGATACCCAGTGACATGGGGATAACATGGTCATATATTTGGATATCGCGCCGTATGTATATATATATATAGGCTCAAGGCACTTTCAAGGGAAGGCAAAAAACACTGTAAAACACAGTATAAAATCAACATTCTCCATAACCATACAATTAAATTGCAATTGGCTTCCGGGGAACCCTCAGCTTCCGCCCTACATATATATATACACATATATAATTAATGTTGTCGACTGGTTAGTGTGCGGGCCCCCCCCAAAACAATTTTAGTCTACTCAATAACTGACAATTTTTTTGCGGCCCCCCACCCTCAACAATTTTTTTGAATTGATTTCAATTTACTTTTAATTGAAATCAATTTACTTTCAATTGATTTCAATTTACTTTTAATTAATTAATTTCAATTTACTTTCAATTGATTTCAATTTACTTTCAATTTACTTTCAATTGATTTCAATTTACTTTCAATTGATTTCAATTTACTTACAATTTATTTTCAATTGATTTCAATTTACTTTCAATTTACTTTCAATTTACTTTCAATTTACTTTCAATTGATTTCAATTGATTTCAATTGATTTCAATTTACTTTCAATTGATTTCAATTTACTTACAATTTATTTTCAATTGATTTCAATTTACTTTCAATTTACTTTCAATTTACTTTCAATTTACTTTCAATTGATTTCAATTGATTTCAATTTACTTTCAATTTACTTTCAATTGATTTCAATTTACTTTCAATTTACTTTCAATTTATTTTCAATTGATTTCAATTTACTTTCAATTTACTTTCAATTTACTTTCAATTGATTTCAATTTACTTTCAATTGATTTCAATTTACTTTCAAGGGTTTTTGTTTTTTTTTCAACCCCAAAAGTTGTTGGGCACAATAGAGTACCATCCAAACATTCATATTATTGAGTAACTCAGCCACTCATGGGGTACCACCTTGAAAAATTGTTTGGATGCTGTTTTTTTTAATAAGGGTTTAATAAGGCATCTAATTATTTGGAAAACCTTGCATTTTAAAAGCTTTAACACAAATATTGCTGTCTAAAGTAAATGGACCAGCTTTACTCAAAGAAAGGTGGAGCAAGGGTTTTTGTTTTTTTTTTCAACCCCAAAAGTTGTTGGGCACAATAGAGTACCACCCAAACATTCATATTATTGAGTAACTCAGCCACTCATGGGGTACCACCTTGAAAAATTGTTTGGGTGCTGTTTTTTAATAAGGGTTTAATAAGGCATCTAATTATTTGGAAAAGGTTGGATCTTCAATCAAAGAAAGGTGGAGAACGGGTTTTTGTTTTTTTTCAACCCCAAAAGTTGTTGGGCACAATAGAGTAACATCCAAACATTCATATTATTGAGTAACTCAGCCACTCATGGGGTACCACCTTGAAAAATTGTTTGGGTGCTGTTTTTTAATAAGGGTTTAATAAGGCATCTCATTATTTGGAAAACCTTGCATTTTAAAGTTTTATCACAAATATGGTTTCCTAAAGTAAATGGACCAGCTTTACTCAAAGAAAGGTGGAGAAAGGGTTTTTGTTTTTTTTTTCAACCCCAAAAGTTGTTGGGCACAATAGAGTACCATCCAAACATTCATATTATTGAGTAACTCAGCCACTCATGGGGTACCACCTTGAAAAATTGTCTGGATGCTGTTTTTTTAATAAGGGTTTAATAAGGCATCTAATTATTTGGAAAACCTTGCATTTTAAAAGCTTTAACACAAATATTGCTTTCTAAAGTAAATGGACCAGCTTTACTCAAAGAAAGGTGGAGAAAGGGTTTTTGTTTTTTTTCAACCCCAAAAGTTGTTGGGCACAATAGAGTACCATCCAAACATTCATATTATTGAGTAACTCAGCCACTCATGGGTACCACCTTGAAAAATTGTTTGGGTGCTGTTTTTTAATAAGGGTTTAATAAGGCATCTAATTATTTGGAAAACCTTGCATTTTAAAGCTTTAATTTAAAAAAAATGAAAAACATAAAAACATTTTTTTAGTATTTAATTAACTAATTTAAAAATAAATTCAAAAAATAATTAATTAATTAGGAACATTTTTTTTAAACAAAAAAAATATGGAAAAACATTTGCCACAATACAGGCCCCCCCCACCAAACAGCAGGTTACTGAATAAGGAGGATTTTTTTTGCCACAATAGAGTACCATGCTACTAATCAGGTGCCAACATTATATATATATACATATATTGGTAATTGTTGGTGTTTAATCTTGTCAAACTAACCATGATATTTATAATATATCATCATATCATAGTGGATAATTATGAATTATTGTGGGTATTAAACCGTGTTGAGCCAATCAAAACCAATCATAGCTTGATCCTGGTCCACTAAGCCACTGGGTTTGAGGCTCGAGCCATTCCGCGCTGCAGCAATTTGCAGCTCCTTGATCTCAGCGAGAACGAGGCGCAGTGTTTTTGTGGGTCGTCTCCGTCCCATGAATGTGGATACATACTGATAGATATGGCATGACATGGATAAATCACGATAAAACGATAAATCATTTCAGACCGATGTTCACACGGATTCCAACTCTGTGCCTGACCCTGCTCCGCCAGTCGCAGCATATTCAACATGTTGTACAACTGTACAACCTTACAAAACCTGTCATAGCTGGGAAGGGTCAGCAGAGTAAGTGGAACATGAATGAGTGAGATGGAAATTCATTCTGCAATTCTGTGTTCTTCCATACAGTGACGCCTGAAGTAGACTACCTGTGACATCCTGTGACTACCCGCAATGTCAGTGGAATGATGTACCTCAACCGATCTCAACTATCTCAACCGAGCTACAGCGATCGAGGTAAGTGACGTTGGTGCAGAGCGCTTTGCAGCGGCATTGCCGAAGTGCAGTCAGCTACAGAGGCGAAGCCTGAACTGCATGACATCATTGATATACTGAGATGTCAAGGATGTGTCATTGCCAGATAGCATTAAATGATATGCATCAAATGATATGATACAGATCAAATGATATGATACGCATCAAATGATATGATACGCATCAAATGATACTATATCCAATAATCTAAGATAGACATCTTTTGGCAACCTGTCGAGGGTAAACATGGGCAAACTCTTCGGAAACGTGGCGAATGCTGTTGGGACAGGTTCGATTTGGCCCGAAATCGCGTGGGCGACCGGGGGGCCTTGAGCCTTGCGGCGGTTTTGCCCAGATGTGGACAGTTGCAGGTGCCCTATGCTGCTGTGACCTGGGAGGATGTTGCAGGATGAGAGGGTCGCTCTGATGCGATGTGAAGTTAGGCATGTAAACAGGACGTGCACTGTAGATTACTGTATATATATAATATAATATATATAATATAATATTATTATATAATTATTAATTACTGTACTACTCAGATGTATAGATTGTGCTGCCGTTCACAGTTCACACTGAAACAAACAGCTGGAAACAAGTCAGCATCCTTCGCATTGTAGGCCTTCGGCCTGGGTGGCCATGAGGTCGGCGAGATTCTGGGCGGTGGCCGAATTGGTTGCAGCCTGAGCAGTGGCTGTGAATGTTCAGTTTCTCTAATCCGGCAGTTGAGGCGATGGGGGAGCTGGCTTATTGGCCTCTGCTCTGCTACGGTGTGAACGGCTCTGCAAATTGGATCTCAGTGCCTAGGCTGAACTGAGCAGAACTGATCAGAGCTGATCAGAACTGATCAGAAGTGATCAGAACTGATCAGAAGTGATCAGAACTCAGAAACATGAGCTTTGTTTGTGATGTTTCTGGATTCTGCACTGGTATCAATTTCCATGCAAGGCGAAAATGAGATCGGTGATTGTGGCACAGCACAGCTGGCGGCTGCAAGAGCCCAAGAAGCTCAATGGCTATGACGCAGTGGTATGAAAGACAGGTGGCCGTGTGGTGGACAGACTCAGAAGTATGTGTACACTGTAATGATGTTTTGCACCCCCCGATATCTGGATATCAAAGTTGGAAACCTGGCAATACGAGATAAATCTCATCTACAACTTGCTGGGATATGTTTTTTCCTATGTGTTTGGGGGCTACCTATAATTGTATGGGAGCAATTTGTCCATTGAGACGCTGAGTACCTTGAGGTCATGCCTCATTGTGGCCAACTCGCAGAGTATCTCGGCTTGTTAGACTCAGCTACTTGCATGGCCAACATCCCCTCAGATTGCAAGGCTTGATTTGTACCGCAATCGGATTGCAGATAGTGGCGTCGGAAGGCTTGCAGAGGCTCGCATGGTTTGGGAGATTTGGGACCCTTTGGGACCCTTTGGGACCCTTTGGGACCCTTTGGGACCCTTTGGGACCCTTTGGGACCCTTTGGGACCCTTTGGGACCCTAGTTTTACCTTTGCATTGCATCTAAGCACAGGCCGTGCCTCAGTGTGGCCATTTGGATTGGTGCACGCCTCAGCGGAACCAAGCGCTGAATTCAGAAAGGATAGAAAGGTAGGTCTACCAGGTAGGTTATGCCAGGCCCGGGAAAAAGCATTCGCAGCTGAAAACTTTGGCGACCTGAGCTGCTCAGCCAAGGCTCAGACTCTTGGAGAACCCCTATGGCATAAAGGGAGCAACGCGGCTGCTTGAAGCATGGGAGGTGATGGGGTTGACAGTATTGGAGAATGATGGAGAAGGTGATGAAGATATGTTTGTCACTATTCCTTGTCAGGCGGCAGGAAAGCCCAAGGGGTTCGAGCCACAGCTTGCCAGTTGCAACAGCTAGAGGATGCCAGAGGTAAAAGCATGTCTGATATGTCTGAATATGTCTGGTCAAAAGATCAAGGCGTTTACTTTGTCAGCCATCATCATCTTCAGGCAGAGGCGAGTGCTGATCATCCAATTTCTCGGCCAACTTGTAAGATCTTGTAAGTACCATACAGATATATACAGGATGGCCCCCCCCAGTTATAAGATGGTTTATAAACCATTATAAGCCCCATTAACTATAGTTATATCATGTTATATCCACAGTGTTTGTAGATAGTTTGATAAACCATAGTTTAACTATAGTAGATAGTTCTATCATATTAACTATAGTTAAACCATCCTGTACAGTGTTTGTTTTCGATTTTTTCGAAGCCAATTTCCATCAGAGGCTATGCAGGATGGGCAAACTGGGGTAGTTGGGAGCTCGGCCATCGGCACCACCAGTCGCGGCAGTCGCGGTAAAATGGCACCGAGGTGGTCCTACAACCCCAAGAGTCGCACCTGAAAGTCCAGGTGCGGAGAGATTTTCAGGAATGTTACAATGAATTTTCCACATTTGCTGATTGAAAACTAAAACCAAAGAATATGATATGGATATATATATGGCATGGATTAATTATTATGGATTGGTGTGGTGTGTGGTTGTAGATGTTGGTAGACCCTGTCATGGTTGATCTGTGATATATGTGGTATCCTGTCCTTTACTGTGGCCATGAGTTATTGGATTTTGCGGGGATTTTGTTCCAAGTTGCTGCATCCGTTCCATTCCGAGTAGCTCACCACGTGGTCACATGTGGTCAGGCTACGGCAAGGGGAGATTCAGGATGTCACTGCTTGGATCCCCAAGTCGGATCTTGGGGAGCTTCCAACATCCAACATCCTTGCCAAGGACAAAAGCGAACTTAGAAATCTACAGAAATCTATAGAAATCCATGATACGGTGCGGATGCAGGATGCAGGAATTCTTTGGATTTCTATGGATTCATGAAGCGTAAGAAAACCATCCCTGATTCCCAGATTGATCCATTCAAACTTCGAGGTAAGCAGGAGGCTTTCAGCGAAATCGGTGAAACTCCAGTGCGTCCCCGCTCCAAAATGCACTGGTCAAATACGCAGCCTGAAATAACAAGAAATGTTGGTAGTAAATACTTCAATGACCTTTGATGTAAAAGAATGGAAATGATCATCAAAGAACTTGAGCAAGGATCGCTTCTGATATTGTTTCGATGTGCTGCAGCTGACCGAGTGAGATACTTCGTTTGTGGCGCAAATCCGTGTGAACATGCGTATAAAGCGCATGGTGTGCCAAAGAACCGCACGCAAATCTGTAAGACTCTTGGCAGTTCTGTGATGACCCAGATATGTCCAACATTGTTAAATGGTGATATGTTTGAGAAGGCCAAGATAGGCCAAGTGTGTCAACACACAGATCTCATTGCTCCAGTTGCATGGTCTTAAGCCCATTTGTTGGTGCCCAAAGTGTTTTGTTTTCTCAGCAACCACACATTGCTGTTGGAAATTTCAAGCCCCGCTTTGCATCGATTATCAACGGATATCAACGGCTTCCAGGTGCAGAAGGCATTCTGAAAGCTTTTCCGGCATGGGGCAACTTTTGAGGGGCAGTTTGTCCCTTGTTAGCGACTGATAGTCATCCAGGAGCTCAAGATTGTTAGACCGCAGCTTTGTGCGGTCGCAAGCTGGATGCTCCAGGATTGATACAGTGGTGTGATTTCACACAGAGCTAGTGTCCTGATAGATCATCGCACCTCATTGCACCTTAGGTGCCAGGCCGCCAGAAAGGACTTGCTCACAGATCCTGGACCTCACATCTTCGATCCTTTTCCATGCTTCGAAACTTCAAACAGTTTACATTTCCAAAGTCAAAGCTGCGCATGCGCTCAAGAGGAATCAAGGTTGACCTCATAGAGTTGCTGGACGTATGGGTCCTGCAATGTTCAGGACGTCTTGAAGCATATTTCAAAACAGTCAGTATTCAACTTCATTGAACATTCGATCACTGTATCTAAGCAGACCTTTAAATGCGTTAATCATCTTTGAACAAAGATAGCTCTTGCTCCTATTGGCCCAACAGCATACATAGAAAAGCTTCTGAGATGCTCTCTTTGGCTACTCCCCAGCGCAACTTGCTGACCCCTTCCACATGATACCCATAGCGGCAGAGCGCTGGTTTTGTGTATATAAAATAATGCGACATTGACATACCTTGTTGATCCTTATTGTACTTGACTTTACTGTATATGATATATTTTGCAACATAGTCAGATACACTTAGAACGCAAGAGTATGAAGCGTGAGATTGTTGACAAGCTGGCCGATGATCAAACCAAGATTTGGTCTTGAGCCTCAGAAGTTGATTATCACTGATCACTGACTATATTCAATGATTTTCAATGTCGGAGAATGTCGGATAATGTCGGATAGACATTCTTCCCAAGTGCATTGTGCTGCTATCTACGGCCGCTGAGGTACGCACAAGAGAATCCGAAAAGATCTGGAAGCGGCTCGAGAGACAGGCGAACCATGGCGAACCCGAACACGGGGTGCGAGAGGGGAGAGAGAGGATAGGGATAAGAGGAAAGATGAAAGGATGATAAAGGATGATATGAGACCATGTGGTGCAGGATTTGCCATTGATCTTCGTTTCTGTAGGATTAATGGAAATTATCAATATGATCAGAGGGAGTAGTTTGATTAATCAGCCTTGGGCGGCTTGGCAACACCCCGGATTTTTCTCCCAACGGAGTTGCAATGGTTTTTTGGCGAAAAATACATTTGTTCAACATAAACCGACAGGAACCCTTAGACACAATACAAGAAATGCTGATCAATCCTCTTTTTGGATCAAGGCTCTTGTTTGCTTGGACGTTTGGTCCGTTTGGTCTCCGCTACTATGTTATACCTCTGACTTGAACTGTCGGCCTGGACTGGCCACTGAACAGCCATTTCTACAAGTTTTTTCCGACCTAGATGAAGTGTGCTTTGTATGGCTTATGTTTATAATTACTGCTTTTTCAACACATAGAGACTCAGACAAAATGTGTCTTTCTTTTAGACTCCTTTAGATTCATTGGCCGCTGCAATCCGCTGCGAGTTTTGCTTTAGTTTCCTTGGATTCAGATTGAAACCGAACTCCGGGTCTTCTGAAGACAAGGCATGAACCTTGCAGGAGCACCTCAAACCAATGTTATGCCGCTGCCTGTCAGACCAATTGACTTCTGGTAGTTCTGGCATGTTCCGGTGTTTCTTGATCAGGTACGAATCCTACAAGCACGCAACAACTGTTGGTGAGGCGTGAGACTCAAAAACAATGACAAGCAGGATCCATCGGGCTGCCACGGTATGCGATCATTTGTTGCTGACAACTGTCTTATTGCATAGCAATGAGACATAAACACAAATTGCCTCGACAACTCCCCCGAGGCCTTGCAGATGGGGTCTTACAAAGCCGACTTGAAGCATGACTTCAACAGGGGGTGATGTTCCAAGAGGGCAAGAGGTGGGAGTGTCCACCACTGGAAGCGCACAGAGAAGCTGCATGAAGCAGAGATCCATAGAGATCATTTAGAGATCATTTAGAGATCCATAGAGAGATTGATAGTCTGATAGAGATTACAGATCTATAGAATTCTACAGAGATCTAAGGTTTCTGCATTTGGAAGAGCTGGACACAAGACCGTCGAGTCAGGCTGGGTCGAGGTCATCTTGCCCCCTTGGGGCTTGGGGCCCGGGGCCTGGCCATGGCTCCACCATGGCACCGGAGCGACAGCCACCTGAGGACGATCCAATTGAAGAAAGCCCAGGCCGGGATCCATTGGGGATCCACCAGGGGGCAATCTGGGGTAAATCTGGGTAAATCTCGTCTGAAGTTTCAGAGGCTAAGTCAGCTAAGTCAAGCAACATGCATCAATGATATCAATGATGCACTTGAATTCGGCATATTTCACTGCGACATTCGCATTTTTGTTGTGTTTTCGTGTTGCAGAATTTGCAGACACTGCTTGGACCGTTAGGTGAAAGCCGAAACTCCAGCGGCAAAAGTGCCAGCACCTGGGTGGTCGGGCTTGGAGTGGTGTGCGTTCCAGCACGGATGATGGTGAACAGTGTTTGGTGCTTGGGCAGAGTGGTCCAGACTGGTCGAGATGTAGAGATAGGAAGGAGAATGAAGTAGCAAGTAGACAAGAGTAGTGAAAGTAGTGAAAGTAATTAAACTGTATACTGTATACTGTAGTATGCTGTATTATATATCTGTAAATAATATTGAATATGAAGCTACTTTAATAAAGCAAGAGCGGCTCATTAAAGTAAGATCAAGAATTAAACTAGCAATAGGATGCAAGAGAGCCTTAACGCAACATGGCCCCATTGTCTGGGGAGCTTTGATTTCAGGTGCTCCACGGCAGGACCCGATATGTGTAGCCATGCAGTGTAGTCAAGGATGTCAAGGTTGCGATCAAGAAGTCAAAGGCCAAATTCTATGTAGGGCAATACGGAATCCACATGATTCATACTAGTAGGGTCTATCATACTTAAAGCAACAATCTGAGGCTCATGTTTGGTTTGGTTTGTCCACAGAAACAAGACGACAATCAGCGTTGCTTGTGCAGTGTAGCAATATGAGACATGTCCATTTGACGCTTGGTTGTTCTCTTGACCTCAAGGACATCTCCCAAGCCTTCAAGAAATTGAAGACAAAAGGACATGTCAAGATGGGTGAGGCATTCTGCTGCAGCATTGTTGTCGCTGCAAATCGTTTGTGAGTACAGTAAATCATAGTAAATCATACTGTATCAGCAAACGGAAACATCGGAAAGCGGATCTACAGCCTGGCTCGTCCTCAGGTCATTGCGGATGACATGTGCCACCCAAGTGGCTCCCGGCCAGGACAGTGCTTATGATAGATGCACGACGGATAGAAAGCAGAAGAAAAACATGCAGATATGGGTTCAAAAGATCTCACATCAGAACAACTGCAGAAGCTGCAGTTGATGCCCGTTGTTTGTTTCTTCTATCAATTGATTGGGTTCTCAAAACTTGGGAAGCAAACCAGAACGTACATCAACAAATGACATACAAATAAGAATAAATAGGCAAGACCGGGTGAGATAGGATATGATAGGATAAAGGTTGAAACATGTTGAAATTTCGTTCCGAGATCTTCCCTCTCTCTGACAGTCTCTGTGAAGGACGACTGGCTGAGCTGCGAAGGCCTGCTTCGCCTTTGCAGTGTGATCAACTGACAGTGCAGCACTTGGATCAGACCGGGGACCGGCATCAGTGTACATCGGCTATAACATGCTATACATTTTATCCACCACGGATGCATCAGCAACCATCACCATGCATCGTAGTTTCATAATATGTTTCATGCAATTCCCTAAATGCCACCAATTTCTCACATGCAGAAGATGCTTAACGATTGAGGCCTTGGCTACCCCGAGCATTTTCACCCGGAGATGATGATCGATTGTTGATATTATTGGAGCAAGATGGAGCAAGTCAAGTCGCTTCATAAAAGTTCTTCATGAAAGCTGAGGTGAGTGACTTGTGCAGCAGACCTTCACAAGACCTGGAAGAAATCCTATCGCAGGTGGCGTTCACCTCAGGTTGTGGGTCTATTCAGCAGCCCAGTAAAAGTCTTGCATTGTGCCCACCAGACACAATCTGGATTGATTAGGTCTTATCGGACTTGGCATCAGTTGTGATACTCTTGCCGCTGCGGGAGAATTAAGATGAATTAAGCAAGATGCAACAACCACATTCTCTAAGTCTATATTTCATGATATTTCATAATCAATTGCCATGTGTAGGACTATCCAGTTGTTTCGTTATCTTGGTCTGACCGCGGCACCTGGTATGACCTGCAAAATCATCAAACATATTACAGCTTCCCTTAGTGTATCGGGACTAGAGGCACAGGATGTTTTGGCCAAGGAGCAAAATGCAAGAGACTTTGCGATGGAGAGTGGACTGGCTCATGATGAGGCCAGCCCTGCGAAGATCTGCGAAGATCCAAGCTGTCGTGCGACAGAAGCTCCTGCGAGGGTCTTGGGATCATTGGGATCGAAATTGAACTCACAAGTTGTAAAGTGAACTAAGTGAACTCCATTCATCGTACAACTTTGGTCCAAACGACCTGATGGCAGGAGGTGGCCCCCACGGAGGATGACTCCAGTGCAGAGGCAAAGATGTCAACGTGAGTCAGTGTATGTTTGCGTGTGGATCCAATGAAGGAATATGATATGAAGATTATGAAGGGATGAATTAGCCTCAATCTGAAGTTATAAGAAAAAAACATAATGCATACTCTGAAGGTTGCACTTTTCACTACTTGGGCCAAGCAGTCGAATAAGTGACTTGGCAGGAGCCGGAGCCTGCTCCAGCTTGTCTACTTGAATCAGATTGGCATCCCGTCTGCACTGTCTGTTTTTCGTGCATCACAGACCCTAAGGTCCTATGGCCAGGATATGGACACGGGTTTCTCAAAGTGCTAAATACTTACCCATACTTACCCACAAAGCTAGTCTCGTTCCTAAAGTGGTTATGAAATTGAGACTCGCTGCTATTTTGTGCTTGGTATCAATGAGCAGTGCATGGAAAAGCCGTTTGAGTTTCTATGTCTTGAAGCTTTGGACAAAGACACCTCTGCTTTTCTATCCACGGATGATTGCCTTTCCATGTCAGTTTGATTTTTGGATCAGTTGATGATTTGTTTCCCAAAGGGGTTTGAATGGAGTCTCGGATTTAAAACTCCTCCAAGTACCAGCGTACTTTCTTTGGACCTCCAGGGCAGAAGATGATCGAAGAGATGAAGAGTTCAAAGAGTTCCAAGAGGACTGTGAATTCAACAAGAATTGTATGCCAAGATTCCCAAGCAGAGCTTAAATTTACCACTGGCTGATTTGAAATTTGGCCAGTTGATATCATCCGAACTGTAGGACATTGCGGGTGAAGAGACAGGCACAAGGCCACCTTCAACATGCAGCATGGTGCAGCCCTTACCTTGGCCAGGTTTGGACACTGTGTCGATTGGAGACGCCAAGGAGATGCATTGTCCATCGTGTTTTGCCTGTGGCTAAAGTGTAACGGAAATGCACTATCATTCAACATGTAGACGTAGACAGATGCTTATAGTCTTTATATTGTCTTTATAACTTATAGTGTATTACAATGTATTACAATGAATATGAGTAACAAACGAAATTAGCAGAAGATTAAAGTAGTAAGGAGATGTAAGGAGTGGACATGGGATGTTCAAATTTGTGTAAAAACCCTCACAACCGATGGGGGACCACCCACTTGCCGATACCATCCGATACCCTATTTATATACTATATTTTTTATACATACCATGGAAGTACAAACCTTCACAACCGATAGGGGACCACCCACTTTCGCCATGTCCATTACGAGTAGTAAGTAATTTTGTCCGCCGCTCATATGTATCATATGTATTTCATATGTGACTTACAGTGAGATTAAGTGCAATTCCATTAAACTGGGGATTGTGATTCAGATCCACCATAAAACAAGAACCCTGCCGAACAAAATGTAGCAGATGGAGATTCAGGAAGGCAAACGAAGTCTTTGATGATCTTTCCGAATCTTTCCCATTTGCATTCCATTGATACCTGCTTTGCTCAGCCACTATGGCTCGATTCATTCAGGTCCTTTACTGAACGCTTATTCGGCAGGGCCAGTCACTGCTGGATTTCCATGAATGTCGAAGAAGGATGCCCAGGAAGAGGTGAAGGACAATGTTGATGAGTCTGGGGAGACTGTGTCCTTGTTAAATGGCAAGCAAAGACGTTTCTTGATTGCACATATTGCACACGGAATCTCAAACGTCCTTGATCTTCCACCTGATACTGTAGGCCACGCAGATGAATAGGCACATTTATTTAGGATGATTGAACGTGGTATTGTGGGATATGGTTTTCTACAACGTTCCATTGCTAGGTTCAGAAAAATGTAGGGGGACTCCAAAAAAGCCATGTAGTGACTTCTGACACGCTAAAGGTGACAGTGCAATAACGTTGAAAATCGAGGTCAGCACCAGAAGCACTTTTTTTTTTTAACTACAGAACGTGTAAACATTGTAGAGGGACTCCTTTAATCTTCTGTCCCTCCCACATGCACATACTGGCTGCGTGGGGTTGACACAGAATGGTGACCACTTTCTTTGTATAGGACTGACAACCTTTGACTTTTGCCTTCACTTGCAGCAGTGAGGCTTCACCAGCTACCTTGTATTGCTTTTCTGATCGTTTATGTAGATAAGAGTGATAAGAGATGTTAAAATGCTCAGACCGAAACCTTGACCAAACATGACCAGACCACATTCATAGCTTTCTCACTTTCACTCGTATACGGGTAAGAAAGGATGCAAAAGCATGGGGGAGGGGCCGTGTTGGGGAGTCATCATTTATTTAGAGCAGTACTCAATCTGCATGTGAGAACACGATATTCAAACATATTCAAATTCAAATACGATAAGCATCACGAAAAGTCCAATAATTGAGAGAAATGGCTTCCTCATTTCGAGTGATTCTACGGTGTGCACCGAGGGGAATGCTCTTGGACTTGCGGCATTGCTGAGTTCATTGATGACCTGGGAGGCGACGAGCGGTGTCATTGGTTGAAAGTAAAATATTCTTTCAAGATGTCGTTGAAGAGATTGCGATCTTCTAAAACCGTTGGTGTTTTCTTAAAGTCTCTAAATTCAGCCACTCTGAATTCTGCCTGCCTTTTTTTCCCACTTAATTTGAAAACAACCATTTGTTGGAGTGATCGGGGTTTATGTTTTACCAGCGCACCAGTAAACAAAGGGACAGACTGACAGGGAGTGGCTGCATGTGCCTTTACGCCCTGCAAAGGTGCTGTGGGTTACAAACTATTGATCCTGTTGTTCTTCGTCGAGCATGTTGCACGGCGCCAGTGCAAGTTTGTTTTCACTACAGTTCAGCACTCTGCAAGACACTGTGCTGACATTTGATTTGAACGTATTAGATAGGTATCATAATGTTGTTGCCGCTGTGATTTGGTCAAGCTTCCTGAAGTGTGTTCAGTCTGGAAATTGCGCAGTATGTTGATGCAGCTGATTGAAGGTTGAAAGAGGTTTCGTCAGCGACTTTACTGGCCAAGCAGAGTCTTGTTTAATTTGTGACACGTGTGTTTTTGTGGTCATTGTGATTGAGAATGATTTCATGACTGCATCGGCTGAAGGTTTAAGGCAGCAATATGGATTAGTACTATGTTTTCATGTCTGTTGTATGGTTGGTCCAGACCCGCAGTTGATGCAGTGAGCAAACACTTCAGGTAGACAGATACAAACTACTGTGCACGTCCGGAAATTTGGGTTTCAATATCAAACACCCGTCACTGAGGATTCTTACATGTACAAATCGAGACTTGCTGGCACTGGGAGCGCAGCTTGTCCACTCCACCGATTTGTCGCTTAAATAAAACAGTAAACTGAGGTATGGTGTTCCTGGTCCTCAAGTGAACATTTTTTCAGGCCAGCTTTCTGCTTATTTGGTGGCGTTTTTGGCTGTTGCTGATAAAATTCTTAAGCCAACAGCGATGTTGCATAATATGTCAAAATATCATGTTTGAACGTCCAGCTGACTGCAGTATGCGTACGCTCCAACATGTTCAATGCAGATTGCAAGGCATAACACAACTTCCGTGGGCCTTAAAGCCAATCATCGGGCTTGTCAGTGACATGTTCCCACTGGGTCCTGAGCTCAGACCTCCAGGACCTTAGCAATTCTCAATATTCTCATCTCTCAATTTCGGAATTGGCGATAGTCTATGATAGATTATGATAGTCTGATAGTTTGCAGTTCAAGCAATCTCTGGGAAGTCAAAAGATCAAAGGGCCAAGATGGACCAAGTCTCAAGTGGAAGCGAGGTGGATACAACAAGTCTCCCTACATGATCGCTGCCACTGTTCTGGGTAGCTTGGCGCTGGTGCTCATCGGCATCGTGCCCCACTCCATGCTGTCAGTCACAATGTCCGAGACCTAGCTGCCCAATGCTGCCCATCATTCAACAAAGTTTCAACTCGGGGAGAAGTTGACATGATGAGATGGTTTGGTTGTGAAGAAGTCAGTTCCTGCTGTTCAACAAGGTTGATTTGATATTTGGCCATATTTGAGCTTCGCCGAATTGGGAGAATCGGAAGATCACAATGACACGTTTCAACAGACAGGGCTTATGACAGCGCTTATGGCTTATGACATCATTTCAGAAATAGTCCTGAGATGCATTGCTGTTTTAACCAATAGCCACCATACCTTGAACTTTTATCACCATCAGGCTTGTGATGTGCATCTTCCTGAACCAGACCCAGCTCTCTGTGTGTGATATTCTGGCAGAGGCCGGAGCGAAGGGCTGAGGGCAAAGGGCAGCAGATCCACCAAGCTCCGTGAAGGCCAAATATGCAGCGAGGATCCAAGAAGTGCCAGCATTTGGACCCCATGTCCTGAGCATCTTGGCGAAGCATGGCGAAGCATGGCGAAGCATGGCGAAGCATGGCGAAGCATGGCGAAGCGTCAAAGTTTGAACCGAGAAACATCATGAAAACTTTGACACAATATCAAAATATCATGAAAATTCACGAAATATTCAGAAACTGCAGGGGCCCGACAGAAGCGCAGGTTATGTGTGGTTTGGAATGAACATTGGGAGCCTCAGCTGAAATCTGGCAAATTATTCTTGGCAACCTTGGCAGCTGTTTCGAAAAAGACATCAAGGACATCAACAGACCAGCCACCTGATGTTTGCATATTCGAGAGATTTCGGATATTTCGGGAGTGTACTCAGGTCCTTAATTGGAGTGCTCCTCTCTGGAGTTGTACTCGGTTCATTTTCTCCAAAATGGCCGTACTTGATCGCAGCCGGGCTCTCGGGCTGGGCTGGTGTCCGTGGGGTCGTCCGTGACTCGTCTTGGGATGTTAAAATCAAAGTGGATGCATCATGAAACCAACAGTCTTGATCATATTCGATGGACTGTCTCTCGTGTTGTTCGATGTTTGCTGAAAGTTGAGGCTTTGCCAGCAGCAATGGTTTGGGCCTCAAGAAAAGCTTTCACCCAAAGAGACAATGCCTAGAGGGGAACGCAGCCAGGGGACGCCAGTATCATGTTTGCATGATCCCCACATCTAGTCCTCAGGCCACTATGTCGCTATGTTTTGTCTCTGCATTTTCACAGCTAAGGTGCTGATCCCATTGCTTCTAGGGTGTTTGGAAGAGAAGTTTGTTCAGCAAGATGAAGCAGTTGCTCGTTGCAGATGACCTGTGTGTATTGTGTTATTCTTGCTCGACTGTGCCAGACCCAATGCATTCATCCTGGTTTCCTACAATAAATGCAATGCGTTCGATGTAGTGCTGCAAGTGTTGGATTACATTTTGGATGTAAACTGGAGTCACAATGGAGTGAGATGACTGTCCAAGAGTTCGGCATTCAGACAAGTAATGACAAGTACCATTACATAATACTACAGACATCTACGGGCTATAGTTTTTAACATCCACACTATATACTGTTAGATTACGTTGGAAATTACTCATCAAGGCAAACTTTTAAGTCTAAGGGCTTTCAGGTAAATCTGAACTGCCGAGATCGTGCATTCTTGCTTGAGCTGCTGTGTGATGAGGTTGAGGCTCGCAAAAAATTCTACCAGCATCCTGGCAACATGTGTAATGACATGTAATTACCAATTGCATCCGATTGCGTTCTATAGACACTACTTTGTTTTCTCTTCCAAGACTCACGGGCAGCAAAGTGGGCTTGGTGTGATCAACCCCTGACACTTGATGTCACCTTCAGGCAAACAGAGGCTATGTTCCTCAGTGGGTTCCCTGGCGTGAATTTAGCCTGTGTGGCAAGGTTGACTTGCACATACTTGCACACCCGCTACACAAGGTGTAAGTTCTCCAACGTGCGTACACATATGTTTGTCACTTTACATGTTTCACATGGACGTGCTCCTCCTTCGCATGTATATTTTGTCAGTGCTTGGGACACAGGAATAGCAACTCCGGCGACGCTTGACGGTGCCCACATCAAATAAGGATAATTTGCATCGCTTGCCTTGGACTCACGATCTGTGGATTGGTCTCTGCAAACATCCATGTGAATGCTGCCGCTGCAGCCGCAGCTTTCCTGATTGTCGGGGTCACGTTTAGCGTTTCTTGGCGGCGAGTACTGAGCACCTCAGGCATCCTTAGATGCGATAGATGGTGGACACGGCTTCAGGTTTTTCAGTGTCAAGATCGGCATTGATCCACTTTTTCAAGTAGAAAATCCAGACTAGTAGATGTTGCCTGTGACATTCACTGGTTTGAACAACATACTCCAATCAAAGCAACACGTTCAATCTGAGCGTTGCAGGTTTTCCTATCTCCAACCATTGCAAAGTTTAATGCTTGGTCTTTGCTTCAAACCTCGCTTTCGCTATCGACCAGACACTCAGATTGCATGACATGTCCCGACTTCTTGACAGACACTAGACCGTTGGGAGGGTGGTAGATTTCAAGGCTGAAGGAGGTAGAGAGATACTGAGATCGTATGAGATAATCTGAGAATATCTGAGATACTCTTTTGCTGCAGCGCTGCTGGCACGCTCTTTGGATGGTGAGCTTGTGACAGTTCCCACAGTTCCAGGCCACAGGTCAGTGACGGTCAGTGGCACTTACAGTTGATAAGACTGTCATTGTCACTCTAAGGAGGTGCTGCATTCTACTTTCAGACAGACACCTCAAGCCAGTATCCAGAGGCGGGTAATGGCAGGTGTTTGCTCGTCTTCGTCATTCAAAGTGGCAACATGTGGCAACTAGATGCAGAGAAACCAGCTTTCCACGGTTGATTCAATGCGAACGGCTCAGGGACCACACTTTTCGCCCTTCTTCTACAACTCAGTCATTGGAACTGAAGCTTGGCTTTTGTTTGAAATTACTGAGTGGATGACGAACCGCAAGCTCTTGCATATTTGTCAAATGATCTCATGTGTTGTTCTGGCACAAGTGCCATTCCTTGTCGTCGACTTCAGGTTGGTTCATTGATGTCATTGGACGCTTGGATGCTTCACAATGCTTCACATACGTTTCCTCTTCAGCAAAACCTTTTGTTGCTACTGCGTAGTTATACCGTCTTTCATCTCCGAAGAGTAAATCATCATTGTTGGCCTCCCCAGAGAAAAAGATTGCTAGTTAGAACTGTTAGAACTGTTAGAACTGTTAGAACTGTAACATTGGAGCTAGCGCAACAAAAGCATACAAAAGCTGGGAAAGTCAGTTGCCTATAGTCGCCTTATGTTGCCTTTGCGTTCAGATACCGACACTTCTATTGGTTGCGTCCAAGGCAGGGATTGTGGCCTTCCAGCGCTACATGACACATTACCAATACAGGAGAAGCTGCAACCAGCCTCAGATCTAATATGTTCAAATATCATGTTGCATCACCCTGTGGTTTACACATCTGCGGAAAAGCACGAGCCTCACAGATATCGTACTGAGCTCATCGTTGCAAATTTGAACTGACTTGCATTCTGTACATATACTGTAGCGGGCCTCAGATCTTGCTACCATATTAACAGTCATATTAACCCATGAATCGCCTGTCACTTTGGTTGATGTTTGAGTTTTCAAGAATGGCGATGAACCAACTTTGCAGGAAGCTCTTGTTGGTTACGAACGTAGCTTTCTGCCTTCTGAACATGCTGGATGCCGTCCTGTGCCTTGTTTGTGGAGCGATACACTGTTCCGCAGATTTAAAAGACACGGGAGCTTAATGCAGGTTTTATCATGGTTTGTCCTTTGTGTTTTGACGTCCATTCTTTGTTCCCACGGCTGGCACTGCACCCAAAACAGGTACAGCAGGCTCAATCGACGCCTGGGCATACCTGACCATGCTTTTGTTCTTGGCGTCTGGGCTCATCTAGGCCACTGTACTAGAGTACATATATGTGTACATCAGAGTCTCCGATCCTCGAATCTTCATTTGCCAAGGTACTGGTGCATTGCAGAATGTCATGAACCAATGGCAGTGGATGCCACAAGTGATCATCCTGTCGTATTTCTGTCCCAAGGGAATGGAGGCCACCATGTACGCCCTTCTTGCTGGGTGCCACAACCTGGGAAATTCTATTGCCAGCAGCTGGGGTGCCCTTCTTATGGATACACTTGAGATCAATCCCAATGGCTCAATTGGAGAAACCGATCAGTTTGCCAACCTCTGGAAAGCATCATTGGTTGCTTCTGTGCTTCCCTTGATCTCTGTGGTTGCACTCTTCCATTTCATCCCGGATGTGAAGCAGGGAGACCGCATTGTGGATCCAAACGCAAGTGCTACAAAGGATTCATTGTGGAGACGCTACTGGAGTATCCATGACGCTTAAAACTGGAAGGCTTGGTCGTCTGAAAAAAGACTCGCGGGAACAACATGTAAAATAGTGCGCCTTGATGCTGCACTCATGCCTCGAACTGCCTTCGCATGACATGCTCACTTCATTTGACTCACAAATTAGCTTCGGTTCTCGAAGCACGAAGAAGTCCTAAGGACAGACGAAGATTCATATACCATTGGGTACGTACAACTGGAATATGAAATGAATATGAAGTGAATGAAGCATGATACAAGTATACTAAACCAAATAGATCCAAATAGCAGAATCTAGCAAAGATTGATTGCAGCGAACGCGGTCACCAGGAGTCTGGAGATGGAATGGTGCCTATCAGCCAGTCCAGTCAGGTGCCTTCAAAGATTAGCGTTGATTTTGCGGTAATCTTAATGTTCAAATATGTTCCAGCAATTTTTACATCTGTTTTCACTGCCAGGATGCTGATGCAGCTGAAGCCAGGGCCACAGCTTTGCCAATCCACTGGCTACATCGATTGCAAAATGAAGCCAAGGAGATTACGCTCAGATGTCGTTTCGCAATCTGGAAAGTTAAAAGGGAGGCACGCGCGCGCGGGAGCTTTTCTGAAAAGGATTGAAACGTACTATCACAATCCATGACATGTAACGAGCTCCAATCAAGACGAAGTGATCACAGGGCACAATGCCATTCCCAGGCAACTATGTCCTGAAACGTGCTATCACGAAAAAGATTCTTGTAATTATATAGTGCAGTCCGTTACTATGAGTCTAATTGGTCTCAGCAAGAGGATGTTTCAGTATAGTATGTATAGTCTTCGGATGTCTTCGGGCGCAATCCCTTTTTGCTGAGTACAGGTAGAAGAACCTGATGATTCTTCAGCTGCAAAGGCAGGATATTCAAATGTGTTAGAGTCCGTTGAATATGTGGAAGAACAGATGGTTCCAGACATCTCCTAAGAAAGCAAATTCGTTGTACGTTTCGAGACTGAACTCTGGACAAAGAGGGAGGCAGACCGAGTGCGTCCATGCTTTGGGATACTGCTATACCTTGCTTCTCATTCTTGTCTTGTGGGTGGCAGAGACATGTTTGTGCAGACGGACCTTTTACCGGCCCACAAATTGGGGTAGGGTGGGGTGGGGTGGGGTGTGATATCATTCGTCAGTACTGCAAGACATGATGCGATGCTACGCTACGCATGGGGTGGGGTTGGGTGTGATATTATTCGTCAGTACTGCAAGACATGATGCGATGCTACGCTACGCATGGGGTGGGGTTGGGTGTGATATTATTCGTCAGTACTGCAAGACATGATGCGATGCAACGCTACGCATGGGGTGGGGTGGGGTGCGATATTATTCGTCAGTACTGCAAGACATGATGCGATGCTACGCTACGCATGGGGTGGGGTGGGGTGGGTGTGATATCATTCGTTCCCAAGTCCAAGGCAAACGCAATGGTTAGTTGTTCAAGTACATTCGAAGTCAACAATGGAGATGGGAACACACTGGCTTCGACTTGCTGACCGCAACTGGCGAAGCTGTAAGATCTCTCATGCGGTGAAGAGAAAAGGCCACTTTGTTCGTTCGTCGGGTTTTGCAGCACAAAACCCTGTAAGGGTTGCAAACCACAGTAAAGCGGATGTTTTTTTTGATGGTCGTTTGCCACATGAAATCGCGCTGGCGCCACAGCGAAACAACATGAAACAACAATTTTTGGACAATCATGGGCCAGTACCAGGTCCGCCGGGATGTTTGTGCCATTGGTGTGTTAAGTCCATATAGATCATTATAGAATATTATAGATGATAGATCCATATAGTCATATAGTGCTTGTTTCCGTCGGACGACTGGATAGGTATCATTGATAGACACGGGGAAGCAGCCCTGTTCCGTTTGGCTTATGTGTCCCTCCTTCGAGAGGTTCCAGGAGCTTCAAAGGGTGACTTGCGTCACTTCTTCAAACAGCGGTCTGAGTCGCTGGCCTCAGTTTCCCAGACTCAGCACTGTCAACTAACTGACGCTGGTTTCCTGTAGCTCTGATGAGCCTGGTATGCACATGTATACACTAATTCGCCGAAGATGTCAAGAGAGCTTTATTTTATATCTTGTTTTTGATTGGCTGTTGACACCTGACTTCAAAATTAGGTCTCGACCAGGTTCAGATGAGGCGAGCTTTAGCCCAAGAAAGGGATTCGACTGTCAGGGTGCTTGACATCTATGAAGCTTTTCACTCAACTTGATTGAAGATATTGAAGGGTGTGGCATTGTTTTGCTATGTTTCCTTGCCAAATGACTGCTTTCCCATTTTTGTCATCGCCTTGCGGCTTTGGCTCGAAGTCCACCTGCGGGGTCGTTGAAGCAGACACCTCGCTTTGCTTACCGAGCTGTTTACATAAATTCAGCCAGCCAGAGGAGCTGCAACCTCCCAGTCCTCGACCTGGTTTTTCTGCCTTGCAAACGAAGATCTCGATGACTCCATTTTTCATCCCTGTCTTGTTCGCGCTTGTGCAATCCACTGTGGCCGACATGTTGGAGAAGACTGCCGCTTCCAGGGGCCCCAGGGGCTCTGGGCAGGTGAATTTGGTACCGACTCTGGAGGAACCTTCTTCCTCATGGCTTCTGCAAGAAGATGGCTTTGATACTCAGATTCCCATAGATTTCAGCTGGACAGGCGTTCAGAAGAGACCAGCTCTTCCCAACGTCCCAGATGTACTGATCCTGGCGCTTGCCGCTCTTACCTTGGGAGTCTCGGTTCTACTGCGGGAGCTCTGTCGTGCCGGTCATGACCAGAAACAGCAAAAGCCGATCTCAGTCAAACCGAGCGAGACCACTGATGCCTTTGGTTGCACAGAGTTGCATGTGGCAGCATCTGAAGGATCTGCCCTCAATGTGCGAAAACTGCTGGAAGGTGGATCAGATCCAAATGCTAGAGAAGCTTGGGAGGAGAACTGCTTCAGACTCCTCACCAAAAACCTGTATGTTGAACGATGTTTCAAGATGATGTTTACCCACAAAAGATCGCAAAAACATGCTTGGACTGCAACCAAGTGCGGGTTTGCTTGCGTAGAGAGCGTATTGCGACAGAATTGAAACCAGATTAGATTTGTTTAAGTTTCTTTTTCAATATGATATACACATGTATAGAATACATATTTTAATTAATCATCATTATCATATTATATATATATGGTGATCGATTTAAAGGTCCTTGTAAGGAGTTTTAATTGCGAAAGCCGTGCATGTTATGTTGGAAACCTTCGCGAAGTTTTTTTTTGAGTTCGCGAAAGTAACAGTTTTTTTCGCGAAAGTTTCGCGACAGTTGCATATTATAATCATTATGTAAAGGGCTGCCACCCACTGCCGCCTGGGGTCCGGCAGGAGAAGGGCCCTAGAGAATTTCGGTTTCGTTCTGGTTTAGTTCCCTGTGTGGTGGTGCTTGTGGACAATCACACCCTTCATAGGTAGCAGCCGAGCTTCCAAAGGCGAGGCTCCGCGACAGCCAAACGCCATGATCCTGAAGCACATCCTTGCGCCTGCCGCTGTCGCTGCCTAATGACGCTTTTTGAAGTCTCAAGAAACAAGCTCCAAATGCAGTAGCCAAGTTTCCAAAAGTGAGGCTTTGCGAGAGCCACAAACACCAAGGCCCCTGGTGCTCGCTTTTCCTTCAATGCACTCCCTGCTGATGGCCGGGGTCTGTGAATAGGGATATTTTCGCGAAAGTTATGCGAAAGAGCGGGCGAAAGTCAAAGTGCATGTTGAAGGGGGTGGGCCAGTAAACCTTGCCAAAAAAAAACTTAGTCAGCAACAATCTGCCCTGAGAAGGGACTCCGTGATGCTAGCCGCATGTTTAAAAGGTTTTCAAGAAGTGATCCGTGATTCTCTGGCGTAATTTGGCAAGTGGTGAACGAATCTTCATAAGAGATGTTGTTGGCCAACATGGGCCCCGCGAAAGATAAACATGGAGTTCGCGAAAGTTTCGCGACAGTAACATTTTTATTCGCGAAGAATTGCCATTCCCGGATAAAGGAATTTTGATCAAAACCATTCAAAACCCATATATGAGATATAGATATTATTATGAGAAACAAAGCCGCATGTGCCAGGAGACGCCCTTGCACATGGCAGCTCGAAGTGGGAATGTGCAGGTGGCACAGCTGTTAGTCTCTCACGGGGCAGAGGTGAACGCCCTCAATTTGGATGATCTCACGCCTTTGGTCATCGCAGGGCAAGAAGGGAAACAGGCAGGGCCTGACCCGGCGAGGTCTCCAAAACAGATAATATATTATATTTATATAAACTTATATTTATATATATATATATACTCTATATATATATATATGGGCGCGGCGCGTTTCCGGGCACCAGGAACTGTGCATTCAGACTCCCTGAATTTATTGGAAGGTTGCCAATTATTACTACTTTAACAAACCCTGGCCATAAACACCAAAAAGTAAGTCAAGAGTGACTGAACATAAAAAAAGAGAATAACAATATTCTACTTTGCCCAAATAAGATAAGTGTGTTATACAAAAAAATGTACCACCTCCAACAACAGTATTAAAGATGGAAGTAACAATAGCAAACTTATTATTTGTTACGTCTTTATATTCCAATCTGCTGAATAGCTAATGGAACGTTTGGAGCTTTGGCAACATCTTTATCCGCATGAATTGTTTCTGTGCGATCTGCATACTGATTTTTTTTTTATATTATGCCAGATTGAATAAAATAACTAGCTATTTCTATTGCTCCTTGCGTGCTGCCTCCTCCGTTGTTTCTTAAATTTAGCACTATCTATACCTTTAATGTTAATGCCTCTGTTTACTTAATATGATATTACAGTTCTTAACTGCTTGCATGCTTTATTGTTAAATAATGCTAGTCGTAGAAATATTAGAGGATATCTCAGTAGCAATTTCACTTGGAATAATAACATTAGTAGAGCTGCCTAAAGAATGAATTGGCACTCATTCACTTTTCATAGATATAGCATTTAATTCTCCCTTTTGTATATAGTCTTTTAACCAAGTAAGTAGATTTTACACTAGAGTCACTTGAATCTGCAAAAGATGGTCTTACCATATGCATACTCAGTTGATCGTATTTTTGCTCTAATATTTGCATTTGATGTCTGTTAGTCTAACTCAAAGTTAGGTGGCACAAAATAAGGGGTAGCGACTGTTTACTAAAAACAGGGCTCTGCAAAGTCAATAGACGAAGTATAGGGTCTGACGCCTGTCCAGCGTTGTAAAAACAATGTCCTGGAGACTAGTTTGGATATTATTGTTTTTTTTTGGTTTGTTTGTTCCCCACCTGCCAGGTGAGGGTTGTTTGTTCCTCCTCCTCCTCGACTAGCTCTCCTCTTCCTCCTCCTCGTCCTCCTCCGCCTCCTCGTCCGCTTCCTCCCCCTCCTCTTCCACTTCCACGTCCACTGTTGCCTTGCCAGCTCTTCGCCAAGCTCTTCGCCAACGTCCGAGCTCAGTGTGCACCGCTGGACCTCAACCTGGGACCTTCCCAGCTCAGTGTGCACCGCTGGACCTCAACCTGGGACCTGCCCAGCTCAGTGTGCACCGCTGGACCTCAACCTCGGACCTTCCCAGCGCAGTGTGCACCGCTGGACCTCAACCTGGGACCTGCCCAGCTCAGTGTGCACCGCTGGACCTCAACGGCCAGATAGAATGCCACAAGAGATGCCAGAAGATATGCCAGATAGAATGTCAGAAGATATGCCAGATAAAATGCCAGAAGATATGCCAGATAGAATGCCAGATCCAATGAGAGAAGATATGCCAGATAGATCCAGATAGAATGTCAGATAGAATGCCAGAAAATATGCCAGATAAAGTGCCAGAATGCTTGCCAGATAGAATGCCAGAAGATTTGCCAGATAATATGCCAGAAGCTATGCCAGATAGAATGCCAGAAGATATGCCAGAACATATGCCAGGTAGAATGCCAGAAGATATGCCAGATAGAATGCCAGATAAAACGCCAGAAGATATGTCTGATAGAATGCCAGAAGATTTGCCAGTAACAAAATGTATAAATGTAATGGTGGGGATCACACGAAGTAAAGTATGTTTTTTTGGTTTGTTTTGTTTTTTTGGTTTGTTTGTTTTTTTGTTTTGTTTTTTTGGTTTGTTTTGTGTGCTGAATTATGTGTTATACGTGTCTTTGGATTTTATTTGAAGCAAACTGTTTATAAACAAACATGTGTTTATAAACATGTTGGGTTGATGAGTGGATGATCTGAGAGAAGATGAATGATTGATTTGAGAGCAGATGCAGATGTTTCAACATCAAGCATGTTATTGTTACCAATTAAATCCAATTAAGATAACCACGATAGAATCTATGATCATGTCCAGGTTCGATGCGTTGTCCAGAACACCAAATATAGATTTTAGGGGCAAAAGAATGATAATTTGCCCCAGCCCGGAAAACGCACCGAACCCATATATATATATATATACATATCGCAGATGCAATTCTCATTGAAGGCCTCGAACACTTTGAATTTGCAACACCACAGAAATGGCACCTGCAGTTTGACTTACTGGTACGAAGGAAAGTTATGTTCAAAGATTTTTGTATGTGTTGTCGACTGCTTAGTATTTCAACATGAAGAAAAATTGAGATATAGTATGATATAATTGTTAGCGCCTTAAACATTAGTGATTTTCTCTGCTACTCAACCATGTTCCTATGTTTTTAAGTGTGTTCTTCAATTTTGCGAAATGATACGTAAATTTACCCGCTAGATCCCCGCTGGCGACAGTCGCCGTCAGAGAAGTTCAGTTTATCCTTTCTGTTTGACAAAAGCAACAGTGCCAGCAAAGGCAACGACAAGCCTTGCAGCAGATGAACAATTCTTGAATTTCCAGCACTAATAATTAGCAGCGGCACCCACTCCATATAGATGTGTGTTAGCATTTCCTGCAGGTTTTAGCTTCGGTTTCAAACATAAAAGATAAAATGCAGGGTTTCATACTATTTAGATCTATTTAGACAAGTCATATTTTTTAAATTCGAAAATGAAGCAGCATGCATGGAATTACGATTTATCAACCAAACCAGACAAAGACATTTTGACAAACCGTCATATGCATGTAAATCGACAGAGATGCTTCTCCCTCAGCTTGTCCAGGAGCTATGCAGTTTCCTTTTGGATGTGGGAGCCTGTGCTGGTGGCATGGAAGAGGAGAAACTTCCCTGCTTGTTAAGCAGTTTGCTGATGCAACTGGTCATAAGTTACTCTAGTTACTTGCTTGTTTGGTTTCTAAAGTTTCACACGTCTCCAAAACATTATTCCTCATCTCCTTGAACATAGACAAGTTGCGGATGTTTGGAGGGGCGAACGTAACTGACGCATAAGCTTGCTTTGCTTTTACAACTGCATGTACTAATAACATCTAATAAGATGATACAACAACATCCAATAGCCATCAGGAGCAATTCAGCCTTCATAGGGCACAGGTGATTCGCCTTCAACGCAGCTGAGGCAGCGCATTTTGAGTGGCACGGAGAAGAACAAGGCCAGCTGATCACATCTACTGATGCGCGTCCTTTGCTTTGAAACAACACGTGTGTCTTGCGAAATCATGATATTTAGTTGTGAGTGAGTGGGTGTTGAAGTTTCTTCAAAAGCAAGTGCTTTATGCTCAGTTGCAGGCCACCTAGCTACCAGCAATTCGATCTTCAAAAAAAGGCATGGTTCTTGAAGTATGCAGACTTTGGTGACGTGAAGATATTGTGTTTGTCGCCCTAGACAATGTTTTTTTCAAGAAACCTTTCCACTTTTGAATATCGCCTGCCCACTTCATTAGATTATTCACTATCTTTGGGTTTTCCTTTGCCGGGACAAGCAGGCAGCCTACAGTGATGGAAGCAAGCCTTTCTTTGCAAAGGTCCGACACTCAGTTGAGCTTGCACAGAGACTAGGCTGAAAACTGTTATATAGTGAGAAAAAACAACGCAGCCAGCTACACTTGAGGTATTTGCAAGCCATTGCTGCCTGAACGCAAAGAGTGCGTTACAGAGTTGGTGGCATGAAGAACTTTCGGGATTGCTGCAAGTGGCAGCAAATACTGGGAGCAATCATCACCACGCGATTGGCCTGAGCCGCAGCAAAGTTACAGTTGCGTGCTCAGGCACTGCACGTGTTTACAGGAATGGTATGTTTGTTCTTGGCAATCGAAAAAAAGATCGCAAAGTGCGGCTGCAAACTGTTGTAGTGAAATACCGTATTGTGAACGTAACAGCATGTAACAACATCTGAAAGTTCCAAACTTGCACACATATGGGAGGATGCAAATGACGAGAACAATGGGGAGAACAATGAGGATGATGGGGACGAGGAGAAACAGGTCAGCTCCAGATCGTCTTTTTTTTGTTCCGTCCATGTGCTCTACTTCTGGAAATGTGCTTGGGCAGCCCTCACCTTGCTTCTTTCCCTAATCGCCATGAAAAGCCAAGTATTTTTCTTTTGCAACATCAAGTCAACATTGTGACCAGGCCTTCGAATCTGCTCAAGAACTGTCTTTGGAGCTCGGGCCTCAACCCACCGAACAATTCGGCTTAGTTATTACTTGGAAAGGATTGAACAGGAACGATATGGAACGATACTGTACAGTAGTTCCCGGCATTGTTTGCATGCTTTTGGCATCTTTTGGCTATTTTGGCTTTCGTTGGCAGTCTCTGACAGATGGAATCAATAGAGATAAGAAAGTCGAGGTGTTTCACCAGGATCCAGGATTGCCCGATGCCACAATGAGGCAGAACCGCTCCGAAAGACGACAACGCCAAGAGCGAGAGCGAGACCTTCTTCACCAAGGGACCGGCGAGTCATGGCGAGTGGCGAGTCAAATGAACCAAGCGTGATTCTTTCCGGTCACAGAAGGAATAACAAGGAATGAGAGATGGAATTAGATACCATACGAAAAAGAATAAGAATTATCATAAGGAATTATCATAAGAATCCATAAGATACCAACAGACAGAAACACACAGACACAGACACGCAACACTGGAGTCCATTGGAGGGCAGCACGTTCCGCCGAAACTCTTCCACAAAATGCCAACTTCCGCAAAAAAACTGATTGTTCGAGCAGGTTTGAGCATAAGTGTCACAGAAAAGAATAAGCAACCATTTGTCTTCCTACCATTTGAATCAGCAAACTAAAGCCGCTGTGAAAAGTGCGCTGTGCTCCCTTGATGCTGGTTGCATCATGCACATGGCGAAGTGTTTGAAGGAGTTTGGAGCCTTTGGAACGCTTGGATGAGGCGGATGTCCAAGAGAAGATATCTTTGGAGTTTGCTGTGTGCCATGCCTTTCGTAGTTTGAATGATTCCGAATGATATGATTGAATGTGTTGCCTGCTGCGCTGACTCCCATTCATGTACTTTTGCATTCGCAGATCATGTTTTGCTCTTTTTGGACCAACTTCTGGCAGGAACGCCAACAATTTAGTACTCTTGCATAGTCGTGCATCATGCGCCATGGTGCTCACATTCCGTTCGTACTGCTGAGCACGCATTCTGTAGCCACTCAGGACTTTATTTCTCATCAATGGCAGGGGCAGATAGCCAAAGAACACTATTTGGGATGTTTGTGGAATTTCCGCACTGCAATCACCGTTTGCTTGGCCACTGAAGACTCCATACGTGGTAATCGCTACGCAAATCTGACCAGCATCAAAGCCTTGAACCCTTTGGAAGATCAAGTTCTGACTGGAAACCAATGCTTTCGGAGTGTGCTGGTGGCCCATGACTTGCAAGAGAAGTTTTTGCATTTCTACCAGGGTCATGGAATACCACCAATTGAAGAGACACTTTGGGTCATAGCTTTGACTTCTGAAGGGCAAGAGGAACTCTTTGAGGTGTGTCCTGGAATGCTCATCACTTCCCTGCTGTTCCATTCAGAGCTGCGCTTGTCTTTCAAAGCAGACGATCTTTGGGGTCGAATGCAGAGATTCAGAGCACATACCTTGCTGCGGCAGATGGTGTCGGTGCCAAACGGAAGCTTCGAAATGGATCATTACCGTGTGATGATGCGAACATGGCCTATAGCAATTGCAGGGGCAAGGTCACTAAAGCTTCAAAAAGCTGTAGCATTTTCGACTCCAAGTGAATCCGCCTCTCGTGCTTTACATTGATTTGTTGTTTGCTCTTGGCTTGCCATTGACATAAGTGTTGAAGTGTTGTTCAAAATTCTTGAATGGAGAGACAGGCATCCGATCTCCCAGTGATTTCAATAATCAGTTAAGAGTCCCCCAGTTTTTTCGACATATTTTGGTCCTTAGATGTCCTTAGCATTTCTGTCAGAGATCCAGCAGCAAATGGACGCCCAGGTTGACCTTGTCATTGTCTTTTGCAAGGGGCATTTGGACTGGTTGGATGACCTAAGTTTGCCTGCGAAGCATCGTATTTTGGTCTATTTGAAGTGCTCAAAGAATCCTTCGATCCACTCCTTTTGCAAAGAGCTGCACTGCATCCCAGCAATGTTTGTCGATCAAAGAGGTGATGGAGCAATGCAGTCAAGTGATGAGTGCGGTGGCTACCTGCTTCATATTCACAGGTATTTTGCTGACCTCTCCGATTGGACCGTTTTCCTCCAAGATGATGCGCCGCGGCATTTGCACTTGGCTTATTTGAACATGGTGCTCAAGTTGATGGCATCCGGGACGTTTGTGTATCACCTTCCAGGAGAATTTTTGCATCTGAACAACGACCGACATTTGTTGTACTGGACTCCATGTCTTGACTCCGTCATGAAGGTTCTTGGACTGCCATCTGCCCGTCTTCTGGCGACATACTGCTGCTCACAATTTGTGGTCCACCGGAATCAGATTTTGAAGCGCGGACTGGCTTTCTTTCAGAAAGCTGCAGACCTGTTGAAAAATAACTTTGAAGACATTGCTGGGTGCAAATACGAATCAAATCGGTCTTCCGCATCGAGCATGCGATCGGAATGGAACATTTTTGCTGATCTCAGGCAGGAGAGACTGGCTGGGGAGTCTGAAAATGAAAACGTCCCCGAGACCACAGCATTCCAAATGAGGCTTTGTTACCTTTACGAAGCTGAGCTGCACCATGCATGCGGCTTTCGCAATCCGAAGATGTCGTTTGCTCTCATGCCGTAGAACTTTCTTCATGTTCGGGAGGAAATAAGAGTTGACGAAATGGAGGGGTATCTCAAATCTAAGAATACCCAACATTCTCAGCCATAGTGTTCAGAGGTTTGTTCTTCTTGCAATGTATATATGGCAAGTAGTCACTTGAACATGATTGCCCCACTGACAGTGAGGAACTCATTTGGCATGTCGTCTTCGGCGCGACCCCAGTCCTACCAAGACGGGAAGACGATTCCACGTTGTCCGCAATTTTGAGATTCACTTTGGATGATGTGACTTCGCTACCACTTCCAGACCATTCCATGCTTCTACATTGGCACTCTCCAAGAAAAAAGAAAAAATAAGAGTACAGTAGTCGCAATCGTGCATGGAATACATCATGCAACCCTTCAACATCGAAGATCTTTCACGTTTCGCGGATATATCATACATTATCATACTATCATATACTATCCCTGTGATAATCACTCTGGTTGCCGCAGGCTTTGGTGGATGCCTTCACTGACGCTTGCCTATTGACCTGGTCAGCCACCTGGTATGCCATGCATCATGATGTCATGGCATGTCATGGCTATGGCTTGAACATGGGCATCATGGACTATGGATTTGGCGAATTCGATATGATTGGAAGTTCTGAGTAATAAGATGTAATATGATGTAATATGATGTAAGAAGTATGTAGTGGTAGTAGAGCTTAGAGACTTAGAGGATCTTAGAGGGGTTTGAGGTCTTTTGTTGCAGGCCAATGGACAGGTTACGGTGAATTGGTTTTGCAGGTTTGAAAGCGAAGAGAACCGAAAGCTCCTTTACGATTATTTAGAGCTACAAACGAAGGCCGCTGCTTTGGACTCCCCTTCGAACTCTTTTTCCTTGCAACCTTATGAAGCTTTCAACAAACAAGTTGCATCAATTTACGATGATTTGCGGGCTTGGTTTCCACGCAGCTCTTGCAGTGCTACAGTGAAGCCAGGCAGTTGCTTGGTACAAGGAGCCAGCTCAGGCCAGACATTTGCATTCGAACTTGATGCATTCATGGCATTGCACAAACTCCTCCACCCTGACCTTCTCCCGCCTTCTCCCTTTCAGTTTTTTTTTGCTTGTGCTCCGATTTCTCCCGCCGCTAGGTCTGATATGGATTATATGATAATGATGAATGAATGATTGATATGTGCTCCAATCAGAATTATAGTCTCTACATTCGAGCGCACACACTCCCCTGGTTAACCTGACAAGCTCAGCATGTTCAAGGTCTACTTTGAAGGAAGACGACGTGTGATGTTGTCGTTGAGTCGGCCTGAGCAAAGAATGTGCATGGATGGTTCATGATTCATAGGTGATCCATGGTGATCCTCAAGTGATCAAAACAGAAAAGCGAAAGTCATTTTCAATTGTTCGCAACGCTGAGATTGGAGCAGCCAGACTCAGATGAGGCCCGTTGCTTGTGAAAAACTTGTAAACCACAGACAATATCATTCATTTTGGTAGGGATAAATATTCACAGATTGCCCGGATGTTTGCGGATCACAGTGAGCATCCTAGCAGGGCGTTGTGCCCATCAGCATTTGATATGTTCAACGACTTGCATAATAGCACGAACAGAATGGGCAGCCTGTTGGGAACGTAAGAGTGATACAAACAGATGCTAGTCCATGATGCTCTGCAATCTGGCTGTAGATACGAGATTCTTGTCCTCTTTTCATATTTTTAGCCTTCAGGTGCTAGAGAGGACATACAGGGTGTGATTGATTTCAAGGAACGCACGTTGTGGCAATCTATTGCAAATTCTTGGGTGGAGCTACACAGCTTTACCATGAGGATAATCAGAGTAAGGATCCGCCACTGCAAGTCAGGCTTTTGTAAGCAAAGTCCTTAGCACTTGGAGCAGCATCACCTACGGTATACTTGTATCAACTTAACAGAAAGCCGCTTCTGTTCGGCTTCATAATGCAAGGACTTTGTGGGTTTTCCAGAGCATGCTGCTCGCTTCCAGGCAGTTACAAATTTCCTCGAAGAGGAAGTGGTGCGCCCGAGTTTCGTGACACATCAGAGATCAGTAGATCAGCTGAAATGTCCTCGCACTTTTGGATCTTTTGGAGGCAACTGCTCAGAAAGCACTTTACTACATGCCCGACAAGGCAGGTTGTCACCAGGTATTGGTAGTTTAGAATTAGTTTAGATTTTTTCAAAAGGATGTTTGCAATTGTTTATATATATATTTTGGCATTTTCATCCATTTTCAACATCGAATTCCCCTTTTGATGCGCGGAGTCTGGAGGATTTGGACGGCCGGAGTGAAACAAAGTGACAGACCTGCTCATCGCAGGGACACTACCTGCCCAGCCTTTTCATCCACCGTGAAGACGACTTAGCTACCGGTTGCGTTGACCTTGAGGAATAGCTACTGCATTAGCTGCACTAGTTCCCTAGGACCAGTCCGTACCTGGTGGAACTGGTGAAACTAGTACTCGTCTGTGTGACAGATTGATTGGACATGGCAGAGATTGCCCGCCCAGAAGTGGTAGGACAAAGGTTCTGCCGAATTCTGCTGCAGTGATCATGTCCAAAAACGTCACGTGTGGACAGATGGGTACATTGCATATTGAATTGCATATTGAATTGCATATTGAATTGCGTATTGAATTGCATATTGAATTGCATATTGAATTGCATATTGAATGGTGTTGCCATTTTATCCCCTTTGTAGGAACACATAGCTGGTAGTCCGTAAAATGATGAGAGGTGCACAGGAGATTCTGCAGCATCGACGCAGCTCTTGAATCAGATCCTGAAGTATTGCTCACCAGCAGCATCCACACAGGAAAAAAACATAATTACTTGTAGCAATGGTAGAAACCCAGTTGTGAGGATCCAAGGAAAGTGGTAGTATCACCTTACTTTCTATGACACCTCAAAGGTTTCCAATAGGATTTTTACGTCAGCGTCCCTTAGCCACATTTGGAAAGATCTTTGGAAGTTTACAACAGTTTAGTCAGCAGTTTAGTCAGCAGTTTAGTCAGCGAGCAGTTTGCAGCCATGGCTTTCAGGCACCGCAGAGGTCCTACATTGCTGCTTCCACTGCTTCCAGCCTTTCTCAGCTATGCCTTCGTCGGGGTCATTTCGCAGCCCCGGAGCCGTGTCCCACGGTCCGCGACATCTCCTACTGCGGAGACAGTGGCTTGATGCCGGAAAAATTCATCAGCTGGGATCAGCTGGGTCTGAATTTCTGGGAGCATATGGAAGCCATGGTCCATTTTTTCCAGATGGAAGCCTTTTTTGCAGGGTGGGTTCAGTTGCTTGCTGGATTCTTGAGGATGCCCCACCCTCGTATGGATTGCACATCGTCGCACCTACGCATCACTTATATATAATTCAAACTTGAAGAGGGGGGGAAGGACTGTCCCCTTGACCTCGCCCTAGTGTTGTGGTTTCGAGCAAGCTGTTTGCTTGCCATTGAGGCAAAGGCAACGTTTGGCCAGCTGTTCAATGGAGATTCAAGACCTATCGTCTTGTACGATGGCATCTCGGCAGAAAGCTAATCGCGTTCCACTGGAGGTTAAGACATGTCAAGACTTTATGAATCTTTAAGACTCCAAAGCTAGGGTTCGCAACAGAGCTAGATCTCATTCTCCCTCAGTCTCAGCCGATACTTGCGAAACGCGCCAGGATATCAATTTCACATTTAGGGTTTCAGTATGTGTCAGTCTTCTGATCTCATACTTGTAACTGGTGTTTTCATGTATTGTCTTCTCCTGACAAGGTGTTTGCAATATGTGCAACAGCGCGGTTGACGTGGCTCTGCAGAAGGATGTTGCGGGAAGTTCATGAGATGTAGGCCGTTCTCATTGCCATTTTCATTAAGACCTGCGTTTAGTTGAGAATTGCAGGGATGGATGGGCATGTAGGTCAATAGTGAGCATAGCGATGCACAAAGTATGCCCAATGCACGAAGTTTGCCCAACACTTTGCTGTGTTTTTCGACCTACGAAGCGTTGGAGCATGGGCACTGGGAAGTTGAAGACTGCACAAGCAAGACCACTCAGCTGATCTCAGCTGGAGGACCCAGATGGTCGCAAGCTCCGCTTCTCGGCGCTACAGTCAGAGGTTGGGCGAGAGCTGCTGGTCTTCTGTGGTAGAGAAGCCAAGGACTGCCTTTCAGAATTATTCTATGGGAATGTTTGCAATGTTTGCAGTTCAAGCCTGTGGATCAGGGCCGAAGAATCAGAAAAAGTTTGAAAACATTTGTTGGTGGTGCAAAATTGATCAAAATAATGCAAAAAACTATTAAAAAAACTTTTTGTTCCCTGCTTTCACCAGGACTTGAGCTCCATGTTGGTGGTGAAACCGGATGGCAGCTGCCTTGCACAGTCTGATGCTGTGGTCTTTGCTCGCGCCCAAGACTGTTTGAGCTGAGGATGGGGGTGATTTATGATGATTTATGTCTTACCTTGCATAAAATGTATCCAAACAAGTTCAATCAACATTGGACTATTGGACGGCCTGAAGTCCAACGTTGAATCTTGCCATGGCCTTTTGGAGATGTTTCAAGGTCGGGCAGCAGCTCGACGGAAGCCGGGTCTTGCAGGGACTGAGCAAGGCCGATCCTTCGTTGACGAAAGCTGGAAGTAGATGGGTCATGATGCGTCAATCGCTCTTAATCGCCTTAATCGCCACTGGCCAGCTGGCCTTTATATATTGGCAAACAGAAAGTTCTGCATCGAACATGCCATTTCTCTTGGGACATGATGGGCCATGTGTAATTTACATGTTGCAGGTAGCTGAGTCTGTGCTGCCAAAAACCTTGCGGGATGGAGCGTACAAGGTGATTGCCAAGGCCGAAGATTTGTTGAGAAAAAGGGATGGATGGGTAGACTGACAGAATTCAATTGCAAGAAGGGAAACAATTCTGATGCACACTGATGGAACCATGAAATCGCACAGCAGCATGCAAGATAACTTTTTGGATGTTTTTAGGATGATTAATTGCACAGCCAGCCTCTTCAGAATGTCTTGTCCATTTCTTCATGCTGTGTATTGTGTATTGTCAAGGTATGTGAATATTGTGAAGGTGCTCACACAAACTCTGCAAACTGACACAGAATATCTGGTTGGTGGTTTGGAACATTTTTTATTTTTCCATATATTGGGAATGTCATCATCCCAACTGACTTTCATATTTTTCAGAGGGGTTCAAACCACCAACCAGATATGATTTGGACCACCGTGCTCCTGACGCAGAATCGCTACAACGTCTTGGGCCGGCGGAACGAGCTCCGCTTGGGTCAGGACACCTTAAACCTTCCAGTCTTCGTGCAGTCCAACAAGAGACATGTTTCCTCATGGAAATGCATCACCATGCTGTAAATATGATAAAATATGATAAAATAATATAAAATATGTGCAAATACTAAAAGCCTATTAAAAGCCTTTTGGCACTCAGGGAATCAAAAGAAGACTTGACCTGAGATATTGAGATGACCTGAGTGAGAAGTCCCACTATCTTGCAGGATGGCATGGATGACCGCTTTGTGCAAAAGGATTCCAAATCTGCACCAGCCGTCTAAATACGCCCCAGAATCAATATTGCCTTGAGCTACCAGAACTTTGTGATCGTAGAAGCTTCAAAAGTCTTGTTTCGACAAAGCAAACTGTGGCCCAAGAAGCACTTTGGATCCCAGATGGGATTCCAACATTGGCGGAATTTTCGCGAAGTGTGGCCGTGTTCCACTCTTACGCCTTTTATTGAACAGTCGCAAAAGCTTGCGGGCACAAAGCCCGGTCAAGATCCAATCTGTGTGGAGTGAATGTGATCTTCCGCGATGGTCCAAAGCAGAGCGCCCCAAGCTTCAAAAAAAGCGATCGATGGTTTTCGAAGCGGAGTGAAGATGCAACCCATTTGCAAGCAAAAAATGCCACCAATCTGAAGCTTGATGGTCCAAGACGTAGCACATGGAAGGATTATCAAAGCCAGTCCAAGAATCTTTGACAAAATCATAGAAGTGCTCAATTCACATTCCATAAATGAATTAAAGGGCTACGCCCTCTGCCGCCGACCCCTGGACACTGGAGGGTCATGCCTGCCTCTGTGTCGTAAGCATGAAATGAACCCTAAAGAAACCAGAAACTGACCTAAACAAACCATTTGTATGTGCGTTTGGCACTGTGCACATGCAAGCAGCATGGACCCCTGCAGGATGACACGCACAACTATGTGCTCTGACACTTTTTCATGGCTCAAGAAATAGGAGCTTTCGTCATTGGGCAGGTGTCTTGGGGACCTAAAGGGTTGCTCTAGCACTTGAGACCCATACCCGAAGCCCCCGTTCGTAACCGCAGTATGAAACTTTAAATGGCATCCTAAAGAGACCCGAGACGACACTGCACTGCCAACTGCCACCCTGCTCGTGTCCTCCTGGAGCCGGCTTTCGTTCTGCACCGCTTCGGTCCAAGCTGGAGTCCAAGGACCGTGTCGCAGGGCTAAAACACCATGGCAGTGAAGGACGGATTGGGCCCGCGGCCCGTATCCCAGACTGCCAAACGTCACTTTCTGAACCGACTAGAAACTAGCTCCAAACCTTGACTTTTCCTGCGTTTCTGCACTGCCAACTGCCACCCTGCTCGTGTCCTCCTGGAGCCGGCTTTCGTTCTGCACCGCTTCGGTCCAAGCTGGAGTCCAAGGACCGTGTCGCAGGGCTAAAACACCATGGCAGTGAAGGACGGATTGGGCCCGCGGCCCGTATCCCAGACTGCCAAACGTCACTTTCTGAACCGACTAGAAACTAGCTCCAAACCTTGACTTTTCCTGCGTTTCTGCACTGCCAACTGCCACCCTGCTCGTGTCCTCCTGGAGCCGGCTTTCGTTCTGCACCGCTTCGGTCCAAGCTGGAGTCCAAGGACCGTGTCGCATGGCTAAAACACCACGGCAGTGAAGGATGGATTGGGCCCGCGGCCCGTATCCCAGACTGCCAAACGTCACTTTCTGAACCGACTAGAAACTAGCTCCAAACCTTGACTTTTCCTGCGTTTCTGCACTGCCAACTGCCACCCTGCTCGTGTCCTCCTGGAGCCGGCTTTCGTTCTGCACCGCTTCGGTCCAAGCTGGAGTCCAAGGACCGTGTCGCAGGGCTAAAACACCATGGCAGTGAAGGACGGATTGGGCCCGCGGCCCGTATCCCAGACTGCCAAACGTCACTTTCTGAACCGACTAGAAACTAGCTCCAAACCTTGACTTTTCCTGCGTTTCTGCACTGCCAACTGCCACCCTGCTCGTGTCCTCCTGGAGCCGGCTTTCGTTCTGCACCGCTTCGGTCCAAGCTGGAGTCCAAGGACCGTGTCGTAGGGCTAAAACACCATGGCAGTGAAGGACGGATTGGGCCCGTGGCCTGTATCCCAGACTGCCAAACGTCACTTTCTGAACCGACTAGAAACTAGCTCCAAACCTTGACTTTTCCTGCGTTTCTGCACTGCCAACTGCCACCCTGCTCGTGTCCTCCTGGAGCAAACGTCACTTTCTGAACCGACTAGAAACTAGCTCCAAACCTTGACTTTTCCTGCGTTTCTGCACTGCCAACTGCCACCCTGCTCGTGTCCTCCTGGAGCCGGCTTTCGTTCTGCACCGCTTCGGTCCAAGCTGGAGTCCAAGGACCGTGTCGCAGGGCTAAAACACCATGGCAGTGAAGGACGGATTAGGCCCGCGGCCCGTATCCCAGACTGCCAAACGTCACTTTCTGAACCGACTAGAAACTAGCTCCAAACCTTGACTTTTCCTGCGTTTCTGCACTGCCAACTGCCACCCTGCTCGTGTCCTCCTGGAGCCGGCTTTCGTTCTGCACCGCTTCGGTCCAAGCTGGAGTCCAAGGACCGTGTCGCAGGGCTAAAACACCATGGCAGTGAAGGACCCCAGACTGCCAAACGTAATTTTCTGAACCGACTAGAAACTAGCTCCAAACCTTGACTTTTCCTGCGTTTCTGCACTGCCAACTGCCACCCTGCTCGTGTCCTCCTGGAGCCGGCTTTCGTTCTGCACCGCTTCGGTCCAAGCTTGAGTCCAAGGACCGTGTCGCAGGGCTAAAACACCATGGCAGTGAAGGACGGATTGGGCCCGCGGCCCGTATCCCAGACTGCCAAACGTCACTTTCTGAACCGACTAGAAACTAGCTCCAAACCTGGACTTTTCCTGCGTTTCTGCATTGCCAACTGCCACCCTGCTCGTGTCCTCCTGGAGCCGGCCTTCGTTCTGCGGCACG